ATACACACGCATATAGTACAGAAAACACCGATAAATACCCGAAGGACAACGTCACCGTCGCGCCCCACGGAGGGCGAACCGCAGCTCCGATGAAGAGGGCTCTCAGCGACAGACGTTGACGAAGTTCAAGCAACAACGATTCGAACCGCACGCGAGAAGAAAAAAGGAACAGAGTGCTGGATGACGCTGGACTTTATTACCTCCGGTGTGTCACCCAGGGGGTCACAGGTGTGACTCATTTGGTATTATTACTCGAACTGCGCATGCGCGAAGGGAACATTCAGTGCTATGCACCGCCCTCTGGCGGTCTGAAGGGATGAAATAGAACCCATCTCCAGATGTTGATGCTCGGCGTGGTCAGGATTACCAGAGCTGGAGGATTTGACCTCGTGTGCATGTTTTTAGAGGTAGGGGAAACCGGAGTACCCTGGGGAAACCGGAGTACCCTGGGGAAACCTACGCAAGCACGGGGAGAACATGCAAACTCCACTCAGAAAGACCCCGTTCCGACCGGGATTCAAACCCAGGACCTTCTTGCTGAGAGGCGAGAGTGCTAACCACTCAGCCACCGTGCAGTCTCTCTCTGGTTTCTCTCTTGTCTCGCTCTGGTCTCTCTAGTATCTCTCTCTGGTCTCTCTTGTCTCTCTCTGGTCTTTCTCTATCTCTCTCTGGTATCTCCTTCTGGTCTCTCTCTTTGGTCTTTCTCTTTCTCTGTGGTCTCTCTCTGTCACTGTCTGGTCTCTCTCTGGTATCTTTCTTTCTCTCTTGCGGCTCCCTCGCTTGTCTCTCTCTGGTCTCTCTATGGTCTCTCTCTCTGGTATCTCTCGAGTCTCTCTCTCTGGTCTCTCTTTTGTCTCTCTCTGGTCTCTCTCTTTCACTGTCTATCTCTGGTCTCTCTCTTTCGCTCTCTGTCTATCTCTGGTCTTTCTCTTGTATCTCCCTCTGCTCTCTGTCTCTGGTCTTTCTCTGTCCCTCTCTGGTCTTTCTCTGTCGCTCTCTGGTCTTTCTCTGTCTCTCTCTGGTCTTTCTCTCTGGTCTTTCTCTGTCTCTCTCTGGTCTCTCTCTGATCACTCTCTCTGGTCTCTCGCTGCATCTCTCTCTTTCTCTCTGGTCTCTTTCTGGCCCTGTTTGACCAGTAACAGGTCCTCCGATGGTCCCTGTAGAGCAGAGTAGAGCAACCTATTACCAACACCTTTCCAAATGTGCCATTTTGGATCCGGCTTTACCCTGCTCCCGTTTCGTGGAATAACTTCTCATTAAAACCAATTGGAACCAGTACTTAGAAACGTATAACTGGTTTAAAGTTCTTTCAGAGCTGGTTTTATCGACTGGAGCCAGGGCAGCGGCTGCACGCCTCTTCAGGGGTCGGGCGAAGTGTAAGAGGGAGAGATGGAACTGTTGGGATGATCTCAGAGCTTAAGTCACACTCAGGATGAAGGACATTTACACACACAGCTGGAATAGAACCAGAAGCAACTCACTATCTGCCAGTGTCCGTACAGAGGGTTCATGGTGTTTTCCATCTTCCCTGGTCTCTCTCTCTGGTCATTCTTTTTCTCTCTCCCTGGTCTCTCTCTGTCTCTCTAGTCTCTCTCGCTCTGATCTCTCTCTCTGTTCCTTCTCTTACTCTTCCTGGTTTCTCTCTAGTCTCTCACTGGTCTCTCTCTGTCTCTCTCTGGTTTCTCTCTGGTCTCTCTATTCTCTCACTGGTCTCTCTCTGGTCTCTCTCTGGTCCCTCTTTGGTATCTCTCTCATTGGTCTATCTCTGGTCTCTCGCTCCAATCTATATCTCTCTCTGATCCTTCTCTTACTCTCTCTGGTTTCTCTCTAGACTCACTCTAGTCCCTCTCTAGTCCCTCTCTGGTTTCTCTCTGGTCACTCTCTGGTTTCTGTCTGGTCTCTCTCTGGTCTCTCTCTGGTCTCTCTCTGGTCTCTCTCTGGTCTCTGTCTGGTCTCTGTCTGGTCTCTCTCTGGTCTCTCTTTGGTCACTCTCTGGTCTCTGTCTGGTCTCTGTCTGGTCCCCTCCAGGTTATAGACAGATATATAGATATCTGGGTCCATGTTCCAGTGGATGTGAGATCAGTGGTGATTATCAAGTGTCGCCAAGACGGAGCGACAGCCGAATGAGTCACTAAGAATAGAAGAGGAAATGAGAGATATAAAAAGATCTGAACTCTACAATCATATAAGACTGGGATCATAATGGACCAGACGGACTACTGTCAGAGACCAGAGAGAGAGAGACCAGAGAGAGAGAGACCAGAGAGAGAGACCAGAGATAGACCAGAAAGAGACCAGCGAGAGGCCAGAGAGAGAGACCAGAGAGAGACCAGAGAGAGACCAGAGAGAGACCAGAGAGAGGCCAGAGAGAGACCAGAGAGAGACCAGAGAGACCAGACAGAGACCAGAGAGAGGCCAGAGAGAGAGAGACCAGAGAGAGACCAGAGAGAGACCAGAAAGAGACCAGAGAGAGGCCAGAGAGAGAGACCAGAGGGAACAGAGAGAGAGAGACAAGAGAGAGACCAGAAAGAGACCAGAGAGAGAGACCAGAGGGAACAGAGAGAGAGAGACAAGAGAGAGACCAGAAAGAGACCAGAGAGAAGCCAGTGAGACAGACCAGAGGGACCAGACAGAGAGACCACAGGGACAGGACAGAGAGGCCAGAGAGAGAGACCAGAGGGACCAGAGACCAGAAGGACCAGAAAGAGAGACCAGAGAGACAGACTAGAGGGACCAGAGAGAGAGACCACAGGGACAGGACAGAGAGACCAGAGACACTAGAAAGGAGTGAGTAGAGAGAGAGAGAAAGAGAGAGAGAGAGAGAGAGACCCCTGAGAATCTAGAATGACCAGAAAGAGAGAGGTGGTTGAAAAAGTGTATAAAGTCTGAGGGTTTTACATCTGCCACTGAGAGGGTTGACTTTTGTGTGAGTTATTTCTTGAACACATCACCCCGTGGCGAGATCAGCCTCATTAGACTCTGAGGGGAATCTCTCTGTTCTGTCTCTTTGTTTGTATGAAAGCGAGACGTGGATTTTACAGCCGCAGTAAAAGTGTAATGTCAAGTTCTGCTCGAAAGGAACGACATAAAACAATAAACAGGTTTTTGTTTTGGTGTGAAGGAGATGGAACAATAAGGAGAGAAAGAGACAGAGGAAACACAGAGGAGAATCTGCCCCCTGAGGTTTGGACGCAGATCTCAGTTCTGATCTTTTTATCATTGCTCTGTGTGAATGCAGACCTAAAACCTGATTGTGACCAAAGTCAATGGGTTCTCAATGAATTTGTGTATCGCCCTGAATCACAACAGGAATCGACTTTACAAATTTGTGGATTCACCAACAACAGATCAGAGAATCAGAGCAAGAGACCAGAGAGAGAGAGACCAGAGAGAGAGAGAGACCGGAGTGAGAGAGCAGAGAATGAGACCATAGAGAGAGACCAGAGAGAGACTTAGAGCAATAGACCAACATTGAGAGAGGGATCCCGCACAAGCTGTAGATCCAGGACTGAGGCTGTAGATCCAGGGCTGAGGCTGTAGACCCAGGACTGAGGCTGTAGATCCAGGACTGAGGCTGTAGACCCAGGACTGAGGCTGTAGACCCAGGACTGAGGCTGTAGACCCAGGACTGAGGCTGTAGACCCAGGACTGAGGCTGTAGATCCAGGACTGAGGCTGTAGACCCAGGACTGAGGCTGTAGATCCAGGACTGAGGCTGTAGATCCCAGGACAGAGGCTGTAGACCCAGGGCTGAGGCTGTAGACCCAGGGCTGAGGCTGTAGACCCAGGACTGAGGCTCTAGACCCAGGGCTGAGGCTGTAGACCCAGGACTGAGGCTCTAGACCCAGGACAGAGGCTGTAGACCCAGGACTGAGGCTCTAGACCCAGGACTGAGGCTGTAGACCCAGGACTGAGGCTGTAGATCCAGGACTGAGGCTGCAGATCCAGGACTGAGGCTGTAGACCCAGAACTGAGGCTTTAGATCCCAAATGTAGTAAATAAGCCAGACATGCCCACAATGAATAATCTTCTCTGTTTCTTATTGAAAGTGTTAGGAATAAAACTTGACAAATGCCTTCAAATGTCTTCAAACAACAGAAGTGTCCAAACACCAAACTGTTTCGCAAGAACAGACGACTGCTGCTCGCTCACATCGCTGCATCAAAGACTCGCAGGAAATTCATCTGAAAGATCTGGGAATGTTTGAGACAGAAAACTTGAAAAGTTCAAATCAGAAAGTTCAAATCGGACCATAGCATGTTGCCTTCATCTAGTCCCTTTCTTTGATCTCCACCGCTGGTCCCTCTCCGGTCTCTCTGGTCTCTGGTCTTTTTGTGGTATCTCTCTCTCTCTCTCTCTCCTGTCTCTCTCTCTAGTCTATCAGGTCTCTTTGGTCTCTCTATGGTCCCCCTCGTCTCTCTGGTCTCCCTCTGGTCTCCCTCTGGTCTCTCTCATTGGTCCCTCTGGTCCCTCTCTGGTCTTTCTGGTGTCTCTCTGGTCTCTCTCTTGTCTCTGGTCTTTCTCTCTTGTCTCTCTCTCTGGTTTCTGTCTCTTGTCTCTGGTACCTCTCTGGTCTCTCTGTGGTCTCTCTCTCTGGTCTTTCTCTGTGGTTTCTCTCTGGTCTCCCTCTCTGGTCTCTCTATCTGGTCTCTCTCTGGTCCTTCTCATTGGTCCCTCCGGTCTCTCTCACTGGTCTCTGTGGTCCCTCTCTGGTCTCTCTCTGGTTTCCCTACCTGGTCTCTCTCTCTGGACTCTCTCTCTTGTGTCTGGTCTCTCTCTTTGGTCTCTCTCTCTGGTACAGTATATATTAAAGCCGGTAGCAGCCTCACAAATCTCTCCCTATAGTCGACCTCATAAATGCTAAATAAATCTCTTTTTCATGATTACATTACAGATTCCTGAAAGCACTTTTCTCCAATAATAAAAAGCCATACTCTGTGTATTCCGGCTCCGCTCCGATTGGTTCAAACCGTGCAGTAGCATCGACCCCCAGTGTAATACATGTGTCTGTGTTTGTGTGAGGGACAGGAGGGACGGGTGCCAGGTGCTGAGAGGGCACAATACACACACTGTGACGGGTTGCCAGATAAGAAGCTGACGGAGCAGAACGGCCTGTGCTTTTAAACAGCGTTAATATTCATGAAACTACTTTAGCTTCGGAACCAGAGAAAGGTTTAAAAGTGAGTCTTCAGAGCGGGAGAACCTAAATTCATCATTTTGAGTCCATCTGCTCTGGAACAATAGCAGAAGAAATACATGCCAGCTCAAGAAGTGAAGAAGGGAAGGGAAGTGCTCAAGGTGAAGTTTGAAGTTAGAAGTTTGGCTCCTCTCTCTGGCTCCTATTGACTTCCGTGTGAAAGTAAACGTGGTTTGGTAAACTTTGATTTATCTCTAGTTCTCTCTTGTCTCCCACTACTCTCTCTCTGTTCTCTCTCTTGTCTCTCTGGTCCACCTCTGCTCTCTCTCTGTTCTCTCTCTGCTCTCTCACTTTCTCTGGTCTCTCTTTTTCTAGCCTCTCTCTCTCTGCTATATCTCCCTCTGGTCTCTTTTCCTCTGGTCTTTCTCTGGCCTCTCTCTCTGGTCTATCTTTTCTCTCTCTCTCTGGCCTCTCTCTCTCCTTCTGGTCTCTCTCGCTCTGGTCTTTCTCAGGCTTCTCTCTCTCTCTGCTATCTCTCCCTCTGGTCTCTTTTCCTCTGGTCTTTCTCTGGCCTCTCTCTCTGCGCTCTCTCTGGTCTGTCTTTTCTCTCTCTCTCTGGCCTCTCTCTCCTTCTGGTCTCTCTCCCTCTGGTCTTTCTCAGGCCTCTCTCTCTCTGCTCACTCTCTCTGGTCTCTCTTCTTCTGGTCTTTCTCAGGCCTCTCTCTCTCTGCTCACTCTCTCTGGTCTCTCTTCTTCTGGTCTTTCTCAGGCCTCTCTCTCTCTGCTCACTCTCTCTCTTCTCTCTCTTTCTGGTCTCTCTCTGGTCTTATACCTGGAACAATGATGGATGTGGGCCCGGCTGTGTTGCGTTCAGGGACCACAGTAGAACTCGGACTCCTGGGGGAATAGAGAGATCTCGCGCTCACAAAGGAACACACAGAGAGCTGCTTCCTCTGATAAGAAACACAGACACGGCCCACAGCGCGGACACCATTTTGTGCCAAAGTTTAATCTCCCACAGAACGACAGAGGCCAGGTTCAGGTGGACCGGACCAAATGAGGCAGAGGAAGGGGGAGGAAGGGGGAGGAGCTATAGTGTTGGGAACGGAATACATATAATCCCATTATGTATTAAGAATAGTCTTTTTGGGTACATGTAGTTTCTACTTTAAAGTCTGATATTTAGAATCCAGTTACTTTCTGAAAAAAACGGGAATATATACTATCTCACATTTTGTTTTAAGGTTAAAAAAAGAAAAACACAAATTTGGTGTTCTTAAAGATTCTATTTTTTTTCTTGCTGTTAAATGGCAGTTGTTAAAGCACTTTGACTTGTTTTACAAAAATATACAGCAGATAATTACAATATTTTATTTTTTTAAACATTTATCAAGATTGTTTTTTCAAATAATTTAAAATATATCTCTATATGTTTTGTTTTGTAAATAAACATTCATTTACAGTAAATAGAGAAATAATAATTAAAAGTATAAATAAAAGTATTCAGAAAACAGCTACTGCTTTTTCCAATGTAAAGGATTACGATACAAAATATATGTTAGATAATGTATTCAGTATTCTGGAATGGAATACTCTTTCAAAGTACTCTACCCAACACCGGCTGTCAGTTTGAAGAAAGACGTCATATTTCAATTTTTTTACACTTTAAAGCAGTAATTCCCAAACTTAATTGCCTTGAGGCGGAAACAAAGTAAATGTTATGTTGGAGTTTGTCTGTTGGTCTTTGTTTGGTCTCTCTTTTATTCCTCTCTTGGCTCTCTCTCTGGTCTCTCTTCATCCATGAGCACTTCCCTAGAATAGCATTTTCCCTATGCACTGCTAACTTAACTCCCTGTTAATGCTAACGCTAACACAGTCATCTCTGCATAAATATCACACGTGCCTTTGTTTCTGCTGTGCTTCTGTGGGTTGGCCTAGTCCCTCTGGTCCCAGAGCCTCTGGTCCCTCTGGTTCCTCTGGTCCCTGAGCCTCTAGTCCCTCTGGTCCCTCTGGTCCCTGAGCCTCTGGTCCTTGAGCCTCTGGTCCCTCTGGTCCCTGAGCCTCTGGTCCTTGAGCCTCTGGTCCCTCTGGTCCCTCTGGTCCCTGAGCCTCTGGTCCTTGAGCCTCTGGTCCCTCTGGTCCCTGTGGTCCCTGAGCCTCTGATAGTTCCTGTGTGATCCTGTCGGCTCTGTGTGGCTCTGCGGTCGTTTAGCCGCTAAAACCAGGGGCTTATAGAAGTGAGTCCATCTCTGCTCCAATAAGACCAGAGAAAATCACTGATGGACTGAAGGCAGCGGGAAGTGTCCTGAAGCAATTTAAGATGAGAAACAAGCACAGACACACTGAGCTGTGAGTCTGATCCAACTCAGACACACAGCTGTCACACACAGAGCTGTCACACACAGAGCTGTCAGACACACAAAGCACAGACACAGAGCACAGACAGAGCACAGACACAGAGCACAGGCATAGAGCATCACACACAGAGCACAGACACAGAGCATCACACACAGAGCACAGACATAGAGCATCACACACAGAGCACACACACAGAGCACAGACACAGAGCACAGACACAGAGCACACACACAGAGCACAGAGCACAGACATAGAGCATCACACACAGAGCACAGACACAGAGCACAGACATAGAGCATCACACACAGAGCACACACACACAGAGCACAGACATAGAGCATCAAACACAGAGCACACACACAGAGCACACACACAGAGCACAGACATAGAGCATCACACACAGAGCACAGACATAGAGCATCACACAGAGCATCAGTCAAGTACCACTGGATGATTCTGTGCAGTGTAGATCAGATGAAGGTTATTCCTCCTCCGTGACTGTGAGGAAGAAAACTGCTTAGAACTATACTTCAACGTGTATCTGCAACTCTCTGGTCTCTCTCCGCTCTCCCTTTCTCCCTGGTCTCTCCCTCTAGTCTCTCTTCTCTCTCTGGCCTCTCTATCTGGTCTCTCTTTGGTCTCTTTACAGTCTCTCTGTTCTCTCTCTGGTCTCTCTCTGGTTTTTTTCTCTGCTCTCTCTATTCTCTATTGCTGCTCTCTCTGGCCTCTCTTCCGGGTCTCTCTCAGCTCTCTCACTATTCTCTCTCTCTAGTGTCTATCTGCTCTCTCTGGTCTCTCTCTGCACTCCCTCTATTATCTCTCTGGTCTTTCTGGTCTCTCTCTCTGCTCTCTATCATGCCTCTCTCACTGCTCTTTCTCTGCTCTCTCTCTCTGCTATCTCGCTTCTCTCTCTCTGGTGTCTGTCTGCTCTCCTTCAAGTCTCTCTCTCTGGCCTCTCTCTTTGTTCTCTCCCTCTCTCTGCTCTCTCTCTGGTGTCTATCTGTTCTTTCTCTCTCTCTGATCTGCTCTCTGCTGTCTGCTCTCTGCTCTCTCTCTGCTCTCGCTCTAGTCTCTCTCCCCCGGTTTCTCTAGTTTGAGTTGAGTGACAGGCTGAACACAGTGATTAGAGTGGGAGAAACAGGCAGGATGTAAAAAGGTCACACATATGGAGAGAGTCCCACACAGGAAATCAGCTTTTCCGTAAGGGTTAGGGTTAAATACATAGATTCTGACATTTAAGAGTAAAGACTGGATTCTCAAAGCGGGTTTTCTGTTCTGTGTTGGTTCTGACATGAAAAGACCTGTTCCAGACTCTCTCAGTCCATTGTCACAAAAACACAAACTTTTTTCATATTCATAGCATATTTACGAATAATAACTAGAGATTTTAAACTTCATCTCTGTCCTTACACCCTCCTGCATCAGAGAGGACTGAGGCTGGAGTCTCTCTCGCTCTCTCTGGTCTGTCTCTCTTTCTCTGCTTCCTCGCTCTTTCTCTGCTCTCTATTTGCTCTCTCTCACTGCTCTCTCTCTTTGTTCTCTGCTCTTTCTCTGGTCTTTCTCTCTCTCGTCTCGCTCTATCTCTGCTCTCTCTCTCTCTTTCTCTGCTCTCTCTTTGGTTGGTCTTTGTCTCTCTCTCTTTCTCTGCTTCCTTGCTCTTTCTCTGCTCTCTATTTGCTCTCTCTCTCTGCTCTCTCTCTTTGCTCTCTGCTCTTTCTCTGGTCTCTCTCTCTTGTCTCGCTCTGGTCTATCTCTGCTCTCTCTCTCTCTTTCTCTGCTCTCTCTCTGGTTGGTCTCTCTCTCTCTGCTCTCTCTTAGCTTGCTCTCTGTTCTCTCTCTGGTCTATCGCTGCTCTCTCTCTTTGCTCATTCTTGCAGTTGTCTCTCTTTGCTCTCTGCTCTCTCTCTTTCTTTGCTCTTTGCTCTCTCTCTGGTCTATCTCTGCTCTCTCTCTTTGCTCTTTCTTGCGGTTCTCTCTCTTTGCTCTCTGCTCTCTCTCTCTCTCTTTGCGCTCTGCTCTCTCTCTGGTCTATCTCTGCTCTCTTTCTCTGTCTGCTCTCTCTTTGCTCGCTCTCTGCTCTCTCTCTGCTCTTTCTCTGGTCTCTCTCTCTGCTCTCTGTCTTTCTGGTCTCTCTCCCTGGGTTGTCTGCTCTCTCTCTTTCTCTCTGCTCTATCTTTGCTCGCTCTCCTTGTTCTCTCTCTTCGCTCTGGCTTCTCTCTCAGGTCTCTCTCTCTCTCTGCTCTCTCTGCTGTCTTTCTCGTCTCTACTTTTACAAAGCCCTGTGCTTCTGTAGCTTCTCATTCTTGTTCTTGTATTTGTCTGTCACAAAAACCACATAATTCGGGCAGACTTTATTAACTTCACATTTTGCAATTTCCTGAAAAAAGGGAAAGATTTGACTAAATAGAGACGTAATCATCGAATGTTTCTTGCTTCACGGAGCAAACAATCTCATTATCAGACACACCTCCCACCGATCACCGCCTTAACCACACACTCGACAAGCAGTCAATCACACGGCTGGGAGCGTGCAGTGGGGGGGGGGAGGGGGAGAGAGAGAGGGGGGACAGTTCTAGCACTCTGAGGCGGTGACAGAGAGACAGGGCAAAAGGTATGAATTATACTGTCAATTTTTTGCATAGAGATATAGCAGAGAGCGAGAGAGACAAGAGCGAGACAAGAAAGAGACCAGAGAGAAACCAGAGAGAGACCAGAGAGAGACCAGAAAAACAACAAAGAGAGAGGCCAGAGAGACAAGTTAGCCTAGAGAGCGAAAGACCAAAAATACACCAGAGAAAGACCAGACAGACTCCATAGAGAGCAGAGAGAAACAATGCGACCAGGAAGAGCGACAGAGAGACCAGGGAGAGTGAAAATACCTGAGAGAGAGAGAGCAGTGTGCAGACGTGGGAGAGAGAGGGTGAGAGAGGCCATTAGTAGCAGCGCACTCTGAGGCAGTGACAGAGAGACAGGCCGCCTGGATAATTACAGTTATTACTGGCTTTAAATGGATTTTGGAAATGAGCTCTTGACAACAGAGAGGTATTATCATATCTGCAGGAAAACCAGAGCAGAGGCGAGAGCACAGGGGACCAGGACTGAGACTGTAGATCCAGGCCTGAGGCTGTAGATCCAGGACTGAGGCTGTAGATCCAGGACTGAGGCTGTAGATCTAGGACTGAGGCTGTAGATCCAGGCCTGAGGCTGTAGATCCAGGACTGAGGCTGTAGATCCAGGACTGAGGCTGTAGATCTAGGACTGAGGCTGTGAATCCAGGACTGAGGCTGTAGATCCAGGACTGAGGCTGTAGATCCAGGACTGAGGCTGTAGATCCAGGACTGAGGCTGTATCCAGGACTGAGGCTGTAGACCCAGGACTGAGGCTGTAGATCCAGGACTGAGGCTGTAGATCCAGGACTGAGGCTGTAGACCCAGGACTGAGGCTGTAGATTTAATATTGAATTGTGGCCCAAATATGGCAGTACTATGAAATCCTCACATTTCTACCAAGTCCCACTCTGAGTATGAATGGGACTGTGGCAGTTTTGCTTCTATGTAGAGATAATACAGAGTACTTAGTTACTTCTGTACTTGTACTTGAACACATGTTTTGTTTGTCCCAGTGCCGTCTCTGATCAGCGAGTTACGAGCAGAGAAGATCGAGGAGAAGAGTGTGACGCTGGTGTGGAGGGAACCCAACGACCCCAACAGCAGCAGGACTGAGTACGAGGTCAAGTACTACGAGAAGGTAAAAGTACTGCTAATGTACTGCATCAAATACACTGGGACTGCGTTAACACAGGGGTGATGTATTCTCAATATAACTTGCAATAAGTTCAACCAGAGAGAGACGAGAGAGAGAGGCCATAGTGAGAGATCAGAGAGACCAGAGAGAAACCAGAGAGAGAGATCAGAGAGACCATGACCAGAGAGAGACCGGAGAGAGAGCAGAGAGAGATCAGAGAGACAAGAGAAAGACCAGAGAGAGACCAGAGAGAGACCAGAGAGAGACTAGAGAGAGACCAGAGAGAGACTAGAGAGAGACCAGAGAGAGACAAGAGAGAGGCCACAGGGAGAGACCAGTGTCTCCGATGATGTCTCTGATGGTGTCTCTAATGGTGTCTCTGATGGTGTCTCTAATGGTGTCTCTGATGGTGTCTCTGATGGTGTCTCTAATGGTGTCCCTGATAGTGTCTCTGATGGTGTCTCTGATGGTACTGGTATCAAACAGCCCTGTCATCCCTCCCTCAGTCAGATTGTCGCCGTCGCGGAGTTGCTGTGATCTTGTGAATGAAGCGTCTCTGTTTCTCTAATATAAATTCAAACTCTGGCTTTCGTTTTGCTTCACGTCGCATTTCTCCTCCGCTGTCGTCTCACGCTCGATTTTACACCTCCGCCACATTTAATAAAGTCACACAATCATTTTTATTTAGACGCGACGCCAGAGACGAGGACGGAGAAAGCAGAGGAATGCGGGACTCAAACACGGACTGGTGCGACACGGAAACTAATTGGATTTTGTGAAGTGGGATTTCTAGTTTGGAGCAAGAATCTTTTTACAATTTAATTTGAATTTTGAAAACTGCTTATTTCAAAACATTAGAGAAAAAGCCATGCCAGCACTTCTGAGAGAGACCAGAGAGTGAGTGAGACCAGAGCGAGAGGAGAGAGTGAGTGAGACCAGAGAGAGAGGAGAGAGTGAGTGAGACCAGAGAGAGGAGAGACTAGAGAGACAGAAGAGAGACCCGGCCCCCTCCATCTGCGCCTGCGGACTGCCCTGACCACCCGGCCTCGTGGGCTGCATCCCCTGCACTCCAGCTGGGAGCTGCTTCAGTCCTGTACCGCACCTGTCCTCCTTCTAGAGCCTGAGTCCTGCGCCACATGGACTTGGTCCTCGTTCTGTAGCCGAGCCCTAGATCTGAAGTCCATCTGTCCTTGGGAGCAGATCCCTCTCTCAATATGGTTCTCATTGAGGTTTCTCACTTTCTCCCACTAGGTTTTAGAGTAAGTCCTTACCGTTATTCCATGCTGGAGGGTCTTTTAGACTGTTTTAGACAAAAACTGTTGTGATGATCCAGGACACTTAACATTCAATTTATAAACATTTATCAACATTCATGGACATTGGTCAACTCCCATTGAACCATTACCTATGGCTTCTATATTTTTTTGTTAGATTCTCTGATCTGTGATGCCGAAAACAATGGTTTTGTTGAGGTTATGAGTGAATTGAGAGAGACCAGAGAGAGAGGAGAGAGGCCAGAGAGAGGAAGGACTAGAGACACAGAGCAGAGAGAGAGAGACCAGAAAGAGAGAAAGCAATGCCAGAACACCTGTGAGAGATAGGATACAGACAAGAGATGGATCAGAGAGAGACTAAAGAGAAGAGAGAGACCAGAGAGAGACTAAAGAGAGACCAGAGAGAGGATTGACTAATCAGATAATTCAGTCTTCATTCAGGGAGGAAAGGGTCTTAGCAACACAGTCAGAGCATCAACACGTAAATTTAAACAGTTTTTCTGCCGTTGCTGAATAAACATGTTTCTCTGAGCTCCATATGGACGACCGCACGGAAGGCCCTCAGCCTCTCAACACACACGAGGATACACAACCATTACACAACAACAAGCTCTCTTCATCTGATCAGTAAATACGATAAACCTTGTGTTAGAAATAGCCCTGGGAGTAGCTATTTGACTCTTTGGGCTGATTCCTCTGCTCTGAATGTAAAATAACATTATTTCATTCTCTGTGCAGTGAGCAAACTGTTCCTGATTCTTCCCCAGAGATGAATTTGTCTCAGAATAATAATATACAGAGGTTAAACAAGAGCAGAAGCCAACATTTGTCTCTCTGCTTTCTCTCTGGTCTTTCTCTCTGGTCTCTCTCTCAGGTCTTGCTCTGGTTTCTCTCTCTGGTCTCTCTCTCTGGTCTCTCTCTCTGGCCTTGCTCTGGTTTCTATCTCTGGTTTCTCTCTCTGATCTCTATCTCAGGTCTTGCTCTGGTTTCTCTCTCTGGTCTCTGGTTTCTCTCTCTGGTCTCTCTATCTGGTTTCTCTCTCTGGTCTTGCTCTAGTTTCTCTATCTGGTCTCTCTCTCTGGTCTTGCTCTGGTCTCTCTCTGGTCTCTCTCTCTGGTCTTGCTCTGGTTACTCTCTGGTCTCTCCCTCTGGTCTTGCTCTAGTTTCTATCTCTGGTTTCTCTCTGGTCTCTCTCTCTGGTCCCTTTATCTGGTCTCTCTCTCTCTAGTCTCTTTCTGGTCTCTAGTTTCTGTCTTGTCTCACTCTGGTTTCTCTATCTGGTCTCTCTTATTTCTCTCTGGTTTCCCTCTGGTATCTCTCTGGTATCTCTCTGGTCTCTCTCTGGTCTCTCTCTGGTCTTCCGCTGGTCTCCCTTTCGTCTCGTTCTGGCTTCTCTCTGGTCTCTCTCTCTCTGGTCTCTCTCTAGTCTCTCTGGGGTCGCTCTAGTTTCTCTCTCTGCGCTCTCTCTCTCTAGTCTCTATCTGGTCTCTCCTCTCCCTCTCTGGTGTCCCCCTCAGGTCTCTCTCTTGTCTTTTTTTGGTCCCTCTCCGTTCTCTCTCTAGTCTCTTTCTGGTCTCTCTCTGGTCTCTAACCTTGCTGGTGTGTTTGTTGCAGGAGCAGAAGGACCAGAGTTACTCCACAGTGAAGTCCTCCTCCACTCGCATCAGTGTGACGAATCTCAAACCGGGGACATCGTACGTCTTCATGATCCGGGCCTTCAGTTTACCCCCACCTGGTCTGGCTCCCCTGGTCTCCTCCTCCTCCTCCGCCTCCTCTTCATCCACCTCTTCTGCTCCTCCTATCGACTATGGAGCGTACAGTGCCCCTCTGGAGCTGCAGACACTGGGAGAGTGTGAGTACTGACCAGACAGAGACCATAGGGAGACCAGCGGGAGACCAGAAAGAGACACTAGAGAGAGAGACAAAGAGAGAGACCGGAGAGAGAACACAAATGAAAATGGACTGCAACTTATGATCTCAACACTAGATGGGCCAGGACTGAGGCTGTAGACCCAGAACTGAAGCTGTAGATCCAGGACTGAGGCTGTAGACCCAGGACTGAGGCTGTAGACCCAGGGCTGAGGCTGTAGACCCAGGGCTGAGGCTGTAGACCCAGGACTGAGGCTGTAGACCCAGAACTGAAGCTGTAGATCCAGGATTGAGGCTGTAGACCCAGGACTGAGGCTGTAGACCCAGGACTGAGGCTGTAGACCCAGGACTGAGGCTGTAGACCCAGGACTGAGGCTGTAGACCCAGAACTGAAGCTGTAGATCCAGGAATGAGGCTGTAGACCCAGGGCTGAGGCTGTAGACCCAGGACTGAGGCTGTAGACCCAGAACTGAAGCTGTAGATCCAGGACTGAGGCTGTAGACCCAGGACTGAGGTTGTAGACCCAGGACTGAGGCTGCAGATCCATAACTGAGGCTGTAGACTGAGATATGACAGAAGCAACTGTTTTAGAGCCAGGAACTAGAGACCTGTGTTTTCTTACACGGTTCCATAGTGTGTTTGAAAGTTCCCCACCTTTAACGTGTGCTGTGTTGCAGTGGCGTTGGCGTCCAGCGAGCAGAACCCTGTGGTCATCATCGTGGTCATCTCCTCCGCTGCTCTCATCGTCCTCCTGTCTATGGGAGTGGGAATACTGATGTGGAGGAGGTACTGTGTCTTTAAATATACACCAGAGAGAGTAACTCCCTCACATGGATAAATATGGACATTTTCCATTACACATATTCATTAATTCTGTTTTTTCAGTCTTTTCTCGCTGTTTTGCACTTTTTTTGACGGTTCACGCCCACACACAGTCACCATGGCTACGGCAAACAGACCATTCTCAGGGACGTCTGTCTGGGTTCAGTCCAGGATCTAAATGGCTTCAGTCACATGTGAACGTGAGAGACAATAAAGAGAGAACAGAGAGAGAACAAAGAGAGATCAAAGAGAGACTAGAGAGAGACAAAAGAGAGAGGTAAGAGAGAGACCAGAGGGAGACTAGAGAGAGACTGGAGAGAGACCAGAGAAGGACTAGAGGGAGACAAGAGAGAGACTAGAGAGAAACACCAGAGGGAGACTCGAGAAAAAATAGTGAGAAATGCCAGACAGAGAGCAGAGAGAGAGACCAGAGAAACACCGGAGAGGGACCACAGAGGGAGAAACCAGAGAGAGACTAGAGAGAGACCTGAGACCACGTACATTGAAGAATGCTATCCATCTGTTATAGAGGGGTCGGAACACAGGGTTCTTACAGATGGACAAGGCTAAATCGCTAGCTCAATGAAGCCAATAGGGAAGTGCTCTTGCTGAAGTTCAGCTTCTCTCTTTGGTTCCTACTGACTTCCATGTAAATGTAAACTCCTCTAGCTCAGTAACTGTACAGTATACACACACACACACACACACACATGAACCAGTGTTTCTGGAGTCCACTGGTCCCTGAGGAGGAAGTGTCCAATCAAAGAAAGCCCCCCCCCCACTCCCCTTTTTCTTCAGACACTGATCCAGGAGAAAAGTGGAGAATTATCTTTCACCGCTGCGGCTGGATTAGACCATCGATCCTAAGGCGACAGACGAGAAAAGCGAAATGTCTGAAATACAGCTGTACATCAACGAGACCAGTGAGAAGCTTAGAGTACAGCCTCTCTAGTCCTGGTCTCAAGTCTATGCTTCTTGTGGCTCATAGAATCGACTTGAAAGCAGCTCTGCTTGTTACAAGTCTCTGTCTGTGACAATGTTAGTGTCATATGAACAAACTCCGAGGAGCACAGGGACTGCCCTCCTCAGAATCAGAATCAGAATAATCAGAATCCTGCTGGGACTCTGAGGATCACGGACTGGCCTCCTGCTGGGACTCTGAGGATCACGGACTGGCCTCCTGCTGGGACTCTGAGGATCACGGACTGGCCTCCTGCTGGGACTCTGAGGATCACAGGGACTGGCCTCCTGCTGGGACTCTGAGGATCACAGGGACTGGCCTCCTGCTGGGACTCTGAGGATCTCAGGGACTGGCCTCCTGCTGGGACTCTGAGGATCACGGACTGGCCTCCTGCTGGGACTCTGAGGATCACAGGGACTGGCCTCCTGCTGGGACTCTGAGGATCACGGACTGGCCTCCTGCTGGGACTCTGAGGATCTCAGGGACTGGTCTCCTGCTGGGACTCTGAGGATAACGGACTGGCCTCCTGCTGGGACTCTGAGGATCACAGGGACTGACCTCCTGCTGGGACTCTGAGGATCACAGGGACTGGCCTCCTGCTGGGACTCTGAGGATCACAGGGACTGGCCTCCTGCTGGGACTCTAAGGAGCATAGGGGCTGCCCTCGCGGAGCATTGCCCATGTTTTACTAACAGTAGAAAAGCAGAGTTCTAGATCCCAGTTCTTTGACAGAACTGGGATCATCCAAATGTGAGCAGATCCTCTGGGAGTGAAACCTGCAGCTAAACAATAGAAAAGTAGGGTACAGTTACTACATGTTCAGGGAAGTGGCCTTTAAGATGAAGACAATAGAGCTACAATAGGACTCATCAGCACTTCCTCAATGACACAGAGGTTCTTTTTAATAAAGCTCAGGGACCAAAGATGTTAGCGCCATAAATAATTCATGTTTAATGTTGAGAACAATCAGACCATCTTTATCTTCATTAGAGAACACTTTACATTCTATGCAAGAAAGAGCCCTTAGAGTTACTATCTGACTCTCTGTCTCTCTCTCTCCGGTCTCTCTCTGGTCTCTCTCTGGTCTCTCTCTGGTCTCTCTCTTGTGTCTCTCTGGTCTCTCTGTGGTCTCTCTCTCTCCTCTCTCTCTGGTCTCTGAGTGCTCTCTGTGATCCTGGTGATAGACCAATCAGATGCCTTCATTCCAGTTTGCCTTGGCAACCACCAAGCAACACATCTGCTCCTGTTACAGCAGAAAGCCAACGGCGTCAGAACAAATGCCCATATAAGGAAACTGGCTCCAGCTTATGGTCAGATCAAAGGTCCATGAGCATTGACATGCTTGCAATCCCACTCCGGGTCGGTAGGGGTGTACCCGGAAACAGATTTACCCAATGCTTTTGTATGATGTCTACTTTCCTCTCGAAACCGGCTTTACAGGATTGTCCAAAAGTCAGCACTTGGTCCAACGCTACGTCACTGCTGAGGAGAGTTTTTTTTTTGTGGAACTGTCTGGTTTAGGCTCTGTAATATTTTGTATGCGCTCGTTAAATGAATGGGGCTCATTCCGGCTAACACATGCGCAAACGCGTTTTTCACATTTTCCTGCCCCGCGGCAAATTTGAAAAACCCAATCAAAGTCAAAAGTGGTGGCACATTAGTTTTAAGGCCTGAGATAGGCGTGACTACACTGTGGTTATGTCACACTTTGTCAGCACAGCAGCGATAGAACCAAACTCTTTTGAGAACATTTTAAGATATGGTTCCATCTGTTGTTGTTTGAAAATCAGGTACCTGAGCCTTGAGATTGATATAAAAGTCTCAGTTTGGTGAGATCAGTGTTTAAGCCGTGTCTCTAACAAGCTGCAGAATGGTGGTATTTATATCTGCTAATTACAGTAATTAGTTAAATCTGTAGTAATTATAGTTAATTGGGGAAGCACTTAACCAGAAGATGGCCCACATTAAGAACTCGCTCAACGCTTCCACTTTGGAGCTAGATGGTAACATAGACTGTGTACAGATTATAGATCTATAATAATAACTGGATAGGGTATTTGATAATGCTGTTTCAACTACAGTTGAACCTGATGAAATCTCACACAACAAAGAGACAAAGTTAATCTTTTACTTGTTACATTGTACAAGGAGAATGTCTTGACAGAGGCAAGGCACAGACCCCAGCCTCTCTCAGGACAAGTCTGAAGATTCACAGTCTGCAAGCCCCTTTTGGTAGAACAAGACACACCTTCGTATGCAGATGGGAAAGGAAGAAACCAACACAGCAAAAGACAGACCTCCCGGTGTCTTCCTGAAGCTAAAGTGAATTACAATACAGAGCATTCAGCACATAGCCACATATGATTTACCAAAATGATAACTTAAGTTACATTCCAATATCAGTATTACTAGCTTATAGCTGTCCCACCCAAGGGCACAGGGGGCGCCCGTGGTACTGCAGACCAAATTCACAAGGTCTACCCAGAAATTTTCCCCATAGAACTCAATGTAAATTAAAACAGTTCGACCTCAGCTGACAGAGAACCTACAGCTTTCATAAAGGTCGGATTTTGTGGGGATTATAGTGTCCCTTGTCATCCTGAACTTTTTTATTTTTATCTTAAATCCTTCGGTTTTCTTTAAATCCACACTTTACTGCAACAAACTCTGCTCATTTTCTTCCCGCTCTGACTCCGTTCTACCGCTGCTCTGATCAGCAGTGCTGATTGGTCAAAACTCTGCTCCTCTGTGCACGTGCATGAGAGCTACACACGCGTATTTGGCGCAAGGCCTCATGGGAGCTCGTCCACTGCGCAGAACCGGGAGGATCAGGCGATGAGCACCGCTGATGTCCCATGCGCTACTGAGCACAAGCCATTAATTTGAATAGGGCGCCATCTTGGATTACTGGGGCTTGATACAGACGGACAATGCTAACATAGACTGTATACAGAAGGACAATGCTAACATAGACTGTATACAGATGGACAATGCTAACATAGACTGTATACAGAAGGACAATGCTAACATAGACTGTATACAGATGGACAATGCTAACATAGACTGTATACAGATGGACAATGCTAACATAGACTGTATACAGAAGGACAATGCTAACATAGACTGTATACAGATGGACAATGCTAACATAGACTGTATACAGATGGACAATGCTAACATAGACTGTATACAGAAGGACAATGCTAACATAGACTGTATACAGATGGACAATGCTAACATAGACTGTATACAGATGGACAATGCTAACATAGACTGTATACAGAAGGACAATGCTAACATAGACTGTATACAGATGGACAATGCTAACATAGACTGTATACAGAAGGACAATGCTAACCCACTACAGGCGGGGCCTTTCTGTGTGCAGTTTGCATGTCCTCCCTGTGTCTGTAACAGATACATGTACAAAACCGCTTTCTACAAAACAAGCCAATTTCTACAGTTCTTTCAGCGTTTTCATCACACAAACCATCTCTCTTTCTCTCTCTCTCTCTCTCTGCATTTCCCTGTATTTCAGAAGTTGTTTGTGTTTGTCGTTGGGGACTCGTTCCTGACGTCTTCATTGTTTGTGTTTTTCAGACAGTGCGGCTACAGCAAGGCGTCTCAAGAGGGCGACGAGGAGCTGTACTTCCAGTGTAAGTGACAGCTCTGTCCAGTAGTCAGAGAGAGAGAGAGAGAGAGCGTGTGTGTGTGTATGTGTATGTTTGTGTGTGCGTGTGTGTGTGTGTGTGTGTGTGTGTGTGCGCGTGTGGAACAGGTTGGATCTTTGGAGGTGTTTGTGCACCATCTGTGGAACAGTCTAACACAGACGCTCAGTGTTAAATTGTGAGGAGAGAGAAAAGAGAGTGAGAGAGAAGTAAGAAAAGAGAGGGAGAGAGAGAAGAGGGAGAGAGATAAGGGAGAGAGGAAGCAAAATCAGTGAGGTTCTCTTCACGGACCTTTATTTGTACATTAAAAAAGGTCAGTCATTTCACATAACATCTTTCTAACAGAAAAGTTTAAACACAGCTTAAAAACGTAACATAAATATTAGACCGCAAAACTGTGCAATAAATAGGCAATACATTAGATTACATTCAATTAGGCTTGAACAGGGCCCCTGGGCAAGCTGAAGGCGGGGCCCAGGTGTGGTCTCCACACAGTGTCTGCACGGTCTCTGCTGGTTCAGGGCCTGGACCATAAAGCCTAGTGTATACTTGCGCGGCGTGGCTTACGTTAGCGGTTGCGGTGGACCTACGTAAGCACAATTGATGTTATACTGGCGCGTTTCCCTTACAGAGTTTTGAGGAGAATGTTGTAATCCCACAACAAACCACATGAGGGCGATCTCACAGGAGCGGTCCCATTTACGCTGCTACTTTGTCCTCTTCAGAACAACAATAGCAAACAAAGCTGTTTGAGATCATTACACGTGTTTCTACTGCAGGTTTATGTGATAGTTTTATGGATTCATTATTTTATAAGTCATTTCAACTGTGATGCTGTGAATAAAGATACAGTTCTTGTTGGAAACATAGTTATTATTAAATAGTTTTCAGCACAAACAGCAAAACAATAATAGTGGTAAATATCTGAGACAAACATGAACGATTCACGAGTGCAGGAGGAAAGCAACAAACGCAGCTACGATTCAAACAAAGACAGGAACAGTGCAAAACAAACAACTGCACAGTTTATAAGTTATATATATGTTATATATATGTTAGATAGTCCACTGTCTCCTGTATATCAGGCTCTGAGCCCAAACTGCTTTTCCTTCGAAGCACAAAGCTCTCTGCTCCATAGTGCCTCCTCCATGTCCCTGCTGCAGCCGCTTCATGCTTCCTTCCAATACACATACAGGGACCAATCACAGCGGAGATTCCTTGCGGCGACCCTTACGTAGTTAGAAAATTTCGATGCTGCGCGGCAGGCAACGTAAGGGCCTTGCGGTGACCAACGCGTTGCACGAGTGACGTCACGTCACCTCCGTAAGCTCCGCGCCGCGCGAGTATAAACTAGGCTTAAGGCTGTAAAAGGTCTCATGGTCCAGGACCTGGACCAGCATTAGGGACCCAGAGGAGTCAGCCAGGTCTGGGCTGAAGATGAGGCTGGAGAAGGGGTCATGAGCCTGAAAGAAGAGAGCGAGAGGAGAGAGAGAAAAGAGAGAGGAGGGAGGATAAAGAGAGAACAGAGAGGGAGAGAGAGTAAGTAAGTAATCTTTATTTATACAACGCCTTTCACAGACCAGAGCCACAGAGCGGTTTACAATTGTTATTTTTGGGCATTTGTGTCTCACTCCACACAGAGATAGGAGTGGGGTCGCCAGTACAGGAGGCGCATCCCAGACCTATTGTACATGTTTTTAGTGGTAGCCGCTTACCGAGAGGAGAGAGGGAGAGAGAGGAGAGAGAGAGAAGCGAGAGGGAGAGAGAGGAGAGAGGGAGGTGAGAGAGAGTCATCTGAACTTGTCACTCAAACCACAGTGAACAGTCTGTCTGGTCAGAGTCCTGTATTTCTTCTTTTTTATGCACTATGATATATATGATTTTAAAACCTTGTCTGATTCTAATGTCATCTTGTTCAGTGCACTGAGCTATATGAATAAAGTTGCCGTGAGTCCCTGTGTTCCTTCCCCAGTGAAGCTCAGACTCGCAGGATTCTGACAGAATGAGAGTAGTGCCAGAGTCGGACCAGCGTCTCTCTGGTGTTTAACGTTAGTTTTTCTGCTCCTGATCTCCCAGAATGCCTCTCTGCGTTGCCTCTGGAGACAACGGTGTGTTCCCGGTGATCTATGAGTTTACCCGGTCCTTAAACCTGATCTTGAGAATCTCTTGGTCTCTCATGTTGTAGAATATGGAGTTCTCTGGTCGCCCTTTAGTCTCTTTCTGGTCCCTCTCTTTAGTCTCTCTCTAGTCTCTCTCTTTAGTCTCTCTCTTTAGTCTCTTTCTGGTCCCTCTCTTTAGTCTCTCTATTTAGTCTCTTTCTGGTCCCTCTCTTTAGTCTCTCTCTGGTCTCTCTCTTTCGTCTCTCTCTTTAGTCTCTCTCTTTCGTCTCTCTCTTTAGTCTCTCTCTTTAGTCTCTCTCTGGTCTCTCTCTGGTCCCTCTCTTTAGTTTCTCTCTTTAGTCGCTCTCTTTAGTCTCTCTTTAGTCTCTCTCTTTAGTCTCTCTTTAGTCTCTCTCTTTAGTCTCTCTCTTTAGTCTCTCTCTTAAGTCTCTCTCTTTAGTCTCTCTCTGGTCTCTCTCTTTCGTCTCTCTCTTTAGTCTCTCTCTTTAGTCTCTCTCTGGTCTCTCTCTGGTCTCTCTTTAGTCTCTCTCTTTAGTCTCTCTCTTAAGTCTCTCTCTTTAGTCTCTCTCTGGTCTCTCTCTTTCGTCTCTCTCTTTAGTCTCTCTCTTTAGTCTCTCTCTGGTCTCTCTCTGGTCTCTCTCTGGTCCCTCTCTTTAGTCGCTCTCTTTAGTCTCTCTCTTTAGTCTCTCTCTTTAGTCTCTCTTTAGTCTCTCTCTTTAGTCTCTCTTTAGTCTCTCTCTTTAGTCTCTCTTTAGTCTCTCTCCGGTCTCTCTCTGGTCTCTCAGTTGAGTGGTTTTTACAGCCCTAAAACATGTATCTGATGATGTGTGAGCCTCTTAGACCAGAGTGAAAGCCCGTGAAAGATGCAGATGGACACACACATTCACACACACGCACACAGCCACACGCACACACACACACACACACACACACACACGCACAAACACTGCTGATTAGTAGGTCACTTGCTCGCACGCACAGCCGCAGAGTGGATCTGCCTCAGGCCAAATTAAGCTTCAAACAATAGACGTATAATTGTAAGTTACTGAGACATACATTAAAGGAACAAAGGAATGATGATAGCAGCCCAGTGTCTTTAAAGAACCATGTGTGATGCTAATAACAAGTGTTTCTGTATAAAGTCCTGGACAAACACCAGAGGGAAAAGTTGGATATTTTTACTTTTGAGACAAAGAGAGAGACAGAAATACAGCTCCAGGTGTAGTTCTGCTGAGAGGTACAGTAACTTTCCAACAGACTTAAATCAGACCAGAGAGAGAAATGAGACACGAGAGAGAGTCCAGAGAGAGAGACCAGAGACTAGAGTCCAGAGTGAGACCAGAGACTAGAGAGAGTCCAGAGTGAGACCAGAGACTAGAGAGAGTCCAGAGAGAGACTAGAGAGAGTCCAGAGAGAGACTAGCGACTATACAGAGATGAAGATACAGACACTAGAGAGAGTCCAGAGACAGAGAGACCAGAGAGAGACAGATGAGAGACCAGAGACTAGAGAGAGTCCAGAGAGAGACTAGAGACTAGAGAGAGTCCAGAGAGAGACCAGAGACTAGAGAGTGTCCAGAAAGAGACTAGAGAGTAGAGAGAGTCCAGAGAGAGACCAGAGACTAGAGAGAGTCCAGAGTGAGACCAGAGACTAGAGAGAGTCCAGAGTGAGACCAGAGACTAGAGAGAGTCCAGAGAGAGACCAGAGACTAGAGAGAGTCCAGAGTGAGACCAGAGACTAGAGAGAGTCCAGAGTGAGACCAGAGACTAGAGAGAGTCCAGAGAGAGACCAGCGACTATACAGAGATGAAGATACAGACACTTGAGAGAGTCCAGAGACAGAGAGACCAGAGAGACAGATGAGAGACCAGAGACTAGAGAGAGTCCAGAGACTAGAGAGAGTCCAGAGAGAGACCAGAGACTAGAGAGTGTCCAGAGAGAGACCAGAGACTAGAGAGAGTCTAGAGAGAGACCAGAGACTAGAGAGAGTCCAGAGAGAGACCAGAGACTAGAGAAAGACCAGAGACTAGAGAGAGAAAGATAGTAAGACCAGAGACGAGAGAGAGACAGATACAGAGACTAGAGAGAGTCCAGAGACAGAGAGACTAGAGAGAGACCAGAGACAGATAGACTAGCCGTGACAGAGGCAAAAACCCTTGATAAAAGCAATTTGTTTTAGAGTGGAGCATGCAACATTTATTGGTTGTGGTTTTAATGTCACGAATCCCAGCATTAAACCACTTTGGGCCTGTAGCTTCTGTGTTGTGGAGTGCCATGGCGTGTTTAGCGTGTTTAGCATGTTTAGCAAATGAAGCGTGGCCTCTGGTCATATCTGTTAGCGTGTGGCACAGATCCAGTCGTGTGTAGGTTTAGATAATCGCTCTGACAGCGGAGTGATGAGACCACAGTGAGACCAGAGAGAGAGACCAGAGAGAGACCAGAGAGAGAGAGACCACAGAAAGACCAGAGAGAGAGCAAAGAAAGACCAGAAAGAAACCAGAGAGAGAGGCCACAGAGAGACACTTGAGACAGACCAGAGAGAGACTAGAGAGAGGCCACAGAAAGACCAGAGAGAGAGGTCAAAGAGATACCAGAGAGAGAGGCCACAGAGAGACACTTGAGACAGACCAGAGAGAGACTAGAGAGAGGCCACAGAAAGACCAGAGAGAGAGGTCAAAGAGATGCCAGAGAGAGAGAGACTAGAGAGAGGCCACAGAGAGACAAGAGAGAAACTCGAGACAGACCCGAGAGAGACTGGAGAGAGACCAGACAGAGACTACAGAGAGACTACAGAGAGACCAGAGAGAGACCAGAGAGAGACCAGAGAGAGACCAGAGAGAGACCAGAGAGAGACCAGAGAGAGACCAGAGAGAGACCAGAGAGAGACCAGAGAGAGACCAGAGAGAGACCAGAGAGAGACCAGAGAGAGACCAGAGAGAGACTAGAGAGAGACATGAGAGAGACCTGAGAGAGGCCACAGGAAGACCAGAGAGAGAGGTCAAAGAGAGACCAGAAAGAGTCTAGAGAGAGGCCACAGAGAGAGACCAGAGAGAAACTCAAGACAGACTATGACTAGAGAGAGACCTGAGAGAGACTAGAGAGAAACCAAAGAGAGCCGAGTCAGCGAGATCAGCCTTTAGCCTGTGGGCAGATAAGTTAGCGTGTGGCACAGATCCAGTCGTGTGTACGTTTAGATAATCGCTCTGACAGCGGAGCGGTGAAACCACAGTGAGGCGTGCCGCTTCAGACCCACTCAACACGTTACAGCAGTTATTATCACGCGTGTGGAGTTAATGTGAGGGGGGAGGAGAAGGGAGAGGAGGGAGAGGGTTCATGGATACTGGGCTTAGTGGAGTGTGGCGTGTGGGAGTGAGGTTGGACATGTCACAGAGCAGCAGACGGAGAGGCCTCAAACAAAGGAAAAGTGGATCACACGCAGCTCTATCATGCATCATTAGACAAGATCACAGGCTTTTTACAGCTGGACAATGCTAGCACGCTAGCCTTTGGAAGCCCAGTGGGAAAGTGCTCAGGGTGAAGTTTGGCCCCCGACTCGTTCTGGCTCCCATTGACTTACATGTGAAGTGAACTATTGCTCCGGTTTGTAATGTATTGATTATTTTGATACCAGAGAGATAGACCAGAGCTAGACCAGAGAGAGACCAGAAAGGAAGGGATTGAAGAGAGAGATATCAGTGAGATAGACGAGAGAGAGAGAGACCATGGAGAGAACAGAGAGAGAGACCAGAGAAAGATAGACTAGAAAGACTAGAGACAGACCAGACAGACTATATAGAGACCAAAGAGAGGTTTCAGAGACCAGAGGGAGAGACTCGGGAGGAACCAGAGGCAGAGACTAGGGAGAGAGAGGTGACTTTTAAAACACATAGTTATCAATGTGTTCTAACATACCACAATAGATCAATAATTTTCCTTTGATCGCTCAAATAGCCGCAGCCTTAAACGGAACCTCCTCTCTCACTTACACATCCAGGTCTCTAAAGAGGAGGTCTCCAAAGAGGTCTCCCAAAGGTCTAATTATCAGGCTCCTCTCTGTGTCCTTCCAGTCGATCAGCGGCTGTAATCAGAGCTCTGTGTCTCTGGCCTTTGGAGAGCCGTGTCCTGATTACAGGGTCAGGACTGATTGAAAAGTAGCACCTCCTTGTTAGACTTTTCATGCACTGCTGTTAAGATTTATACAGACTACAAATACTGGGGAGAGAGGAGAGACGAGAGAAGAGAGGGGAGAAACAGTAGAGAGGAGAAGAGGGGAGAGAGAGGGGATAGCAGAGAAGTAGAAACATCTGAAAGAGAGGAGGATAGAGAGGGGAGAGTTATAAACAGCTGGAGAAGAGGGGGAGAGCAGAGAGGAGAGGGGAGAGGGGGAGGAGAGAGAGACAGGAGAGGCATGAGGTCCAGACTTAGACACAGCTGGAGTGGTCTGATTTGTCGTCGGGAAAGTGTTGATTAGAAACGAGTTCTGTGACTGAAGCTGTAGATGCTGCTGTTTCAAATACTTTGAGCTTTAACCGTTTCATCTTGACTTTTATTACATGTTTTTGAATTTGAAACACAGTTTTAAAACACAGAAAACTGCTCTCAATCTATTTTTCTGGTCTCTCTCTCTGGTCTCTCTATTTGGTCCCCCTAAATCAGGGGTGTCAAACTCATTTTGGTCCGGGGGCCACATACAACCTAATCTGATCTCAAGTGGGCCGGACCAGGAGATGCTCTACAAAAATATCCAAAAACGGTACAAAGTCCAACTTTTTGTGCACATAAACACATTTGATTAAAACTTCCTTTAAAACACTATCCTTTAATACTCAGTTTTCTGTTACAAACTTAAATGTAACAGTGAGTTTTCCATAGTGCAAATAATGTAGCGTATTTACAATATTACATTGAAAATGGTATTTCACAATATGTATATTAATATTTGTGTGTTAGCTTTGTTTTAAGGCTCATTACAGAGAAAACCTGCTCACAAAGGTAAAGTAGGTAGATAGAAAAAAGCACTTAAACACAGCACCTCAGCTTAACCATCTTCAGTGTGGTAAGGTCCATGGTTATGTTATTATCACATTCAAACCATCTTCAGTGTGGTACGGTCCATGGTTCCATCTGGTCTCTCTCTGGTCTCTCTCTGGTCTCTCTCTGGTCTCTCTCTGGTCTCTCTCTGGTCTCTCTCTGGTCTCTCTCTGGTCTCTCTCTGGTCTCTCTCTGGTCTCTCTCTGGTCTCTCTCTCTGGTCTCTCTCTGGTCTCTCTCTGGTCTCTCTCTGGTCTCTCTCTGGTCTCTCTCTGGTCTCTCTCTGGTCTCTCTCTCTGGTCTCTCTCTCTGGTCTCTCTCTGGTCTCTCTCTGGTCTCTCTCTGGTCTCTCTCTGGTCTCTCTCTCTGGTCTCTCTCTGGTCTCTCTCTGGTCTCTCTCTCTGGTCTCTCTCTGGTCTCTCTCTGGTCTCTCTCTGGTCTCTCTCTCTGGTCTCTCTCTGGTCTCTCTCTGGTCTCTCTCTGGTCTCTCTCTGGTCTCTCTCTGGTCTCTCTCTGGTCTCTCTCTGGTCTCTCTCTGGTCTCTCTCTCTGGTCTCTCTCTGGTCTCTCTCTGGTCTCTCTCCATTTGGTCTGAACGCACCATTAGAGTTTAACAAACTCTCTCTCACTGTGCGGCTGCGATGCTAATGCTAATGTTGTTAGCACAGGTAGCTTCCCTTTACAGCAGCAGAACTAACCTCTCGCTCTGGGCACAAACAGACTGCTGTGTCTTCAGGGCCAGACAGGTTTATCTTCTGTTTTCTCAATTCTTCGCTGAAAGTGCCGTATTTTTCGCCGAGTCTTGTAGTTTAAGATGTTATTCCTTCAGCACCGCTCTGGTGGAGCCACTACAGACGCACTGGACTCACCCCTGAGCGCGGCGCTGCGGCGTCGCGGCGCCTCGCGGCGCGGAGCCTCGCGTCGCGGAGCGGCATTTTAAAATGTAACTTTATTATATTTTTACATAAATGAGCCACGGGCCGTGTCAAATCTCTTGGCGGGCCGGTTCCGGCCCGCGGGCCGTATGAATGACACCCCTGCCCTAAATGGTCTGAGTCTGTTCTCTCTCTGGCCCCCCTCTCTGGTCTCTCTCTGGTCTCTCTCTGGTCTCTCTCTCTGGTTTCTCTCTTTGGGGGCTCTCTGGTCACTCTCTGGTCTCTCTCTCTGGTCTCTCTCTCTCTGGTCTCTCTCTCTGGTCCCTCTCTCTGGTCTCTCTCTGGTCCCTCTCTAGTCTCTCTCTGGTCTTATAGTCTCTCTCTCTGGTCTCTTTCTCTAGTCTCTCTCTCTCTAGTCTTTCTTTGGTCTCTCTCTCTAGTCTCTCTCTGGTCCCTCTTTCTGGTCTCTCTCTAGTCTCTCTCTAGTCTCTCTCTGGTCTCTCTCTCTGGTCTATCTCTGGTCTCTCTCTCTGGTCTCTCTCTATAGTCTCTCTATAATCTCTCTCTGTTCTCTCTGGTCTTTCTCTCTAGTCTCTCTCTGGTCTCTCTCTGGTCTCTCTCTCTAGTCTCTCTCTAGTCTCTCTCTGGTCTCTCTCTCTGGTCTATCTCTGGTCTCTCTCTCTAGTCTCTCTCTGGTCTCTCTCTGGTCTCTCTCTCTGGTCTCTCTCTGGTCTCTCTCTCTGGTCTCTCTCTATAGTCTCTCTATAGTCTCTCTCTGGTCTCTATCTGGCCTTTCTCTCTAGTCTCTCTCTGGTCTCTCTCTGGTCTCTCTCTCTAGTCTCTCTCTGGTCTCTATATCTCAAGCAATGCTTCATGATTATAAAGGTCTTTGTCGCCTTTAGTTGAACCCATGGTAAAGCCTCAGGATTGTGAGTTTGTTTCGGAGCCTGTTAAAGCCTGATACAAAAGCCGTTCTCCTCTTTGTGTCTTCGACCTTGAAACTCTGAGAAGATCAAAGCGAATGTAAGACCTGGTCCCTGTGCTCGCCTCTCCACAGACCTGCTATCACCACAGCACACGCACACAAGACAACAGCAACAAAACACAGACAAGACACTGAGCCTCAGCTTCTTAATGCTTCTGGTCTCTAGTCTCTCTCTTGTCTCTCTCTTGTCTCTCTCTGGTCTCTATCTCTGGTCTCTCTTCAGTCTGTATCTCTGGTTGCTCTCTTTGGTCTCTCTCTTTGGTCTCTCTCTCTGGTCTCTGTCTGGTCTCTCTCTGGTGTCTCTCTCTGGTCTCTCTTTGGTCACTTCCTAGTCTCTATCTTTTGTCTCTCCCTCTGATCTCTCTCTGATCTCTCTCCCATCTCTCTCTGAAATATATCTTGTCTCTCTCTGAAATATATCTGGTCTCTCTCTGATCTCTCTCGTCTCTCTCTGGTCCATCTCAATTCTCTCTCTGATCTCTCTCTGATCTCTCTCTGGTCTCTCTCTGGTCTCTCTCTGGTCCCTCTCTTGTCCCTTTCAGCTCTCTCTCTCTGGTCCCTCTCAGTTCTCTCTCTGATCTCTCTCTGGTCTCTCTCTGGACTCCAACCAGCTTATGTTAACATCAGCCGCTAACAAACTGTTCTGTGTTTATTGTTTGTCCAGTTAAGATCCCGACTCGGAGGACGTACATCGACCCAGAGACGTGTGAGGACCTGCTACAGGCGGTTCATGCTTTCACCAAAGAACTGGACAACAACAGCATCAAGATCGAACGCATCGTCCACACGGGTGAGGGGGGAGGAGGGTTAGGGAGGAGGGTTAGGGAGGAGGGGGGGAGGACAGGCATTACACATGGACTCTCTTTGGTCCCTCTCCAGTCGATCTCTCTCGTGTCTCTGGTCTTTCTCTGCTCTCTCTCTTGTTCCTCTCTGTTCTCTCTAATCTCTCTCTGGTCTCTCTTTGCTCTCTCTCTCTCTCTCTCTCTGCTATCTTTCTCAGGTCTCTCTTTGCTCTCTCTCTGGTCTCTGTCTCAGCTCTCTCTCTCTGGTCTCTCTGCTAGCTCTTTCATGGCTCTCTTTACTCTCTCTACTCTCTCTCCGCTCTCTCTCTACTCTCTCTCCTCTCTTCTCTCTCTCTTTGCTCTCTCTCAGGTCTCTCTCTCTGGTCTCTGCTCTCTCTCAGGTCGCTCTTTCTGCTCTCTCTCTGTTCTCTCTCATGTGTGTGTGTCACCCTCTGCAGGTGACTTTGGGGAGGTGTGTCGTGGATGTCTGAAGTTGCCCAGTAAACGTGAGCTTCCTGTGGCCATAAAGACGCTCAGAGCCGGATGCTCAGAGAAACAGCGTCGGTCTTTTCTGTGTGAAGCCGGGATCCTCGGCCAGTTCGACCACTGCAACATCATCCGCCTGGAGGGCGTCATCACCACCGGTACAGTTGTGGATTCACCAACAACAGATGAGAGAATCCAACTGTTCGAATAATAGAGACCAGAAGGACCAGAGAGGGACCAGAGAGACCAGAGAGAGACCAGATGGGGACCAGAGAGAGACTAGAGAGAGTGACTAGAGAGAGCACTCGCCAGAAATATTAGAACATGTGCAGAATTATCCCAGAACATCACTGTCCTTAGACCCTCCTGCTGTAGACCTAGGACTGAGGCTATATATCCAGGGCTGAGGCTGTAGACCCAGGGCTGAGGCTGTAGACCCAGGACTGAGGCTGTAGACCCAAGACTTTGGCTGTAGATCCAGAACTGAGGCTGCAGATTCAGGACTGAGGCTGTAGACCCTAGACTGAGGTTGTAGACCCAGAACTGAGGCTATAGATCCAGGAATTCAGGACTGAGGCTGCAGATCCAGGACTGAGGCTGTAGCCAAAGGAGACACACCTTTCAGACAGGACAGATGGAGGGTGAGGTCCTGGAGGAAGTGTAGAGCGAGAGGACGAAGGTTAATGAGGCTGACGACGGAGAGGGAGAGGGTTTGGAGGATACAATGGTCAGATTGTGGAAGGCAGATCTGCAGATGAGTTGTTTCGCTCTATTTTGTCTTTTAGCAGTTTAAAGAATGTTACAGAACAGCAGGAGAAGAGTTAGGTACTTGAGCTTTGAGTTGTTTAAGCTCTCTCAGATCTCGCTAGTCCCCCTCGGCTCTCTCTGCTCTCTCGCTCTGCTCTCTCTCCCTTTCTTTAACAAACCTCTCCATATTTGGGAGTATATCAGTCTCTCTCTGGCCTCTCTCTCTTTTCTCTGGTCTCTCTCATCCTCTGAGTAATGGATTGATACTAAAGAAAGACACTCCACAAAAACTCCAAACACCTCACTTCAGACGCTGTTTGGCTTCTGTCCCTGAACAGATGTGGGGGGCTGTAATTGGTCCTCCAGGCCCAGCGGGGGCAGACTATCCCTCTCTCAGCCTTCTGCTCTGGTGCAGCCGGTCCTCTGCTCTGTTGCACCTGTGAAGAACACACACTGCAGACTAACGCCATAAACTCACTCACACGAGCAGGGACTCAGCCTGGACCCAAAAACTGTTTAAAGATGGACAATGCTAACATAGACTGTATACAGATGGATAATGCTAACATAGACTGTAGATGAATAATGCTAACACAGACTGTATACAGATGAATAATGCTAACATAGACTGTATACAGATGGATAATGCTAACATAGACTGTATACAGATGAATAATGCTAACATAGACTGTATACAGATGGATAATGCTAACATAGACTGTATACAGATGAATAATGCTAACACAGACTGTATACAGATGGATAATGCTAACATAGACTGTATACAGATGGATAATGCTAACGTAGACTGTATACAGATGGATAATGCTAACGTAGACTGTATACAGATGGATAATGCTAACCCATTAGCTCGATGAAGACCAATACTTACATGTAAAAGGGTCTGTCGCCCCTGTATTGACCAAAACCATTCCATATTTGGCAGTACACATCATCTGTGGAAAGTCTCTCTCTCTCTCAGGTCTCTCTGGTCTATTTCTGCTCTCTTTCTGGTCTCTCTAGTTTCTCTCTCTGGTCTCTCTGTGGTCTCTCTCTCTCTCTTTGGTCCAGACTCAGGTCCAGATGGCTTTGGTCCAGCTCCACAGAGCGGTGATGACTTATGAGGCGCTGAGTCAGTGGAAGACCGGGCGCCAGATTCATCAGTGAATGAATGTTGAAAATGAGCCGTTGGTGATTATTTCTGCAGCGATGATGACAACACTTCACAGCCGCGGCTTTTAGAGACTGTCAGCATCAGTCCATAATTCAAGAGACCAAAGAGAGACCATGAGAGAGAGAGAGCATTGAGAAACCAGAGAGAGAAACCAGAAAGACAGCAGAAAGAGACCAGAGAGAGAGAGACCATTGATAAACCAGAGAGAGAGACCAGAAAGAGAGCAGAAAGAGACCAGAGAGAGCCTGGAGTGAGACTAGAGTGACTAGAGATAGAGACAGAGGTCAGAGAGAGCAGAAAGAGACCTGATTGAGACCAGAGAGGGGCTAAAGGGAGGCCAGATACAGGCCAGAGAGAGACCAGAGAGGGACTAGAGGAAGGCCAGAATGAGACCAGAGAGGGACTAGAGGGAGGCCAAAGAGAGACCAGATAGAGACCAGAGAGGGACTATAGAGACCAGAGAGAGACTAGAGAGAGAGAGATGGAATCTTGAATGAAGTTTGCCTGTTGTCCTTGTCCTCGCGTAGGTTTCCTCCGGGTGCTCCGGTTCCCAGGCCCTACTGCTCCTGACAAACGCCATAGTGGCATCTGAATGGATCAAATACTTGTATATGGAAGTCAATAAGAGCCAGAGAGAGGAGCCAAACTTCACCATGAGCTTCTCTCTATTGGGCTTCACTGTGACATTGTGTGTTGTGTTTGTAGGTAACACCATGATGATCGTGGAGGAGAGCATGTGTAACGGCTCTCTGGACTCCTTCCTCAGGGTGAGACACTGCTTTACTCTTCACTATTTTCACCAGACTCTCTCTCTTTCTCTCTGGTCTCTCTCCCTTGTCTGTCTCTGGTCTCTCTCTGCTCGCTCTCTGGTCTCTCTCTGGATTCTCTCTCTGCTCTCTCTCTCTCTGCTCTTTCCCCCTTGTCTGTCTCTGCTCTCTCTGGTCTCTCTCTGGTCTCTCCCCCTTGTCTCTCTCTGGTCTCTCTCTCTCTCTCTCTCTCTCTCTCTCTCTCTCTCTCTCTCTCGCTCACTCTCACGCTCTCTCCCTCTCTCCTTTGTCTGTCTCTGGTATCTCTCTGATCTCTCTCTGGTCTGTCTCTGCTTTCTCTCTGCTCTACCTCTTTTCTGTCTCTCTACTCTTCCTCTGCTCTCTCTCTGCTCTCTCCTTTGTCTGTCTTTGGTCTCTCTCTGGATTCTCTCTCTGCTCTGTCTCTGGTGTCTCTCTGCACTACCTCTATTCTCCCTCTCTACTCTTCCTCTGCTCTCCCTCTGTTTTAGACCTGATTTGACCTAAGTCTGTACAGTTTTTCCCCCGCTGTTCTTCTTTGTGCTCGAGATTTCTCGTTTCTCGTTCCTTTTATACATAAACCACTGCAGCTGCTCCTTAACCATTCTAATTAATTGCCAGTTTGTTTTTATTCCTCTAATAAATTCTCTCAGTTCACTGGGCGTAACACGAGCTAACAGCTGTTTGTTCCACTGGGAAATGTTCTGTATTATTTATTATTAATGTTTTTGTTTTTCTGGCTCAGAAGGACGAGGGCTGAGTGGGGTTTAGAGAGAGACAGATCAGAGAGAGAGACAGATCAGATAGAGAGAGCGAGAGAGACCAGAGAGAGAGAGAGCGACAATAGAGATAGACCAGAGAGAAAGAGAGACAGACAATAGAGAGAGACCAGAGAGAGAGACGGACAATAGAGAGAGAGCAGAAAGAGACCAGAGAGAGAGAAAGAGCTACAAAAGAGAGAGACCAGAGAGAGAGAGAGACGGACAATAGAGAGAGAACAGAAAGAGACCAGAGAGAGAGAAAGAGCGACAATAGAGAGAGACCAGAGAGAGAGAGCGACAATCGAAAGAGACCAGAGAGAGAGAGAGAGACAGATAATAGAGAGAGACCAGAGAGAGAGACGGACAGTAGAGAGAGAGAGACAGACAATAGAGAGAGACCAGAGAGAGAGACGGACAGTAGAGAGAGAGAGACAGACAATAGAGAGAGACCAGAGAGAGAAACGGACAGTAGAGAGAGAGAGACAGACAATAGAGAGAGACCAGAGAGAGAGACGGACAGTAGAGAGAGAGCAGAAAGAGACCAGAGGGAGAGAAAGAGCTACAATAGAGAGAGACCAGAGAGAACAGGGAGAGAACACAGAGAGGGAGACCACAGAGTGACCAGAGAGAGAGACCAGAGACAGTGAGCAGAGAGAGAGACCAGAGAGAGAGAGAAGAGGGAGAGAACAGAGAGAGACCACAGAGAGAGAGCGAGAGAGACTCATTGTGTTTGTGTGTGTCAGAAACACGAGGGTCAGCTCAGTGCGGTGCAGCTCATGGACACGATGGCAGCTGTGGCTTCAGGGATGAAGTATCTGACAGAGATGGGCTTCATCCACAAGAGGCTCGCCGCTCATAAGGTGAGAGTACACCTAATAGCGAGTACACCTAAGAGAGAGTACACCTGAGAGAGCACACAGGAGAGAGATTACACCTGAGAGAGCACACAGGAGAGAGTACACCTAAGAGAGAGCACACATGAGAGAGTACATCTGAAAGAGAGGACACCTGAGAGAGAGCACATCTGATAGAGTGCACCTGACAGAGCACACATGAGAGAGAGAGTACACCTGGGAGAGAGTACACCTGAGAGAGAGAGCATACCTGGGAGAGAGTACACCTGAGAGAGAGAGCATACCTGGGAGAGAGTACACCTGAGAGAGAGAGCACACCTGGGAGAGAGTACACATGAGAGAGATTACACATGAGAAAGAGTACACCCCAGAGACAGTACACATGAGAGAGTACATCTGATAGAGAGTACACCTGAGAGAGGGGTACACCTGAGAGTGAGATTACACCTGAGAGAGAGTACACTTGAGAGAGAGTACACATGAGAGAGAGAGTACACATTAAATAATAATAATGCAGGGGTTTTATCTCTTTCCAGTCAAAGTCTCTTCACATCATAAATCTTTCTCTCCAAACACGGTGGCGATAAACTACTATAGCCACAGCTGCCCTGGGGCACACTGACAGAAACGAGAGCCCACATGAGTTGGTTTAAATCACTAGTACTTGGTCCTGGTCTTAGTCCTGGTCCTGGACAAACTAGTGAGAGAAACAACTGCTTTAGAGACAAGAACGAGACTTGGGTTTTTTACAGAGTTCTATTGTTGCGGCGAGAAAGTTACAGACCTCAGCTTTAAGTGATCACAGTCTCCTCACTGGACTTTGGCTCGAAACACTGATGCAGCAGCGAGTGACGGAGGCCGAGAGAGGTCAGAACAGGACAGGGCCGACTGAGGCCACAACCAAGAACCAGCCTGCAGGGAGGAGAGTCCTGGGTCTACAGCCTCAGTCCCGGGTCTACAGCCTCAGTCCTGGATCTACAGCCTCAGTCCCGGGTCTACAGCCTCAGTCCTGGATCTACAGCCTCAGTCCCGGGTCTACAGCCTCAGTCCCGGGTCTACAGCCTCAGTCCTGGATCTACAGCCTCAGTCCCGGGTCTACAGCCTCAGTCCTAGATCTACAGCCTCAGTCCCGGGTCTACAGCCTCAGTCCTGGATCTACAGCCTCAGTCCTGGGTCTACAGCCTCGGTCCTGGGTCTACAGCCTCAGTCCTGGGTCTACAGCCTCAGTCCTGGATCTACAGCCTCAGTCCCGGGTCTACAGCCTCAGTCCTGGATCTACAGCCTCAGTCCCGGGTCTACAGCCTCAGTCCTGGATCTACAGCCTCAGTCCCGGGTCTACAGCCTCAGTCCTGGATCTACAGCCTCAGTCCTGGGTCTACAGCCTCGGTCCTGGGTTTATAGCCTTAGTCCTGGGTCCACGGCCTCAGTCCTGGGTCTACGGCCTCAGTCCTGGGTCTACAGCCTCAGCCCTGGGTCTACAGCCTCAGTTCCGCCCTATGTGTTTTTTATAATCACATTTCTTCTGATCTGTTGTTGGTGAATCCACAACTCAGAGACGACTGCTGCTGTGATTAAGAGCGTGACACTGACACATTTGTTTGTGCCTCAACATAAAAAAGTTGAGGGTTCGATTCCGTCTGGGACCTTTGGCTCAGTCTTCCTGAACGCTGTCATTAGATGTGTCTCTGATCTCGTCTCATTTGTTCGTTTGTTGTCAGGTTCTGGTGAACTCTAATCTCTGCTGCAAAGTGTCAGGGTTCAGACCTCTGCAGGAAGAAAAGATGGAGGCCGTCTACACTACACTGGTACGACATCGCTCTCTGGACTCTCTCTTTGGCCTCTCTCTCTGGTCTCTCTTACTAGTGTCTCTCTCTGGTGTCGCTCTGGTCTCTCTTACTGGTCTCTCTTACTGGCCTCTCTTTCTGGTCATTCTCTTGTCTCACTCTGATCTCTCCTAGTCTCTCTCTCTCTGGCCTTTCTCTGGGCTCTCTCTCTGGCCTTTCTCTGGGCTCTCTCTCTGGTCTTTCTCTTGTCCCTCTCTGGTCTCTCACTCTCTCCGTCTGGTCTCTCTCTGGTGTTTCTCTGGTCTCTCTTAATTGTGTCTCTCTCTGGTCTCAGGTGTCTCTCTCTCTAGTCTCTCTCTCTGGTCTCTCTTTCTGGTCTCTCTTTCTGGTCGCTCTCTTGTCTCAGGTGTCTCTCTCTGGTCTCCCTCTGGTCTCAGGTGTCTATTTCTGGTGTCCCTCTGGTCTCAGGTGTCTCTCTTACTGGTCTCTCTTACTGGTCTCGCTTTCTCATATGCATTGATGGTCTTTCTTCTACCCGCAGCATGGAGGTAAGAGTGTGGTGTTATGGTCCGCTCCGGAGACGATCCAGTTTCACCGTTTCTCCTCGGCCTCCGACGTCTGGAGCTTTGGGATCGTGATGTGGGAAGTGATGTCATACGGAGAGAGACCCTACTGGGACATGGGCCAGGAGGACGTGAGTCTGGGACACTCGACTCTACTCTACTCTACTCGACTCTACTCTACTCTACTCTATTCTTCACTACTTTAAGCTGCAAGATATTCTCTCCTTCCCCATCTGGTCCTGGTTCTGATCCTGGTTTCAGTCCTTTTTTTATCTCAGTCCTGGTCCTGTTTCTGGTCTCAATCCTGGTCCTGGTCTCAGTTCTGGTCTCAGTCCTGATCTCAGTTCTGGTCCTGATCTCAGTCCTCGTCCTGTTTCTGGTCTCAAACCTGGTCCTGGTCTCAGTGCTAGTCCAGGTCTCAGTCCTAGTCTCAGTCCTGGTCTCAGTCCTGGCTCAGTCCTGGTCTCAGTCCTGGTCTCAGTCCTGGTCTCAGTCCTGGTCTCAGTCCTGGTCTCAGTCCTGGTCCTAGTCTCAATCCTGGTCCTGGTCTCAGCGCTTTTTCCTGTTCTCAGTCCTGGTCCTGGTCTCAATCCTGGTCCTGGTCTCAGTGCTTTTTCCTGTTCTCAGTCCTGGTCTCAGTCCTGGTCCTGGTCTCAGTCCTGATCTCAGTCCTGGTCTCAGTCCTGGTCTCAGTCCTGGTCTCGGTCCTGGTCCTGGTCTCCTTCACCTCTGTGCCTCTTTATCCAGACACACAGTGGAATCGCATTAATCCACTGCGTCACTGAGCACTTCTCCCTCTCTTCTAAGTCTCCTTTTCAACTCTCTGCGTTTAGCTGCGAGACTGATCCTGTTACCTTCATAAGGACACACGGACTCCCCCGTCCTGACTCACCCCTGAGCTCCCCCGTCCTGACTCACCCCTGAGCTCCCCCGTCCTGACTCACCCCTGAGCTCCCCCGTCCTGACTCACCCCTGAGCTCCCCCATCCTGACTCACCCCTGAGCTCCCCCGTCCTGACTCACCCCTGAGCTCCCCCATCCTGACTCACCCCTCCTGTCCTGGGCTCCTTCACCTTGTCTTTGACACCCCACACTTTCTTTTTTCTCCACCTTGTCTGCTCCTTCTCATCTCCTTCTCATCTCCTTCTCTTCTCCTCCTCGTCTCCTCCTCGTCTCCTTCTCATCCCCTTCTCTTCTCCTTCTCTTCTCATCCTCGTCTCCTCCTCGTCTCCTTCTCGTCTCCTTCTGATCTCCTTCTGATCTCCTTCTCATCTCCTTCTCTTCTCCTCCTCGTCTCCTCCTCGTCTCCTTCTCATCCCCTTCTCTTCTCCTTCTCTTCTCATCCTCGTCTCCTCCTCGTCTCCTTCTCGTCTCCTTCTGATCTCCTTCTGATCTCCTTCTCATCTCCTTCTCTTCTCCTTCTCTTCTCCTTCTCTTCTCCTCCTCGTCTCCTCCTCGTCTCCTCCTCGTCTCCTTCTCATCTCCTTCTCATCTCCTTCTCTTCTCCTTCTCTTCTCCTCGTCTCCTCCTCGTCTCCTTCTCATCTCCTTCTCATCTCCTTTTCTTCTCCTTCTCTTCTCCTCCTCGTCTCCTCCTCGTCTCCTCCTCGTCTCCTTCTCATCTCCTTCTCATCTTCTCTTCTCCTTCTCTTCTCCTCCTCGTCTCCTTCTCGTCTCCTCCTCGTCTCCTTCTCATCTCCTTTTCTTCTCCTTCCCACCTAGTTCTCATCTCCTTCTCATCTCCCTCTCATCTCCTTCCCCGTTTCCTTCTCGTCTCCTTCTCATGTCCTTGGAGGAAAGTGCGCTCTGTCGAACAGGTTCAGAATATTGTCCAAACCCTTCTTCAGAACAGAGTCCTCAGAGAGACGTAGTTACTCTAAAGTTACTCATCAGTGATGATGTTCTGGAGTCATAAATGTTTAAATACAGACCGTAAACCCACTGTAACCTCCTCCCAGACCACATTATTCTGATTTTTTAACATAATTACACTAATCACATCCTCACCCTCCCTCCCCCGCTCCCTCACCCCCTCCCCGGTCCCCACTTCTCTGTCCTGAAATAATCCTGATTTTGTGAAACGTTGTTAAAAGCTCATTTATTATTCCTCTCCTTCGACTCTCTCTCTAGTTCCTCTCTCTCTGGTCTCTCTCTGGTCTCTCTCTGGTCTTTCTCTGGTTTCTTTTTGGTCTCCCTTTTGCTGGTCTCTCTCTAGTCTCTCTTTCTCTCTGGTCTCTCTCTGGTCTCTTTCTGGTGTTTCTCTGGTTTCTTTTTGGTCTCCCTCTTGCTGGTCTCTTGCTCTCTCTCTGGTCTCTTTCTGGTCTCTCTCTGGTCCTTCTCTCTGGTCTTCCTCTGCTCTCTCTCTGGTCTCCCTCTGGTCTCTCTCTGGTCTTCCTTCTCAGTCTCTGTCTCACAGTGAGGAGAAGACTTGTTCTCTCTCGCCCTCACCTTGTCTTTAAGGGAGACCAGGGCTAGAGAGACCAGAGAGAGAGAGAGACCAGAGAGAGAGAGACCAGTGAAAACAAAAAGAGAGACTAAATAGAGACCAGAGAGAGAGCCCAGAGAGAGAGTCCAGAGAGAGAGACCAGACAGAGACCAGAGAGAGAGACTAGAAATAGAGAAAGAGAGAGAGAACAGAAAGAGAGACTGGAGAGAGACCAGAGACACCGCAAAGAAAGATATATATAGGGAGAGACAAGCAAGAGAGACCAGGGGGAGAGAAAGAGATCCCAGAGAGAGAGACCACAGAGAGAGCAGAGAGAAAACACAGCTTGTGATGTCACAGAGGAATGTGCTGCTGCGGACGCTTCTTTCTCATTTTAATCCGATTTTGCGCCGAGCTTTTGGAAGATTGTTTTCTGAGACAAACAGTGACAGAGGAACACAAGTGCTCATAACAGGGACTGAGAGGGCCTGAGGAGGAGACCAGAGCTGAGGAGGAGACCAGAGCTGAGGAGGAGACCAGAGCTGAGGAGGAGACCAGAGCTGAGGAGGAGACCAGAGCTGAGGAGGAGACCAGAGCTGAGGAGGAGACCAGAGTTGAGGAGGAGACCAGAGTTGAGGAGGAGATTAGAGAGAAAATAAAACCCTATTAATTTATAACACGTGTGTTTGAGTAATTTAGTCCATAAAAAAACTCAACCTCTCCCCTCTTTCTGGTCTCTCTCTCTCTTTTCTCACTCTGTGCTCTCTCCGCGCTCTCTCTCCTCACTCTCTCCTCTCCTCCTCTCTCTACTCTCTCTGGTCCCTCTCTCCTCTTTCTTTCACTCTCTCCTCTCTCTGCTCTCTTCGTGGTCTCTCTTTCCTCTCTCTCTCTTCTTCCCCTCTCTCTGGTGTCTTTCCGCCCTCTCTCTCTGGATTTTCTGCTATCTCTATCCTATCTCTCTCCTCTCCCTGATTGCGCTCTCTCTGCTCTTTCCTCTCTCTGGTCTCTCTCTTTGGCCTCGCTTTGGTCTCTCTCTCTCTCTCTCTGTCTCTACTCTCTCTCTGCTCTCTTTCTCCTCTCTCTTTATGGTCTATCTCTCCTCATTCTCCTCTCTACCCCTCTCTCCTCTCTCTCTTTCTGCTCTCTCTCAGCCCACTCTCTCCTCTCTCTCTGTCTCCTGGTTATTCATTGATGGTCCTGGTGTCTTCCTGGTGTCTTCCTGGTGCAGGTGATAAAGGCGATAGAGGATGGGTTTCGTCTTCCCGCTCCGGTCAACTGTCCTCCACACCTCCATCAGCTGATGTTGGATTGTTGGCAGAAGGAGAGAACGGAGAGACCCAGCTTCAGCCAGATCCACTCTGCTCTCAGCAAAAGTATCCGCTCTCCAGATGGTCTCGGCTCCTCCACACTGGCACGCAGGTGAGAGGGACTGTAGGCAGGGGTATGTGAGCCGCGAGAGCTGGCACGCAGGTGAGAGGGACTGTAGGCAGGGGTATGTGAGCCGCGAGAGCTGGCACGCAGGTTAGAGGGACTGCAGGCAGGGGTATGTGAGCCGCGAGAGCTGGCACGCAGGTGAGAGGGACTGTAGGCAGGGGTATGTGAGCCGCGAGAGCTGGCGCGCAGGTGAGAGGGACTGTAGGCAGGGGTATGTGAGCCGCGAGAGCTGGCGCGCAGGTGAGAGGGACTGTAGGCAGGGGTATGTGAGCCGCGAGAGCTGGCACGCAGGTGAGAGGGACTGCAGGCAGGGGTATGTGAGCCGCGAGAGCTGGCACGCAGGTGAGAGGGACTGCAGGCAGGGGTATGTGAGCCGCGAGAGCTGGCACGCAGGTGAGAGGGACTGTAGGCAGGGGTATGTGAGCCGCGAGAGCTGGCACTGCAGAAGGACACAAGGAAGAGTAATGAGATGTCCCTGATCTCACTGGCCTCTCTGTCCCTGGTCTCTCTTTGTGATCTCTCTCTCCACAGGACTCTGACATCTCTCTCTCTCCGACCTGTCTCTCTCTCTCTCTGATCTGTCTCTATCTCTGGCCTGTCTCTTTCTCCTCAAGACCTTGACCTGTCTGTCTCTCTGACCTGTCTTTCTCTCTCCATGACATGTCTCTCTCTCTCTGATCTGGCTCTCTCTCCTCAGGACCCTGATCTGTCTCTGACCGGTCTCTCTCTCTCTCTCTCTCTCTGACCGGTGTCTCTCTCTCTCTCTCTCTCTCTCTGACCGGTGTCTCTCTCTCTCTCTCTCTCTCTGACCGGTCTCTCTCTCTCTCTCTCTCTCTGACCGGTCTCTCTCTCTCTGATCTGTCTCTCTCTCTCTGATCTGTCTCTCTCTGACCTCTCTCTTTGACCTGTCTTTCTCTCTCCATGACATGTCTCTCTCTCTCTCTCTCTCTGACCGGTCTCTCTCTCTCTCGCTCTCTCTCTCTCTCTCACTCTGACCTGTCTCCCTGACCTGTCTCTCTCTCTCTCTCTCTCTGACCTGTCTTTCTCTCTCCATGACATGTCTCTCTCTCACTCTGACCTGTCACTCTGTCTTTCTAACCTGTCTCTCTCCCTGACCTGTCTCTCTCTCCTCAGGACCCTGACCTGTCTCTCTCTCTGATCTAGCTCTTTCTCTGTCTTTCTCTCTCCATGACATGTCTCTCTCGGACCTGTCTCTCCCTCTCTAACCTCTCTCGCCGCTCTCGCTATCTCCGACCTCTCTCTCTCTCTGACCTTTCTCTCTCTGACCTCTCTCGTCGCTCTCTCTCTTTCTCTCTGACCTGTCTCTCTCTCTGACCTCTCTCGCCTCTCTCTCTCTCTCTCTCTCTCTCTGACCTTTCTCTCTCTGACCTCTCTCGTCACGCTCTCTCTCTCTCTCTCTCTGACCTCTCTCGTCACGCTCTCTCTCTCTCTCTCTCTCTCTCCCTAACCTGTCTCTCTCTCCGCAGGACCCTGAGCTCCTCCATCTCCATAGCAGAGCGTCAGATGGCCTCCCTCCCTAACTTCAGCTCAGTGGGAGAGTGGCTGGAGGCTGTGGACATGGGACGGTACAAGGACAACTTCACTGCTGCAGGATACTGCTACCTGGAGTCTGTGGCCCGCATGACGGTCCAGTAAGTACCAGGACCAAACCAGGACTAAACCAGGACTAAACCAGGTCTATACCAGGACCAAACCATGACTAAAGCAGGACTAAACCAGGTCTAAACCAGGACTAAACCAGGACTAAACCAGGACTAAACTAGCTCTAAACCAAGACTAAACCAGGACTAAATCAAGTCTATACCAGGACCAAACCATGACTAAAGCAGGACTAAACCAGGTCTAAACCAGGACTAAACCAGGACTAAACCAGGACTAAACTAGCTCTAAACCAAGACTAAACCAGGACTAAATCAAGTCTAAACCAAGACATATCCAAGACTAAATCAGGACTAAACCAGGGCAATAGCCAGGACTAAAGCAGAACTAAACCAGGACTAAACCAGGTCTAAACCAAGGCTAAACCAGGACTAAGGTGTAAATCAAGACTAAACCAGCTCTAAACCAGGTCTAAACCAGGAGTAAGCCAGGACTAAACCAAGACTAAACCAGCTCTAAACCAGGTCTAAACCAAGACTAAACCAGGACGAAACCAGGTCTAAACCAAGACTAAACCAGGAATAAACCAGGACTAAACCAGGTCTAAACCAGGGCTAAACCAGGACTAAACCAGGACTAAACCAGGACTGAATAGCTCTAAATCAGGACCAAACCAGGACCAAATTAGGTCTAAACCAGGACTAAAGCAGGTCTAAACCAATCAGGGCTAAACCAGGACTAAACTAGGTCTAAACCAGGTCTAAACCAATCAGGGCTAAACCAGGACTAAACTAGGTCTAAACCAGGACCAGGCCAGACACATCGGAGCCTGTGTCAGAGCTGGGAGGCGCCTACAGAGAGGAGCAGGTGATAATTGAATTGATAAGGTGTGAATAAATGGAAATGCACTGACATAATTTATTGGCGTGGCGCAGTTATATTCACAGCTGTTTATGTGAATCCAATCTTTTAATTGAATCCTGCAGGAAACACACTGGGAACTTTAGGAATCAGGATCAAACATCTATTTCAATTATTAGAAAAACAATTATGGTTTTATTGTGTGGTCATTAACAAAGCCATGTGTTTGTGTCTCAAATCCCAGCAGCAGTCGTCTTAAAGTTGTGGATTCACCAAAACAGATCCGAAAATCAAACAGTTCAAACTCAGGAGCCAGACCAGAGAGAGACCAGAGAGAGACCAGAGAGAGACCAGAGAGAGACCAGAGAGAGACCAGAGAGAGACCAGAGAGGGAGACCAGAGAACAGTGAGAGAGACCAGAGAGAGACCAGAGAGGGATCAGAGAGAGAGACCAGAGAGAGAGACCAGAGAGAGACCAGAGAGAGAGACCAGAAAGAGAGACCAGAGAGAGAGACCAGAGATAGACCAGAGAGAGAAGCTATGGAGAAAAAAGAAGAGAATAAGAGACTATGGAGAGACCAGAGAAAGACCAGAGATGTACTCAAGAGAGGCGAGAAAGAAACCAGAGATAGACCATTAGTCCATGAATGTCCTGGATGCTCAATGTCGTTCATCGGTCAAATAAACATTATTAATACTGAAGCATCTCGGACGTGTGTCTCTCACCAACACATGGAGCAAAATACTTTTTTATTGACATCTAAAAACACAAATCTCACACTAAACCTGTGTGTAATTAAAGCAGGTGGAGGCAGCAGAACCAAACATGGCTCCAACAAATGCATTAAAATCTTCTTTACTCTGACCTTAAACCTGTCTCTCCCCCCCCTCCCTCTCTCTCCCCCCTCCCTCTCTCTCCCCCTCTCCCTCTGTCTCCTCCTCTCCCCCCTTCCCTCTCTCTCCCCTTCTCCCTCTCTCCCCCCGTCTCCCTCTCTCTCCTCCCTTTCCCTCCACCCCTCTCTCTCTCCCTCCCTCTCTGCCTCCCCCTCTTTCCCTCTCCTCAGAGACGTCATGAGTCTTGGGATCACGTCCCTGGAGCACCAGAAGCTGATCCTGACGGCGATCCAGACTCTGCGAGCGCAGGTGCTGCAGATGCACGGCCGCGGCGTCCAGGTCTGACACTTCCTGCTTCCTGTCCGTCATCTTTGGACCGCTCTGGCATTCAATCTGATGAGAGGAGGTGGGATCAGGGAGCGATAAGGACTCCTCTATGAAAGCTACTTCCAGGGAATCTCCCACGATGCCTTTCTCTGGTTCCAAAATGTCTGTTTCCAGCGTTTGGAGAGATCTGGAACCACAACAGAGAGGTCTCTGCTCCTTCCAGCATCAGCGGCCATGACTCCTCTGTCGCAGTTTAGTATTTACTGTTCTACAATATCTGAGTGGACTTTGGAAAGGATTATGTACCAAAGCAAAGGTACAGAGACCAGAGAGAGACTGTAGAGAGACTAGACAGAGACCAGAGGGACACCAGAGAGAGAGACCAGGAAGAGACCAGAGAGAAAATAGAGAGAGACAAAAATAGAGGGACCAGAGAGACTGGTTCTTGCTTCAGTATTGAACTTTGTGAAGTTGAATGCATTCATTTTGCTGAAAGTGAAGATTTTGAGAGAGATCGTCGACGCCTGGAGACATTGGCGTCTCTCTGTTGGCACGTTCTTCCAACGATGTGGATTTTAGAACAACCTCAACCCCAAGACTGAGACAGAGGTTTGGAGCATTGGAAAGACTTGCAGGAAGAAAACTTTGAAATGTTAGATTTTGTTGCCTGTAGAATAAATGCAAAGTGTAAAACCGCAGGATGGTCGGGTCTCTCACAGTGTAATTCTGAAATATAAACACATTGGGGTTTCTCTCGTTTGGACCAACACTCCCGAACAGTCTTTGATCAGAGTTTGAGACGAGTCGTGGCCTCGCTGTTTCACTGTTTACTCCAAAAACATCATAGAGCTGCTACTATAACAGGATCGTTACCTTTACTTAAAGGTCTCCTTATCTGTTCACTCTCTGTGGTCTGTACTCTCTCGTTTCTCTCTCTCTCTCTCTGGTCTCTCTTTCTGGTCTCTCTCTCTGGCCTTTCTCCCTGGTCTCCATTTCTGTTCACTCTCTATGGTCTCTCTCTGGTCTCTCTCTTCTCTTTCTCTGGTCTCTTTCTTGTCTCTTTATGGTCTCTCTCTGGCCTCTCTCCCTGGTCTATTTCTGGTCTCCATTCTTCACTCTCTTTGGTCTCTCTTTCTAGTCTCTAGCTGGCCTATTTCTTCTCTCTTTCTGGTCTCTCTCCCTTTCCTCTCTCTCTGCTCTCTTTCTGGTCTCTCTCTCTATCTTTGGTCTCTCTCTGGCCTCTTTCCACAGTCAGTCTCTCTGGTCTTCATTTCTGTTCACTCTCTCTGGTCTATACTCTCTCTCTCTCTTGTCTCTCTCTTTCTGGTCTCTCCATTGTCTCTCTCTCTAGTGTCTCTCTCTGGTCTCTCCCTCTGGTCTCTCTCCTGATATGATGTTATTGGTGCATGCATGTGGCAGAAGTTGAACCATGCGGCAGAGACCACACTGATCATACGTGAGACTTCCTGAGCAGTGACCTGGCTCCTCTGAAGCCTCTATCGCCCCCTTCAGGCCTCACAGAGTCACAGCGGGACAAACGTTACACAGAGCAGCTTTAAACTTAGTAAAATCTCTGAGACTTTTGTTCTGTATCTTTGCGTTTCCTTTTCTGCAGATGCTGAGATGAAACCAGGTGGACGCTTCACTCCTGAAAATCCATCATTATTTATTTCTGTTTAAGGCTTTATTTAACTATGTACAATATTTAAAGATGTTTATTATTGTGTTGTTTTGAGATTTTGTGTTGTACAGTAGTTTCTGACTCTCTGCACAGTTCTCTGCACTGAACCTTCTTCTGCTGTTTCTGTTTGAGCGAAGTGGACGAGCTGCAGATTATGAGACGAGAGTTTGAGGAAATTAATGTTAAGGATTAAACGTTTGGCCCAGATTTAATTCTGTGTTTATGCAGTGAAGCTACCGTCATTATCCACCTGTAACACACACACACACAGAGAGAGAGAGAGACACAGACACACAAAAACAGAGAGACAGGCACACAGACACACACAGAGACAGAGAGACAGTCACACAGACACACACAGAGACAGAGAGACATAGACACACAAAGACAGACACACAAAGACAGAGAGACAGGCACACAGACACACACAGAGACAGAGAGACAGGCACACAGACACACACACAGACAGAGAGACACACACACAGACACACACAGAGACAGAAAGCGTTTGTATCATAAATTCATTAGTTATCATTTTAAAATGGTTTTATGGTCTAATTTGTCATATGCAGGAAAAAGAGAGAGAAAGACTAGAGAGAGGCCAGAGAGGGACCAGAGAGGGACCAGAGAGGGACCAGAGAGGGACCAGAGAGGGACCAGAGAGGGACCAGAGAGATAGACCAGAGAGGGACCAGAGAGGGACCAGAGAGATAGACCAGAGAGGGACCAGAGATAGACCAGAGAGATAGACCAGAGAGATAGACCAGAGAGATAGACCAGAGAGATAGACCAGAGAGATAGACCAGAGAGATAGACCAGAGAGATAGACCAGAGAGATAGACCAGAGAGATAGACCAGAGAGATAGACCAGAGATAGACCAGAGAGAGACCAGAGAGATAGACCAGAGAGACCAGAGAGATAGACCAGAGAGACCGACCAGAGAGAGACCAGAGAGACCAGAGAGATAGACCAGAGAGAGACCAGAGAGATAGACCAGAGATAGACCAGAGAGAGACCAGAGAGAGACCAGAGAGAGAGACCAGAGAGAGACCACAGACATATCACAGCCATTGTTTTTTCTCCAAACAATAAAAGCACATTTGTTGAATTTCTCGATCTTCCACAAATTGTATCTCATCGCTTGTGCCTCGCTGCTCGTCACAGGTTTTAGGTTTCAATTTGTTTTTGAATCTTCTGTAAAAATCTGTTCATGTTTGAGAAATATTCTAAAGAGGAATGTATTCACTGAGAGGAGAGAGGTTTGGTTTGAGGATTAAAAAACTAACTACTAGTATTCCTCCACACTGACACCAGAAAGAGAGAGAGAGAGTAAAAGACCAGGGAGAGAGAGAGAGAGAGAGAACAGAGAAATACCAGGGAGAGGGAGAGAGAGAGAGAGAGAGAAAGACCAGGGAGAGGGAGAGAGAGAGACAGAGAGAGACCAGGGAGAGCGAGAGAGAGAGAGAGAGAGAGACCAGGGAGAGGGAGAGACAGAAAGACCAGGGAGAGGGAGAGAGACAGAGAAAGGCCAGGGGGAGAGAGAGAGACAGAGACAACAGAGAGAGTGAGACAACAGAGAAAGACCAGAGAGATGGAGAGAGAGAGAGACCAGAGAGGGAGAGAGAACAGAGAAAGTCCAGGGAGAGAGAGACAACAGAGGGGGAGAGAGACTAGAGAACGGCCTGAGAGAGACCAGAGGGAGCTGCCATTTCTCCTCAGAAATGACCAGAACTAATTGATGAACCATAAGTTAAACACAAACTCTTCTCAGTGAATGCTTTGATCTTCTGTAAAACTCTGAACCCGAGCGTGAAGCGAGTTCCAGGGCATTAAAGTCTCTGTATGTTTCATAATGTACATATGTATTTGACAAAAGCCAAGATTCTATTTTTATAATTTGTTTGCAGACGGACGTGTTGAATATACTCACTGTGTTTGAGAGAAACCTCTGCTTTTTAGATTTACATGATTTTTACTGTTAGAATAAAACTGATGTCGACCTAAGGAACGTGTTATTAAATAAGTGCAATGCAAGACTTTTCTCTGTGTTTAAGACCATAATGAGACCGGAGAGAGAGGGACCAGAGAGAGACAAGTGGAACAGAAAAGATAAAAACAAACCAGGGTTCTGAACTAAAACACTATAAAGAACTATGTGGTCTCAAATGATGTGTTAACTCCGGATGGGAGGGGCCACAGCTCCTCCTCACTCACCTCAGAATCTCGTCATGGTCCCCTCCTTCTGAGTCCCAGGACCCTGTTTGTTTACTCCAGAATGCAGGGATTAATGTGGAAATCCGATTTCACCAGAGAGCGGGAAGACAGCACTATTGTGTCCGAGCCCAGGGAGGAGGGGGAGGAAGACGGGGAGGTAGAGGGGGAGGAAGAGGCACCTTCACAGAGATTTAGGTGAGACCCTCCTGTGGAGCCTTTATCCTGGAGGATTTAACCTGCACCAGACCAGGAGGAGAGAGAGGAAGAGGAGGAGAGAGAGGAAGAAGAGAAGAGAAAGGAAGAGGAGGAAGGAGAGAGAGGGTTGGAGGACTTGTGGATGTGGATTCACCAACATTAGATTAGAGAATCAAACGCAAGAAATGCAATAATAAGAAACTGGGACTGTAGACCTAAGACTGAGACTGTAGACCCAGGACTGACTGTAGACCCAGGACTGACTGGAGACCCAGGACTGAGACTGTAGATCCAAGAGTGAGACTGTAACCCAGGACTGACTGTAGATCCAGGACTGAGACTGTAGACCCAGGACTGAGACTGTAGACCCAGGACTGAGACTGTAGACCTAGGACTGAGACTGTAGATCCAGGACTGAGACTGTAGACCCAGGACTAAGACTGTAGACCCAGGACTGAGGCTGCAGACCCACAGGACTGAGGTTGTAGACCCAGGACTGACGCTGTAGACCCAGGACTGAGACTGTAGACCCAGGACTGAGGCTGTAGACCCAGGACTGAGACTGTAGACCCAGGACTGAGACTGTAGATCCAGGAGTGGGTTAGTCCATATATGTACAGTCTGAAAGAACTGAAGTGACCCTGGCCTCACACCTGCTCCTGGATTAAACTCATTCTTTCCTGTGAAGCTTCTAACTCCCTATACAAATGTTTGGGGACATTTCACCGTCTTCTCTCTGTCTCTGAGTCTGTGATGTCACATCCATCACTCACTCGCTGTCACTCTGCATCAGGAGGATTACTTTTCAGGCCTCAGAGATCCACAGTGACAGGTGATAACACACTCTTTATACAGATTCACATGATTCAGCTCAGAATAGAGTTTCATAAGACTTTATACAAATGGACAATCCTAACATAGCTCTCTCTCTCTGGTCTCCCTCCCTGGTCTATCACTTGTCTCTCTCTCTGGTCTCTTTCTGGTCTCAAACAAAGCCGTTATTATTATAGATCCATGAACAAAACCTACCCCGTTCAACCAACCATAGACAGCGCGGAAAGATCTGCTTTCATGGCCTTAGAGTGACACCTGCCGGAGAGAAAGGGTACTGCAGCACACACATAAACATATATATTATATATATTATATTATGTTTGTGCTGCAGCCTCCTTTATAGATATGTTGCATATATAACACATATTCATAAAGGAGGCTTTGATTTCTGTTATAAAACATTTATTGAACAGACCAACAAACAAAAAAAGAAACGGCAGTGTTTATTTTGCAAGAGTGCAGGCGTCCATGGGTCTCTCTTCTTAGATGGATGGATCAAGTTTAATAGCTTTTTTTTTTAAACCAGATTTATTTACTCATTCCTAGATCCATGGTATGGTATGGTATGTACTTTATTCGAACTGGGACAGTGTACAATTAGACATTAAAGGAGAGATGTATTGTACCAAAGATGCTCATTTCCACCTGCCAGCCTGCCTAGTTCCTGGGCAGGCTGGTAGTATAAATTAATATAAACTAATTCTAATGTAGATAGATAAATGACCATGTCTAACACTTACATACTTTAAATAACATCATTTACAAAACATTTAATATCAACCCAAATACAGCTCTCTAATTTCTACTAAAATATTACCCACATTCACTCACTCACTCACTACAAAGTTAAAAGTGTGTTATTATTATAGATCCATAGTGTGCAACAACAACTCCGTTTCCAACTTCCATGACTCGGATCATTATAATAGCGAACTATCTAAATGACGTCACTAAGACACGCCCCCGCCGCCTGTCAACTCCCGCCCACATGTTTCGGACAAACACTGCCGAAATGAATCAAATACCACTTGTCACTTTAGACGAAAATGATATACCAGGGGCAAAATTCCACCATCAAACCATCAGGGATCATAGTGTAGACCAATTATAACGTTGGCTTGAATGTCGTGGTCTTCCAGTAACTGGTAGAAAGTTTGATTTGATAAAAAGGTAATGGTGAGGATTATGCTAACATTATCTAGTCATTTAAATTGCAATGCTAGCGCCTTCTTTGTTTGTTTTGCTGTGATTAACTTCCATTTATCAAGTTGTTTTTGCACTATCCACTTTGTAATTAGTTTGATCATTAGTTAGCTACAGTCAGCTGATATTATAATAAATCCATGATCACAACGGGTTACGCCACTGTCTCTGAGAGAAACTATCAGAGCTAGCCACACTCAGTAAACGCAAATGACAATCAATCAACACATTTAAATGTTAATGGGAGAATACATTATACACATTCATAACACAAGTGCACGGAGGTTTTCAGAATTAACTGTTCAGGTTTTCATGACAAAAATACTTTTTTAATGCGACTAAAGCGATCGCTTTTAGGTTAACTATCCTCACTGTTACTCGCCTGCCACGGGAGAACCTTTGGGAACTATTTTCTTTGCACTCATTAAATAAACCTTTCGGCATGAGTAGTGAATGACGTTTATTTTGTGTGTGTCAATTGGTACAAAGCCGTATAATAAGCAGACACAAAGTTGAAAAAAATCCCTCTCATCTTTCTTCAGGTGTGAGAATTGTATACTTTCTGGATTAGGACAAACAATACTAATATGGATTGATGGGGCTAACTACATTCAGAAGAGCTCAGACGGACCTGATACAGCGGTCCAGGTCCAGTCCCAGCTAAACGTAGCTAGGACTGGATCTGGATGCTCCACAGTTGGTCCAGCGAAGTGTTTTGAAAAAACATGTGCCCTTTTTAACCTTTTCATGAGAGAAATTCTGCCGACCACAAGCACCCACCTGGTCTGATCTGGTCCTGGTCTGGTCCTGGTCTGGTCCTGGTCTGGTCCTGGTCTGGTCCGATGTTGTGGTTTAACGAACGGGTTGAATGTTACTTTGATAGTCCTTTTCAGCAGGCCCGTCCCAAGGGGGGTGCGAGGCCCTGTGCGAACTCGAAACGCGAGGCCCTGTCCTGACACTTTTTTCCCAGATCTGAGGAAAGTTTTTCCTGTTATAATCTTTGACATGAATTCAGCACCACCTCGCGCGGTGCTTGACGAGATCAGCACGCGTGTAATGGGCTAGACACACGGGAGGCGACATCGCATCGCCTCCATTCATTTCAATGGGACGTGCGCGACATAGCGTCAATCGCTAGCGAGCCTCCTGCTCAGCGACGGGCGAAAAACGTGCGTGTGAAATCCTCCTGCTCGTGCATGTATCGTGCACGCGCAGGTCAGCGACGCGATCCCAGAAAGTTGAAATCGGCTCAACTTTTCGACGCTGTCGTCAAGCCGCATCGCGCCCCGTCTGTCATGTTATCTGAGCGACAGCGTTGAGTTTCGCTGATCGCTCTCATTTGTCGCCTCCCGTGTGTCTAGCCCATGACCGAGTGTCTTCGCTCCTATGCAGCGTTTCACGCACACACACTCTACGGCACTTGGTATTGCAATATTGGTCGCGGTCTTTTTAGCTGACATGTCTCTTTCGTCCTGTGGCAAAATGGTAGAGCAACTCAAAAGATTGAACCAAAAGGAGTCTTTTTCTTCTAATAGTTAGATTTTGGCAAAATGCGCCAAAATGGCTATGAGGCGGAGTCAATATTATTTTTTTCTCATCAAATAACCTTTTTTCCATGCCTCCACACACTCTGACAACATACACTCCTCCTCCTCCACACTGACAACAACAAAATACTCTTCACCTCCTCCTCCACACACTCTGACCACAACAAAAACACTCCAGCTAGCTAAAGCTAGACATACAGTGTGTTTGCTAATGCTTTTAAAAATATGTTTTGATGTGGATATTCGGACTAAACATTGGCAATAGCAGCGCTCACACACCTGTCACACCGCTGATCCTCCTCCTCCTCCTCTGCTCACACAAAGGGGTCTGCTCCTCTGCTCACACCTGTCTCACTGCTCCTCCTCCGCGAGTATCCATCTCTCCTACACTGCGATCATTCCCGTTACTTTCTTTGTATCTCACTCAGACACTGCTAAAGTTATCTGACAGTTTTTTCGGAGGACCCGTTGCATACATAGCTGCCCGCGCGCCTGCCTGTTTACAAATCGCTTTTGGTGAAAATTTGACTTTACTTGTAAAAATGTTCTTTTGATCAAACGAAATCAAAGAGGTCCAGAGAAAGGGGTTTAGGGTTCCAAATTTGGAGTGCAGTCTGCCCTTTGGGGACCCTTGAACTAGTGTATTTATAAAATAAAATAAAAGGAAGGAAGATTGCGAGGCCCCTGTGTGGTGCGAGGCCCTGTGCGACGGCACAGGTCGCACAGCCCTTAGGACGGGCCTGCTTTTCAGAATATCTGAAATCGCTCCGACAAGCACCATAACTGCAGTGTTTTGTTGTCACCATGATTCAATGATTTAGCCCAAATAAATACACACGCTTATGTGGAGAACACAGTAGAACTCAACGAGTCGTACACAATGTTTGTCCGAAACATGCGCGCATGCGCAGTCATCTGAGCTATTTTTAGCACATTTCGGAAACCGGACAGTGCCCTATAATTGAGGATGTGTCGCTCCCTTCCTCCTCCAGCAGGCGGCGGAAGAGAGACACAAACCTCAACAACAACAAACACACACGTCTGCGGCAGCGTTAGCATTAGCATTAGCATTAGCGTTAGCTCCAGCCTCCTCCGCGTCTCCCCTTCGTGTTATGCGGTGAACCCCTCGCTCACAGCGGCATGTCTCGACTTGAAAGGCTCCGGTCGTTGGTGAACCAGCGGATGAACGCGGCGGCGGAGGACATCGGGCGGATGCTGGAGGGAAAGGTGTCCGAGTACGAGGAGGAGGCCCGGTTCTTCCGAGAGGAGAACAACAGCCTACAGCACAAGATCCTGAAGCTAGCGTCGAAATCAGGTGTGTTTGTGATCGGAGTGGATGTGGTGGAGACATGAGAGGATAATAATAACAGTATAATCTCAGACTGAAGTGGAGATACACGGGGAGAGGTTCTCAAAGCACTGGTATGGGACTTAGATCGATACAAAGCGATCTGGCCTTAGGACACAACGGCACGATTGTGTATCTGCAATGATTGTGTGTCCGTGTTTTGTTCTTTCGATGTCTTGTTATGTTCTGATTGTTCTCTTGATGAGACACGAATGCTTATCCATGTATGACGTATGTGTGACGTAAACGTTGACTATAAACCATATCCTAAATATGTTCTGTCTGATAAAATCCTGAAAGAACCTGAAGAAACAGAATAAACATCGGAGCTCTGGTGCGACCTCTGGGTGCTTGATTTTCCACACTGCATCGTTACTATGCTCCGGAGTGCTGATGCTACCGAATTAACAGACAAGTATAGTATACAACACGTTTGGGCACGGATTTTAACACAATATTCGTGACAGCATAAAGAAACATTCTAAAGTGTTAGCGTAATCCAGACAACAGAAAACACGTGAGTTTCCTCTGTCTGCTTGTTGTGACTCTGACAGGGGTCAGGAACCTGTGGCTCCTTTGATGATTGTGTCTGGGAACGCCTCAGGATTCTCCAGATGATTAATAGTCTAATGCTTCTCTCTGCTGCAGATGTTCAGATCATGGTGATGGATGGAGACAATAGCAGCTCCAGTGAGAACCAGGATGACTCTCCTCAGGACCAGGCCTCGACAGCACCCCCTGTGTGTGAGCAGGAGCACCAGGAGGAAACCCCAGATAAACCACACAGCAGGAAGAGCCAGAAGAATCAAGACTCCAAAGACTCAGAGTCCTCTGAGGAGGAAGAGGATGAGGGGGAAGACTCTGAGTCCTCAGACGAAGGGGAAAACCATGGGGAAGACCAGGGAGAAGACCAGGGGGGAGAGCAGGGACAGAGAAGAACCAAGAGGAAAGCACCGCAACTGAAGGAGGAGAAGGTCAAACGAAGCAGAAACTAAACAAACAAAACTGATTTTTAAAAACTGTAGTGAAGCAGGAGAGATGTGTCTGTGGTAATGGTGAGACCGGAGGGGGAGAAGAACGAAGCTCAGAGGGTCTTTGTGCCGCTGCAATTTAAATGATTTTTGTTTCTTTTCTTCTTTTCTCCTTGTGTCGTTCTGCCTGAGAACGACACAAGGTCCTCCTGAGATTTAAGTATGAGACAAAAGGAATTTTCTGCTTTTAAAAGTATTGTGGTCACATGTATCTGAGACACTTAAAACATTCATCCATATTCTTCCTCTCTATCCGTTGCCGGGTCGCAGCAGTCTGAGACACAGACTTCCCTCTCCACACACCAGCTCATCTGGGGGAATTCTGAGGTGCTAACAGCTGAGACACAGTCCCTCTGTGTCCTGGAGGAGACCAGGGGCAGGGCTCATCTCCATATGGAGGAGCAGAGGCTCTACTCCATATGGAGGCGAAGCAACTCTTGTCCGAGCCCCTCCCCGTCCCTCCCTATCCTCAAGGGAGCCGCAGCTCTACTCCGAGCTCCTCTGTTTCTTAAGGAGACACCAGAGAGGGAGACTCCTCCCCATCGTTAGGAGAGCTCCACTTCCACGATTTTGTCCTTTTGGCCATTACCCAAAGCATCGGTGATTGAGGGGGAGGAGAGCTCTGTCTGCAAACACGGCTCCACAGCTCTGTCTACAGACGCTGCTCCGTCTGAACCAGAAGTGAGTGAGAGGGAGGAGAGCTCTGTCTACAGACGCTGCTCCCTCTGAACCAGAAGTGAGGGAGAGGGAGGAGAGCTCTGTCTGCAGACGCTGTTCCCTCTGAACCAGAAGTGAGGGAGAGGGAGGAGAGCTCTGTCTGCAGACGCTGCTCCCTCAGAACCAGAAGTGAGGGAGAGGGAGCAGAGCTCTGTCTGCAGACGCTGATCCCTCAGAACCAGAAGTGAGGGAGACACATCTGATTGGACTTCATGACTCTCGGGTCTCTGACCTGTGACATCATCTTTAAAGCTAACCCCAGTAATGACATCATTAAAGCTGACCTCTCTTTGATCTCTGTCGCTACAGATTCAGATATAAGTGTTTTCTACTACTTTGTGTCGTTATGTCACAGATTTATCTTTTGTCTGAGAAAGTGTTTTTTGTTTCAGTAAAATAAAAATATTATTTGTTACAATTGTGTTTCATATTAATATAGTTCTGTTTTCTGTCATTTTTCTCAAAAGTATTAAAGTCTACATCACTTTGAGCTGGACTTTCTATAACTTTCTATAATATTGCACGCCCCACTTTTCAGTTTTTTATTTGTTAAAAAAGTTTAAATTATCCAATAAATTTCTTTCCACTTCACGATTGTGCCCCACTTGTTGATTCTTGACAAAAAATTAAATTTTTATATCTTTATGTTTGAAGCCTGAAATGTGGCGAAAGGTTCAAGGGGGCCGAATACTTTCGAAAGGCACTGTATATTAACATTTTGTACAGTTTTTATTTTTCATTGTGATCCGTTCAGACCTGCTCAAAGGTATCGTGTGAGACCTGAGAGAGAGACAGACACTTCTATCCGTCTCCCAACATTCACCTGTTCCTCTTTTCTCAGAATACATTAGGGACCAGTTATTAGCACCAACGTCTGACTCGTTCTTACTGCTCCAACATTTCCATCAGCGCCGCAACATTCTTCGCCTTCAGCAGTTCCTTCTTCAAAGAATTGTCTCAGATTCTTCATTTTTCTGGAGCCCTCTACATTTTTTGCCTGTAATAATGCATCGGTTTTATACAGCGCTTTTTTGACACTTTGTCTCTCCAAACACGGTGGTGATAAACTACTACTGTAGCCACAGCTGCCCTGGGGTACACTGACAAAAGCGAGGCCACCAGTAAGTGTCATTGGCCCCTCCCACCACCACTCATCAGACTCTTTCTAGCCAATGTGGGTGAAGTGTCTAGCCCAAGGACACAACGGTTTGACACTTTGCAGCCGCAGCCGCCCCACTGTGGCACTTTGTTCCCAGAGATCTCCCATCAGACTAACCAGGTCCTGCCCTGCACAGATCCAAAGGGTCGGACAGGATCTGGTTTTCCCATGCGAAGAGATAGATCCTTCGTCTCTAAGGATTTTACAAAGTTGTGAATTCACCAACAGCAGATCAGAGAATCACACAGTTCAAAGGAAATACAATAATAACAAACAGGAGACATTGGTTTATAAGGAGCGATGTCCACAAATGTCCACAAACAACATATTCATACATTTCCTGTTATCACTGAGACTCCGCCTTCTCAAACATCTTTATAGATTTGCTTTTTGATTCGTCCGTGATAAAATATGTCTTATAATGTTTCCGTCAGTCCAAATCAAACAGACACCAGCCCCAAAGATCCACAAACTCAGATAAGACCAGGGCCAGGACTGAGGCTGTGGACAAGACTATAGACAGACCTGGCCTCAGACATAGTAAGTAAGTAAGTAATGTTTATTTATATGCCGCCTTTCACAGACCAGAGTCACAAAGCGGTTTACAATTGTTATTTTTTGGGCACTTGTCCTCTCACTCCACACAGAGATGGGAGCCGGGTCGCCGAACAGGAGGCGCATGCCAGACCTATTGTACATATTTTTAGTGGTAGGGGAAACCAGAGTACCCGGAGGAAACCTACGCAGACACGGGGAGAACATGCAAACTTGCTGTGGATTATCTTTCTGGAATGTTATCAATAGAATCAAATCTGTAATCTATTAATTCTCTGTTTTGCTCTCCACTTCCTCCTTTGTCCAATCATCAACGTGTCTTTCAACAGTTTAGTTAATGTCAGGCAAAGGACGGCCGCCCGGTGCAAGCGGATCCCCTCGTGTAAGAACAACCTCAGAAATCATGAAACTGTTAAGATTTCGTTTATCTGATTGATAAAGAAAACAATCACTGTAGATCCTTTTAAGACAAACCTACTCTGGTCTCTCTCTGGTGTACCTCTGGTATTTTTCTCTCTCTCTCTCTCTGGGGAAGGTTCAGGGGTGTTGCTCTTGGTTTAGAATCTTTCTGAGAGAGAGCAATATGAACAAATTAACAGCAGGAAATCTCAAAACTAAACTATCAAATATGTGGCACCACAGGGTTCAGTATTAGGGCCACTTCTTTTCATACAAATGTGGCAAGCTGGACTTGGCCACTATATTTGTGTCCACGCATAAACGTATAAATAGCAGTAGGGGCGGGTCCCGGCTCAAAAGTGGCCAAAGTGTTTTTGTGTTCACCTTGCTCCTGAGTCCATCGTGACAGGAAGATACACATCCAGGAATACGGACTGAACTATAAATCAAAACATAATAAATCCAAGTAACTTAATGTCTGCCTATGCCTCAATTATGATTTACAAACCTGTGCACCTTAGAGCGCTTTTTATTTTATTTTGGGCACTCTGCCCTGGCGTTGCTGGTCTTTTTCTTTCTTTTCTTTAATTGTTTTATTATTGTAGGAGCGCGTAGCCGCCTCCACTTGCCGCACAAACATTAATGACCAACTGATATTTACAACAAACTTATTCTTCTCACAAAAAAACATTATTTTTCAACAGAAAACAATGAATGAAGAACTGATTTAAATAGATATCTGGCTAGAATATACAAAAATATCCCTGACTATTAGTAAAACTCAGTATTTCATATATTTTTCAAATAGAAGAATAAAATCAAGAGCCGCATTTCCACCGCAGGAGTTCCTGGTAAAAGGCGCGGGGTGGAACTTTTACAGGAACCTTCCGCTCCCTCAGTCCTCTCAGTGTCCGTGTCCACTGCAGCAGGACCACTCGGCACAACGTGAGTTTCGATTGCCGCATGAGCAAAACTCATTACGCCAAACCCATCTGTTCATCTGTTCATTTTACGGTCATAACAGCTCCAGTTGTTGAGGTCTTTGAGGTTTTATTACAGTCCTGCCTCAGTTTTTAAAACTTTTCAATTGTTTTGGAGTGTGATGAATCCCCAGTGCTTCGAGGTGAAGCTGATATGTCTTAATATATCTTTTCATTTCTCCGCGAAGCCTCAAACTCTGTTTGAGTCAATGCCGTGCTGTTGTTTTCTGTTTCCAGTGGTGTCTGCTGGGTAAATGCTGCTACATTTTTTAAATGCCGGTTGTTTTGGTGCTTTCTGTAATTTTCAACTCTCAACTATGAGAGACAGAATGAAAAAGAGAAATCCAGAAAAACAAGAATTTCTGGACCATCATTCACAAATAAAGAATTTTATTTGTGAATGATGGTACAAACAAACCTGTAACTCCTTCTTCAAGAGGCTCCTCTGTCCTCTACTTGTTACCTGTATTAACGGCATTTGTTTGAACTCTTCATCAGCATGAAAGACACCTGTCCACAAAATTGTAGACCTGCACCAGGCTGGGAAGGCTAAATCTGCAATAGGTCAGCAGCTTGGTGTGAAGGAATCAACTGTGGGAGCCATCTTGTCTTGATGACAAGATGGCTCCTCGTACGGTCGACACGGCTCTTTGCTGCTCTCTTTTGCTTTTGTTTTTACTTTTTAACTGTGCATCTGGCTGTTCCTACACCCGTGAGGAACTTATGAACATCCGACCCACCGTTCCCATGGACCTATTGCCTGTTTTCTTGGCATCTGCGGCTGATTTAGTCCATGTTCTAGCCAAAAAAGTGTGGGCCCGTAAAAGGGGAAAGCGCGGAGGCCTGCTCGTGCGTCTTAGGAGGAGAGGAGCTTGCACGGCTCTCCCCGGCATTTTTCTCTCCAACGTACGCTCACTGGGCAATAAGATGGACGAACTCAGCCTGCTCATGAGAAGAAACAAGGACTTCGCCACATCCTGTGTCCTCTGCTTCACTGAGACCTGGCTAAATGAGCGGATCCCGGACTGCGCTCTGGAGCTGCAGGGCTTCGGGCTGTTCCGCGAGGATCGCCATTGTGCGCTCTCAGGGAAGAGCAGAGGCGGTGGGCTGTGTTTCTACGTCAATACAAACTGGTGTAACGATGTGACAGTGATCTCCAAGCACTGCTCTCCTGCTCTAGAATATCTTTTCATTCATTTTAAACCATTTTACTCCCCTCGTGAATTTGTTTCATTCATTCTTGCCTCTGTTTACATACCGCCATGCGCGGACGCGCGCGAGGCTCAGCGCGCACTCGCAGAGCAAGTACTGTGCATGGAGCGTTTTTACCCGGACTCTCTGATTATTATCCTGGGGGATTTTAATAAGGGAAACTTGAGCCAGGAATTACCCAAATACAGACAGTTTATCAAATGCCCGACCAGAGAGGAGAACACTCTGGATCACTGCTACACCACCGTGCGCGGAGCTTTTCGCGCTGTTCCCAAGCCAGCCCTCGGCTTCTCAGATCACTCCATGATACATCTGATCCCGGCTTACAGACAGAGACTAAAGCTCTCGAAACCTGCAGTGAGGAGCTCCAAATTGTGGTCCGATGAAGCTGTGGAAGAGCTGCGCGCATGCATGGAATCTACAGACTGTTCTTTCTCCCCTGCTCTTCTCCCTGTACACCAACCACTGCACCTCCAGCCACGACTCCTTGAAGCTGATCAAGTTCGCGGACGACACCACCCTCATTGGACTCATCTCCAACAACGATGAGTCAGCTTACAGGAGGGAGGTGGACCGGCTGGTGTCCTGGTGCAGTGGTAACAACCTGGAGCTGAACGCCCAGAAGACAGTGGAGATGATTGTGGACTTCAGGAAGAGCACTGTCCCCCCACCCCCACCCTCCGTGATGGACTCCCCCATCACCTCTGTGGAGTCCTTCCGTTTCCTGGGCACCACCATCACCCAGGACCTCAAGTGGGAGCCGACCATCAGCTCCCTCATCAAGAAGGCCCAGCAGAGGATGTACTTCCTGCGGCAGCTCAGGAAAGCCAAGCTGCCTGCACAGATGTTGGTGCAGTTCTACACGGCCATCATCGAGTCCATCCTCACCTCCTCCGTCACCGTGTGGTTCGCTGGAGCCACAGTCAGGGACAAACAGAGACTACAGCGCATTGTGCGCTCTGCAGAGGAAGTGATCGGCCGGACCACTTCAGGACCTGTACGTCGCCCGAGCTCGGGGCCGGGCTGGTCGTATCACAGCCGACCCCTCTCACCCTGCACATGGACTATTCCAACCACTCCCCTCAGGCAGGAGGCTGCGGTCCATCAGGACTAGAACCTCCCGCCACAAGAACAGTTTCTTCCCCTCTGCTGTTGGACTCTCGAACACTTCTTAACGTGTCCTCCGGCCCTTTATAAAGTCACTTTACTGCGGATCATGCGTCACTTTACTTCACTGTACTGCTGTCACCTTACATTGTGTGCACCATGTGCACACAATAAAGTTACTATTGTAAATAGTCTGCCTCCTGCAGCTTATTGAGCACCGTGTGGAGTCTGGTGTTGTGCTGCTCCTCATCCTGTCCCCAAATCAGAATGTCGTCCATGTGACAAACCACGCCCGGAAGCCCATTGAGAATCATGGACATTCTCCGCTGAAAATGCTCCGGGGCTGAGGCTATTCCGAACGGGAGTCTGTTGAAATGAAAACGCCCAAAAGGAGTAATAAAAGTAGTATAATGTGCTGACTCGGGTGACAATGGAGCCTGCCAAAAGCCTCTGTTTGCATCCAATTTACTGAACACTTTTGCTCTGGCGAGTGATCCAAGTGTCTGCTCAACTGAAGGCAATATGTACTTTTCTCTGCACAATGCTTCATTGAGATGAGTGAGATCAACACAAATGCACACAGAGTCATTTTTGGTCGGCAATGGAACCATACCTGAGCACCATTCAGTTGGCTCCTCAACTCTGCTGATCACTCCCATGGACTCCATGTTTTCTAGTTCAGCTTTCACTTTTCCCAACAAAGGAATGGGGACTCGTCGCTGTGTTGCCAAGCAAAAAGGTACAACATTAGGTCTCATTTTGATAGAGTACAGTTGCTGCATCAAACCCAACTCTTTGCACAACTTTGGATAAGTCTCATTAAGTACCTTCATGTCTATGCTGTCTGCTCTAGACACAAGATTTAGCTTCACACTTGCTGGTCTACTTAACAGTGCTGTGTAAATCTTTGATCACATACACATTTTCTTGTATCTCTTGATCCCCTTTACACAATGTTTCAAATGACATACCAATTACACTGAGTGGAGAACCACCTGGCCCAAATAATGGTCTATCTGGTGTCAATAACTCAGTTTCATTTTGGACTATCGAAAAGAACATCTGGGCTGGAATAACAGATACATCAGCTTCAGTGTCAATCTTGAATCTGACTTTGTGATTTCGGATCGTTAAATCTGTATACCAGGGATCTGTACCTGCATCTACAGAACCAAGAAAGATTGGTGTATTGTTACATTTGTCAGTTTCAACCACATGCACAGATTTAGCAGATTTACAAACTTTGCTGTAATGTCCCCTTTTCCCACATGAGTGACAGGTTGCATCTTTTGCTGGGCACTGTCCTTTTCCATGTGCTGGAGTTTTTCCACATCTGTAGCATTGACGGTTGTTTGGCACTTTAAACTTTGAAGATGGCTTTGCTTGACTTTGAAGCTTGTATGTTGTATGTGTCACGATTTGGTCCTACACCACCAAAAATACTTCCACTCTTAGGAAATGATGCAACCAGATAAAATTTAACAGTGTTTTAATGAGTTTCATTCAACGTTAAAAGCAACGTATTTTAAAAGAGTCAATGGAGTCTAAAAATAGGTCTAAGCCTGTTTCTCCAGTAAAAGTATGTACAATATATACAAGGAGCGCCTAAACTACTTTGGGGAGGGGAGTAAGGGGGATAACACGACGTCCAGAGGAGAGGGTTGAGCAGTCCAGTCTGTGAGGGCCCGTCCACAATCACGCCCCTCTAAAATGGCCTGTGGACAAGGGAGATTCTCAATGCCAGCCAGGTACGACAAAACACACAGGGCACAGGAGTAGCAGAGTAAGTGGGGAAGCGTCCCTTTTACTTATCTGGCGTGCGCGGTCTAGCCACCCCGGGCTGGTCTGGTCCGCTGCTGATCCAGGCCGAGCTGGCTCCGCGTACCAGTCCGCCCGCACTCCCAGAGCGCGCGTCTGCCTACGTCTGTCCGAGCCTCGGTCACACTGGTTGGGGGGACAGGGGAAATCACACTTAAAAACACCACACTGCACACACACTGCAAATTCCCCAACGACAGTGAGAGGCTGCAGACGTCCCTTTACTTAGCTTGGTGTTGGCCTTTTCTCCACACTCCTGGTGGGCTCCGATAGTGCGCGCGCGCAGATTGGATGTGCGTCTCGAACCCTGGCGTCCTGTAAATCCCTGGGCCGCTCCTGCTGCACCGCGTCCGTCCGCCACAGAAGACTCGCGACCCCTCTCGTCTGTTCCGCGCTGATCCTGGTGCCGCTCCGGGCTGGTACCGGGGCTGGTACAGGGGCTGCTCCTGGGGCCGCTCTTCGAGTGTCCTGCGTGTCCCTTCTGCGTGTCCCTGCTGTCGAGTCTCGTCTCAAACTCTGCTTCAGTTTCCGCGTTCCCTGAGGGCCGGCTCTGGGCGGTTTATATAGTTCATCCTATAGATCTGCGTCCAATAGTATGCCGCTATAGGTCTATGGGGGGGGGGGGGGGGGGGGGGGTGTGGTTACAGTCTGCGGTGCGCCACTCGCCAAAGTCATTCTGTAGCCCCTGCAAACTACACACTGCACACAAGGTATACGGTGGCTATAGGCAAATGGTTAATGTGCATAGAGTTTTCAACCCATACCTCGCCATTTGACATATGCACGTGTTTCTTACTTTTCACAGACACTGCATCTATTTCCATCTTGTTTTCCCCTCTGATGTCGGTTTGTTGCCTTTTTATGACTTCTGATTGTCGAGCCATGTTAACCGCTTTTTCCAGGGTCAAATCTTTGTCCATTTGTAGTCTCTCAAACCCACTACAAGACGATCTCTTAATAACTCGTCGTGCAGTGCACCATAGTTGCAGTTTTCAGCCAGGGCATAGAGCGCAGTTATAAAGGAGTCAACAGTCTCATTAGCTTTTTGCACTCTCTGATTAAATTTCGCTCTTTCATACATAATGTTCTTTCTGGGCACAAAATAAGTGTCCAACATCTCTTTGACTGGCTGGTATCGCTGTCTTTGCGCATCTGTTAGAGCTTGACCTCGTAAAATGGCATCCGCTTCATCACCCATGCAGTAGACGAGCGTGTTAGCTTGATTAGCTTCTGAGCTAAGATGCAGATTGCTCGTTAACCTGAATCTCTCAAACCTGCAAATCCACTTTTCCCATTGTTGTGGTTTGGAGAAATCAAACGGTTCAGGAGGTTGGATGGTGAATGTGGCGTTTGGAGGTGTATTATTTGCCTGTTGCTGGGGCAGTGACTGAGGCCGCTGCACACCCATAGACTGTATATATTAATGGACAGAGTCACGCCTATCTCCGCCGTTCATAGGAGTTGGCCATGAAAAGTGCTTTCATGGAGCAATCCAAGATGGCCGCGAGTGGTCCCGCCCACAAGAAAATTGTGAAAAAACGCATCTGCGCATGCGTCAGCCGGCGCAGCTCCATTCATTTGAACGAGAAACTACAAAAATTCACAGTGAGTAAACTAGAGTGGTCCAAAAAAATTCACCCCCCTCAGCATTGACACACATGTGGAACGGAGCTTTGGGCCAAGAGCCAACTTTTGGTCCATCCTGTAAAGGTGTTTTTGAGAGGTCTGCCAACGTTATATGTTGGCATTGGCTAATTCTACTTCTGGGTCCACCCCCATCGGCCCGGGGTGGTATTGCAAGCATGTCAGAGCACTTCCGTACTTCCGGTTTACCCCTTCACAATAAGACGTAAAGCTTATATAAACGGATTACACCACAAGGCGTTTAGCAGCTCATAGAAGAAGTGCTCAGCAGCCCAGGGGGAGGACCGCCAGACCAACGCATCCAAAAGAAAATATAATGAAATAAAATTATCTTCAAATTATGTACGTGATATTTATTTTAAAATGGTTGATTGAGAGCCTGTCGCTGTACAGGCCGAAGGCGGTGCTGGCCATGGTCTCTCATCTGTGGTCTCTCATCCATGGGCTGCTCCACCAGTGCATCCAATGACACGCCTTGAACCTGTGCCTGTTCTGGAGGACCGAGCCTGGATCATATGGCACACTTGTACCGGGAGGTACCAGAGCGTAGCCCCTGCATGTCCCAGAGCCATCTTCCTCTGATCAGACCCAAGCCGCGCTCCACGCATACACTGTAAATATTAACGGACATAGTCACGCCTATCTCCGCTGTTCTAAATAATGTGCCACAACTTCCGCGGTCTATGGGCAGTTTCAAATTTTGGGTTAGACATTTTGCACGTTTTTTAATAACACTAACTATCCCTAAAATAACTTCATAAAATTGCATAATTGTAATGTGAGAGGTGTGCCTGTAATCTTACCAGAGTGGGAATATGTTTATTGTTGTCTAAATCTCCAATTTCATGCGTGTTTTGACGTGTTGTGATGAAGGTTGAGATGGAAAATGTACTCCACCTCCAGACTCGGCGTATATTCTGTGCGTACCGTACGCTCACTCCAGATTGATAAATGCCGAAAAGTGTAAATCTTTTGCGTACGCCTCATTTACACCCGGATTTGGCCGTACGCAAGTTTCATAAATGAGGGCCAGTCTCTCATAGTTGAGTTCATGTCTCTCACAATGAGGTATATGATGAAAATGACAGGCCTCCCTCATCTTTTTAAGTGGGAGAACAATTCAGTTCACTTTTACAAAACACAAACAAACCCATGGATCTATAATAATGACGAACAAACCCTATTCTCTGATCTCTCTCTGATCTCTCTCTGATCTCTGCATCATGTGTCTCTGTTCCACACGTCTCTTTCTCACGACTGAAAAAACTTTTCCCTGAATCATGAACTAAAGCTCGTCTCAAGTCACAGTTGGTGAAACACTTTATGGATCATAATAATAAGGATAGTTTCTGCTTAAAGCTGGGGTACCTAAATTCGATCATTAATATACTGTATTTATGTTACAAGAGACGTGTCTCTCGCCTACGTGTCCCTGTGATCAGCAGCACAGGGGTGATGTGCTCTCTCATACGTGTCCCTGTGATCAGCAGCACAGGGGTGATGTGCTCTCTCATACGTGTCCCTGTGATCAGCAGCACAGGGGTGATGTGCTCTCTCATACGTGTCCCTGTGATCAGCAGCACAGGGGTGATATGCTCTCTCATACGTGTCCCTGTGATCAGCAGCACAGGGGTGATGTGCTCTCTCATACGTGTCCCTGTGATCAGCAGCACAGGGGTGATGTGCTCTCTCATACGTGTCCCTGTGATCAGCAGCACAGAGGGGATGTGCTCTCTCATACGTGTCCCTGTGATCAGCAGCACAGGGGTGATGTGCTCTCTCATACGTGTCCCTGTGATCAGCAGCACAGAGGTGATGTGCTCTCTCATACGTGTCCCTGTGATCGGCAGCACAGAGGTGATGTGCTCTCTCATACGTGTCCCTGTGATCAGCAGCACAGAGGTGATGTGCTCTCTCATACGTGTCCCTGTGATCAGCAGCACAGAGGGGATGTGCTCTCTCATACGTGTCCCTGTGATCAGCAGCACAGGGGTGATGTGCTCTCTCATACGTGTCCCTGTGATCAGCAGCACAGAGGTGATGTGCTCTCTCATACGTGTCCCTGTGATCAGCAGCACAGGGGTGATGTGCTCTCTCATACGTGTCCCTGTGATCAGCAGCACAGGGGTGATGTGCTCTCTCATACGTGTCCCTGTGATCAGCAGCACAGGGGTGATGTGCTCTCTCATACGTGTCCCTGTGATCAGCAGCACAGAGGTGATGTGCTCTCTCATACGTGTCCCTGTGATCAGCAGCACAGGGGTGATGTGCTCTCTCATACGTGTCCCTGTGATCAGCAGCACAGGGGTGATGTGCTCTCTCATACGTGTCCCTGTGATCAGCAGCACAGGGGTGATGTGCTCTCTCATACGTGTCCCTGTGATCAGCAGCACAGGGGTGATGTGCTCTCTCATACGTGTCCCTGTGATCAGCAGCACAGGGGTGATGTGCTCTCTCATACGCGTCCCTGTGATCAGCAGCACAGGGGTGATGTGCTCTCTCATACGTGTCCCTGTGATCAGCAGCACAGGGGTGATGTGCTCTCTCATACGTGTCCCTGTGATCAGCAGCACAGGGGTGATGTGCTCTCTCATACGTGTCCCTGTGATCAGCAGCACAGAGGTGATGTGCTCTCTCATACGTGTCCCTGTGATCGGCAGCACAGAGGTGATGTGCTCTCTCATACGTGTCCCTGTGATCAGCAGCACAGAGGTGATGTGCTCTCTCATACGTGTCCCTGTGATCAGCAGCACAGAGGGGATGTGCTCTCTCATACGTGTCCTTGTGATCAGCAGCACAGGGGTGATGTGCTCTCTCATACGTGTCCCTGTGACAGCAGCACAGAGGTGATGTGCTCTCTCATACGTGTCCCTGTGATCAGCAGCACAGGGGTGATGTGCTCTCTCATACGTGTCCCTGTGATCAGCAGCACAGGGGTGATGTGCTCTCTCATACGTGTCCCTGTGATCAGCAGCACAGGGGTGATGTGCTCTCCATACGTGTCCCTGTGTCCTGTGATCAGCAGCACAGAGGTGATGTGCTCTCTCATATGTGTCCCTGTGATCAGCAGCACAGGGCTGATGTGCTCTCTCATACGTGTCCCTGTGATCAGCAGCACAGGGGTGATGTGCTCTCTCATACGTGTCCCTGTGATCAGCAGCACAGGGGTGATGTGCTCTCTCATACGTGTCCCTGTGATCAGCAGCACAGGGGTGATGTGCTCTCTCATACGTGTCCCTGTGATCAGCAGCACAGGGGTGATGTGCTCTCTCATACGTGTCCCTGTGATCAGCAGCACAGAGGTGATGTGCTCTCTCATACGTGTCCCTGTGATCAGCAGCACAGGGGTGATGTGCTCTCTCATACGTGTCCCATTATCAGTTGTAATGAGCTCAAGTCCAGGCCACAGTACAGAGAGTTGAAATAAAAAGGTGGCTCCAAGTTCTCCCTCTGGTCTCTTTCTGGGTCACTATGTCAAATCTCTGTTAAACTATTGTGTGAATGAGGAGCTCTAGTAACAACATCTGTGTCTGAGTATCTTATACTGCCAGGTACTGTTGGCTTCTATCGAGAGACCAGAGAGGATTGGTCTCTTTCTCTGGTCTCTCTCTCTGGTCTCTCTCTCTGGTTTCTCTCTGGTACCTCTCTCTGGTTTCTCTCTGGTACCTCTCTGGTCTCTGTATCGTGTGTCTATGTTCCACATCTCTCTCTTTCTCGCGAATCAAAAGACTTTTCCCAGAATCATGAACAAAAGCTCGTCTTAAGTCACAGTCGGTAAAACACTTTATGGAAAATATTATAAAGATAGTTTCTGGTTAAAGCTGGGGTACCTAAACTTAATCATAAATAATACTATACTGTCTTTATGTTATTAAAGATGTGTAAGAAAGAGCCCTGAGTGTCACTATATGACTCATAGAGAGTGAGGGTGGTCCTCTCTGGTCTCTTTTTGGTCCCTGGTCTCTCTCTGGTCTCTTTCTGGTCTCTTTCTGGTCTTTCTGTTCTGTCTGGTCTCTCTTTTCTCACTTTTCAGTTTCACACTTTGAGTCTGAAAGGTCTGAAGATGGCTCAAAATACATACATGTGAAAACTAGACCTAGACCATGACCAGGACCAGGACAAGGACCAGGACCAGTGACAGAATCCAACAGTACCTGGCAGTATATGATACTCAGAGGCAGACTGTTACCAGAGCTCCTCATTCACACAATAGTTTGAAAGAGATTTGACACGGTGACCCAGAAAGAGACCAGAGAGGGACTAGAGAGTGAGACTAGAAAGACACCAGAGTGAGACTAGTGAGAGACCAGACTAAAACCATTGTGAGACCAGAGAGAGTCTAGAGAGGGCGACTATAGAGACACCAGGGGGAGGGTCAGTGTGATATCAGAGAGACCAAACCCATGATATTTATTTGAGTTAAAACAAACACAAAGTTTACAGCTGGTGTCCGCCCTGTCTTTCTGTCTTTATGAGCCTCTCACAGAACCATAAAACCAAATGAGACTGTGTTTGTTCATGACGAGTGAAAGAATCAGGACTCAGAAACCAGCAGTCACCAGTGAAAGTGAGGCCTCTGAAGGAGTTCTGGTATTTTGATAATATTCTGAAGCTGGTCAGTGTTATAGTTGTGTGTTTTCTGATATTACTCTGTCCGGAAAGACCAGAGAGAGACCAGAGAGAGAGCAGAGAGAGACCGAAGAGAGACCAGAAAGCGATCAGAGAGACTAGAGATCCAAGAGAGAGACTAGAGAGGGACCAGCGAGAGCCAAGAGTGAGAGAGGCCCAAGAAAGAGACACGGGAAAAACCTGAGAGAGACCAGAGTAATGGAGAGACCAGAGAAAAATCATAGAAAGAGACCCAAGAACAGCTATTTTGGTCATGGTTTGTGTTGTTGTTCTTGTTGTTTATAGAGTAACAAAGAAGTACTCTAGGCTATAAAGTCTGGGAACCCCTTCTAACATGACTCTAGTTTTATCATGAATAAAAGTAAGTATGAGAAGCAGACAAAAGCCTCATTTCACTGCGTCATTTCTCCAACAAATGAATGTTTGAACCAGGAAGAACCAGCACACATAAAAACATATCTGTTACGCTGTATCTGACGTGGTCCCGCCTCCTCTCAGCGTCCTCCTCTGGTATAAATGCGAAAGGAGAAAGTGCAGCAGGTAATCAGCGTCAGGAGAGAGCAGATACAGGATGGAGAAACTCAGCGGTCTGATACTCATGGTCTTTGTGGCTTTGCTGGTGTCAGTCCAGTCTCAGGTAAGCAGTGTTTACATGTGTTTATGAGATTTACTGTAATCTGTGACAATAACTGGATAAAAGAAGGGCTTTATCAGTCACACATTCAGGAGATTTCTCTCTCTGGTCCCTCACTTTCTGTTCTATTTCCAGTCTCTCTCTGTCCTCCCTCTGGTCCCTCTCCAGTCTCTCTATGGTGTCTCTCTAGTCTCTCTCTAGTCTCTCTCTCTCTCTGGTCTCTCTCTGGTGTCTCTCTGATCGACTCACAGGGCTCTTACTTAGATACAAGTGTTTTTTATGAGACTAAATTAGGTATCCCAACTTTAACTGAGTCTTATAGGGTCTGTAGATCCAGGACTGAGGCTGTAGATCCAGGACTGAAGCTGAAGACCCAGGACTGAAGCTGTAGATCCAGGACTGAAGCTGTAGACCCAGGACTGAAGCTGTAGATCCAGGACTGAGGCTGTAGACCCAGGACTGAGGCGGTAGATGTATCTCTATAGTTAAATGTCTGTGTGCTTGTTTCAGGACTCAGCAGCAGATAACTCCTCCACCACGGTTCCTCCGTCCACTAACCTCCCAGCGAGTGATGTCACCCCTTCCTCCTCGGCAGCCAATCTGACGACAACTTCAAAAGTCAATCAGACCATGACCACGCCCCATGGAGGGACCTGGTCTTATGTCCAGTCCTGGTCCCGGGTCATGGCTCTGGTTCCTCTGGTTCTTCTGTTCTCTGTGTGAAGCACATCCTCAGGAACCATGTTCTACATCAAGGACTATGGCCCTGTTTCCACCAGCTCTACTGTAATCTTCTCTACTCCCTGGTTTCTACTCTACCCTATTCCCTGGTCTGTACTCTACTCTAGAGACTAGAACGAGAACAAAGAGAGGCCTCTACTCTCTCTGCACTCTAGTTGACACTACTCAACTCTGGTTGAGGTCTAATGATCAGTTATTTGTGTTATTTAATTACTGAATGTATGTAATAATTATAAATGTGAAACGTGAGACTGGTTCAGGTGTAGTGCCTTAAATATGCAGCAGGGAGCGCCGTCTGTTTCCAGGTCTACAGTGTTTGATGCACAGCTGTATGTACTGTATACAGATGGACAATGCTAACACAGACTGTATACAGATGGACAATGCTAACTTGCTAGCTCATTAACCTTTCGCGTCACACTCACCATTTGGGCTTAAATCTGTGGTTTATCGCTCTCTGTGATCCAAGTGTGATATTGTCTTTGTTAGTCCAGATTTGAGCACTGCTGGTATTATCTCTCAAACCAAAAGTACCATGTGAGGAAGGGTCTTTTTGGACGACAACACAACAATAATATATGATGATTACTCACATCTGCCACACTCTCTGTATTTTTACGTGGATAAATGTTCATTAAAATAATAATTTTGTGAAAACTTTTTGTATGAGTTTCTGTAAAATTAAAGAAGTCCAGCTTGAGCAAAGGTGAGTGACCAGAGAGAGACTAGAGATAGAGAGACCACAGAGAGACCAAAGAGGGACACAAGAGAGAGACAAGGAAGAGACCAAGGAGAGAGACCAGGGAGAGGGACCAGAAATGTAACATGTTTGTGTTTATGTGGCAAAACCATGGATCTTGGCAAAATACTCCATGTTCTAGTTGTAGTTCTTGTTCTATGCCAGCAGAGGGCGACACACCTCCATCAGCTCTCATGTGTTCAGAGGCAGAGAAATAGCACAGATACAGACTGTTGTTGTACATTTATTCAAAAATATGAAGTTTTTTAAACATATGTTAAATGTGAGTTTGGGGCAGAGTTCAGTCCTCAGATCGACAAATGTTGAGCAGAGCAACGAGGAGGTCACCTTTAAAATGGTTCTGTAAAAACACAAATGTGAATTAAAACAACATTTATGAGCAAGAAAAGTGTTTAGGTCCCTCTCTTGTTTCCCTCACTAGTCTCTCTCTCCAGTCTCTCTCTCCAGTCTCTCTCTCCAGTCTCTCTCTCCGGTCTCTCTCTCCGGTCTCTCTCTCCGGTCTCTCTCTCCGGTCTCTCTCTCCGGTCTCTCTCTCCGGTCTCTCTCTCCGGTCTCTCTCTCCGGTCTCTCTCTCCGGTCTCTCTCTCCGGTCTCTCTCTCCGGTCTCTCTCTCTGGTCTCTCTCTCTCTGGTCTCTCTCTCTCTGGTCTCTCTCTCTCTGGTCTCTCTCTCTCTGGTCTCTCTCTCTCTGGTCTCTCTCTCTCTGGTCTCTCTCTCTCTGGTCTCTCTCTCTCTGGTCTCTCTCTCTCTGGTCTCTCTCTCTCTGGTCTCTCTCTCTCTGGTCTCTCTCTCTCTGGTCTCTCTCTCTCTGGTCTCTCTCTCTCTGGTCTCTCTCTCTCTGGTCTCTCTCTCTCTGGTCTCTCTCTCTCTGGTCTCTCTCTCTCTGGTCTCTCTCTCTCTGGTCTCTCTCTCTCTGGTCTCTCTCTCTCTCTCTGGTCTCTCTCTCTCTGGTCTCTCTCTCTCTGGTCTCTCTCTCTCTGGTCTCTCTCTCTCTCTCTCTCTCTGGTCTCTCTCTCTCTGGTCTCTCTCTCTCTGGTCTCTCTCTCTCTGGTCTCTCTCTCTCTGGGTCTCTCTCTCTCTCTCTCTCTCTCTCTCTCTCTCTCTCTCTGGTCTCTCTCTCTCTGGTCTCTCTCTCTCTGGTCTCTCTCTCTCTGGTCTCTCTCTCTCTGGTCTCTCTCTCTCTGGTCTCTCTCTCTCTGGTCTCTCTCTCTCTGGTCTCTCTCTCTCTGGTCTCTCTCTCTGGTCTCTCTCTCTCTGGTCTCTCTCTCTCTGGTCTCTCTCTCTCTGGTCTCTCTCTCTCTGGTCTCTCTCTCTCTGGTCTCTCTCTCTGGTCTCTCTCTCTGGTCTCTCTCTCTGGGTCTCTCTCTCTGGTCTCTCTCTCTGGTCTCTCTCTCTGGTCTCTCTCTTGGTCTCTCTCTCTGGTCTCTCTCTCTGGTCTCTGGTCTTGCTGGTACCTGTAGTGCAGAGTACAGAGAGGTCCCTGTGTGTTTGATGAATGCAGCTCTGATTGACAGTAGATCCTCTTCACAGTGAGAGACCATCACCCTCTGAGTCAGCGGCACCTGATGACACACACTAATGAGGACTCTGCTGGTACTGCTGCTGCTTCATGGTCATGGTCATACACCATCAACACCACATGTGAACCAGTGAGTTTTACCTTCATGGTGTTGATTCTTTTGGCGAGATACAGGTCCGGGTTCTGAAGGCACTGCACTGGAACCAGAACAGACAATTACCAGAGACCAGGAAGAAACCAGAGAGAGACCAGAGAGAAACCAAAGAGAGAGACCAAAGACCAGAGAGAGAGTACGAGGACGATGACAAGAGAGACACCAGAGAGAGGGACCAGACAGACTAGTGGGAAACCAGTGAGAGAACACAAAGAGACCAGCGAGAGACAGCGCGAGACCCGAGAGAGAACAAAAAGAGATCAGAGAGAGAAACCAGAAAGTCTAGAGAGAGAACAGAGACCAGAGACGAGTGGGAAACCAGAGAGAGAATACAGAGAGACCAGAGGGAGACCAGAGAGAGATGAGAGAGACCAGCAAGAGACCAGAGAGAGAAACCAGAAAGACTAGAGAGAGACCAGAGACTAGTGGTAGACCAGAGTGAGAACACAGAGAGACCAAAGGGAGAGCAGAGAGAGACCAGCGAGAAACCAGACAGAGAACAGAAAGAGACCAGAGAGAGAAACCAGAAAGACAAGAGGGTGAACAGAGACCAGAGAGAGGGACCAAAGGGAGACCAGAGAGAGAGAAACCAGACCACACACTGTACCATGTGTGTGAGGCAGCTCTAACACTCACCGAGCACTTTGAGTCCGAGTCGCAGATCTCCAGAGAAACGTTTATCAAAGGCCTCTTCCAGAAACAGTCCACTCTGATACTCCACCTCATCCAGGACTGAGACAAGACCATCAATACAGAGACCAAAGAGAGACCATATGGATCTAAATGTTGTACCCTTTCGGAGGTGGTCAGGGTCACGAGATGTCAAGATTTCGATCCACAAACCAGCGTCACACTTTTTCCCATTCAGAGTCTGAAGAAGAGTCTGAGAAGAAGAGGAACTGTGTTAGAGAGAGAGCAGAGAGAGACCAGAAAGAGACCAGAACCAGAGAGAGAGACCTGAACCAGAGAGAGAGCAGAGAGAGAGAGCAGAGGGAGAGACTAGAGAGAGACCAGAATGGGGCCAGAGAGAAATCAGAGAGAGACCTGAGAGCCTAACCAAAGAAAGAGAGCAGAGTGATATCAGAACCAGAGAGAGACCAGAACCAGAGCGAGAGCAGGAGAGACCAGAGAGAGAAACCAGAGAGAATCCAGAGTGATACCAGGACCAGAGAGAGACCAGAGAATGTTTTAATATAAATGTCTTTACCTCCGCATCCTTGTGAACCAGTCCAGCCACGTCCTCCTTCTGCAGCACACACAATTACACACCATTTACACACAATTACACAAATAGTAGTCTACGTTCATATGTGTCTGTGATGTTGCTGCTTCAACACTTTGAAATGTAAGTAAGTAAGTAAGTAATTTATATACCGCCTTTTCACTGCACATCGGAGTCTCAAAGCGGTTTACAATTGTTATTTTTGGGAGTGGGCGTGCCAGTACAGGAGGCACATGCCAGACCTATTGTGCATATTTTTAGTGGTAGGGGAAACCGGAGCACCCGGAGGAAACCTACGCAGACACGGGGAGAACATGCAAACTCCACTCAGAAAGGCCCTGGTCCAACCGGGATTCGAACCCAGGACCTTCTTGCTGAGAGGCGAGAGTGCTATCCACTCAGCCACCGTGCCGAGTGGATAGCCAAATGTGTGTCATACTCTTTGTGTTGTGTTTTATCCTCATAAGTAAAGCTTTTGAGTTGTGTTGATGGTACTGTGGCGTTGGAATGAAACAGGTTTAAGTTAGAGTCTGGATCTTTAGAGTGTTGTACGTTACATTGAGCAAAGCCACGATCAGTTTGGCAAAGTCTCCACTGGTTTCTGATCTCAGCTCCTTCTCCAGCTCCTTCTTATACACTGCAACAAAATGCAATTAAATATTATATATTATTTTTAGGGCTGTCAAACGGTTAATCTAGTCTTATCTTATCTTATCTAGTTAATTACAGCTTAAAATGTCATTAATTGTAATTAATCGCATTTCGAACCATTGGCAAAATTATGCAAAATTTTTCTGTAAATGGTTGTTTGAATGCATACAGATAAATGACTACATAGTACTGTATTTGTTTATTATAACAACAATAAATCCACATAATACGGCATTAACATTATTCACATTCTGTTTTTATGTAGAAGACAGTATTTTTTCTAAGTTGTATTAAAAGTGGAATTAAAACCCGTAATTTTATTGAAAAATGTAGCTCATTGATTCAGCTTGTGTATGAATTCAGGCAAAATGCTGAGTAGAAACTTTGCATGACACTCGTTCTCCTCCACCTAGGGGCAGCGCTGTTACGAACAGGCCACGCCTCCTCTAGCGTCTGCAGGTAAACACTACAGCATGGCAGCAGAGAGTGGCTATATCCTCTGGCTGTAACTGCATACACAGCAAAACGGTGACAGTAGCTCAGTTGGTAGAGCATTGGCCTTTGAGCCTGAGGGGGGGGGGGGGGGGGCTGATGGCACAGACTGGTTGCCTCGCTTCTGTCAGTGTGCCCCAGGGCACACTGACGGTGGTTTATTACCACCGTGTATGGAGTGAATGAATAATGACATGTGAAGCGTCTTTGAGTGTCCAAAAAAGCGCTATATAAAACTGATGCATTATTATTATTATCAAAACAGCCAGAAAGACGCAAAAGTGAAGAGAAGACGGAACTAAAGCGAAAAAATGATCAAAGAAGAAACCAATCACGGATGAACATAGCTAGCTGACATTGTATCCTCTGGAGAGACCTGCGGGTGTGGGACTGCCTCGGATTACATTTCAACGTGAAACTAGAGGTGATTTTTTTGTTATTGTACTGTATACGTTTGTTAGCAGTGTGTTGCTTTGGTACCATTTCATCAGTGATTGTTTCACAGGTTATAAGAAGTTGTGCTAATGCTAACGCTTACCTGCTCTGTCACCATCTCACACACGTGTCCGCAGAACTTTTAAGTGTTATTATGGGATGCGTGGGCGGGTCATTCGGTACATGCGTCGAAAGCGTTATTTTTTTACGCGATTAATGAAAACAATTATTTAACATGCGTTAACGCAATAATTTTGACAGCCCTAATTCTTATACATTTGTGGCTTGTGTGCGTCGCAGTGATAAGCACTCTGGTGTCTCTCTGGTCTCTCTCTGGTCTCTCTCTGGTCTCTCTCTGGTCTCTCTCTGGTCTCTCTCTGGTCTCTCTCTGGTCTCTCTCTGGTCTCTCTCTGGTCTCTCTCTGGTCTCTCTCTGGTCTCTCTCTGGTCTCTCTCTGGTCTCTCTCTGGTCTCTCTCTGGTCTCTCTCTGGTCTCTCTCTGGTCTTTCTCGGGTCCCTCTCTGGTCTATATCTGGTCTCTCTCTGTCTGGTCTCTCTCTCTGGTCTCTCTCTCTGGTCTCTCTCTCTGGTCTCTCTCTCTGGTCTCTCTCTCTGGTCTCTCTCTCTGGTCTCTCTCTCTGGTCTCTCTCTCTGGTCTCTCTCTCTGGTCTCTCTCTCTGGTCTCTCTCTCTGGTCTCTCTCTCTGGTCTCTCTGTGGTCTCACTGTGTCTGTAGATGCTGCTGATCTGTTTGAGCTCAGGTCCAGTTCTAGTGCAGAGTATTTCCAGTAGACTTTCTTCATCTGTTCCCACGCCCTGAAACAAAACACAGAGAATTCCTACACTCAGGTGAGACCACAAACGCACCACGCGCCTCTGTGCTGTCACATATAATCATAGATCCAAGAGCACAAACCATTGATTTGAATAGAATGCCATATTGGACACCATATCTACGGGGGCTTGGCACAAACAGAATGTTGGAATTAAAGCTGGGGCACGTAATTTAAAAGCACAATAACTAACCAGTAAGAATGTTTTACTAAAAGACAATAAGATCACAGTCTTTTAGTTTGTGGCAGAGAGTACACTTGTGTTTAAGCCATCCATCCATTTTCTTCCGTTTCATCCGTTTCCGGGTTGCGGGGGCGCCCAGCCACTCTGCGGAGGAAGCTCATTTCGACCGCTTGTATCCGCGATCTCGTTCTTTCGGTCATTACCCAAAGAACGAACCATTCATGAGGAAGGTAATGAAGATTGGCCAGTAAATAGAGAGCTCTTCTATTGGTTCTATCACTGAGTCCTGGTCCTGGTCCTGGTCCTGCTCTAGTTTTCACATCATGTATCTCTGTCCTCTGTCACATCTTTGGTTCAGTTTTTTTCACAGAGAAAAGTGACAAAGGGAGAACTGCCTCTTCATACACAGCAGGGTACTCACCGCCATGGCCTCCTGCAGCCTGTAGGCCTCATACTGCAGAGGAGGCATCATCAACTCCAGCAGGAGGCGCTCCAGGTCTCCAGACAGACCCTTCTTTAGAGCAGCTCCCAGCTCCTGATGAACATGTGACATCACCACAGCCTCAGTCTTGGGTCTACAGCCTCAGTCCTATGTGTTTGTTATTATTGCATTTCCTGTGTTTGAACTGCTTGATTCTCTGATCTGTGTTGGTGAATCCACAACTTTGTAAAGTCCTGAGACGGCGAGATAAAAAACATTGATCTGAATTGACCTGTACTTTAGCATCTCCCTCTTGAGTCTTAAATAAACATAATAAACTCACATGTGCCTCTGTGGATTTAAAACCTGTTTCTAATGTGTTTACACTCAGCAAACAGAGCAAGCTAACGGCTAACAGCTAACGGAAAACGGCTAACAGTGCTAGCGTTACCTTCTGTGTGAGGTCTTCAAACGTCTTGGCCAGAATCTGTCTCTGATCGTTGTTTCGATTTGTCAGGATTCTCACCAGAGTCGCACTGTCTGAAAGAATAATAATAATGACAACAATAACTTATTATAGCAGAATAAATCCATATCCAACATTGTCTCAGTGTGAACTATTTTAACCACTCTAAATCACTTTATAAACGCGTAGAACCAAATTATTTAAAACTCACAATTTTTTATTGATTTTTTATTGAAACAGCAGTTACATAAAGGCCTTAAATTAAGCTTTCTCACCATAACATACAACCTTCACTGCACAGACTGCCCATGAGCTAACAGCATCAGCCCCATTCTTTTAACAAGTGCCTTCTGAAGTCCACAGCAGCTGAACTAGAGCGGTCCAAAAATAAATACTCCTCTCAGCATTGACACGGATCTGGAACGTAGCTTTGGGCCAAGAGTCACTTTCAGACCATCCTGTAAAGCTGATTTCAAGAGGAAAATAAGACGCCATAGAAAAGCATTGGATAATTCTCTTTCTGGGTACACCCCCACCGGCCCGGAGTGGTATCGCAAGTATGTCAGCGCACTCATGGACGATTTTGAGCTGGGACCTTCCCCCACTGGTTTTGTAATATCATGTATAGGGAAGAAATGGACAGAGGATTGATCCTTGGGCGCCCCCTGAGGAAAGGGGGTAGGTGAAAACAGGGAATATGTACGTTGTAGGATTAGGAGTGTAATCAGAGCCCCAACTATATCGAGTGGAGTAGAGCAGAACAGAGTAGAGCACAGTTGAGTAGAGTAGAGTAGAGCAGAACAGAGTAGAGTAGAGCAGAGTAGAGCACAGTTGAGTAGAGTAGAGTAGGAACCTTTCTTCTCCAGAGCCAGCAGCAGCAGCTCCACATCTCTGTCCGGATGAAAGTTAGAATGAGGTCTGACGGTGCCCAGAGTTCCCCAACACATGTCCTGAAGAACACACAACTGTTTCTGAACATATAAATACAAACACAAAACACACACACAGAGAAAAAAACGGAGACCAACACACAATAAAACCCTTTTTGAACATGGCAAGATTTAGGCCGTGTTTACTACTCTACTCTACTCTACTCTACTCTACTCTACTCTACTCTACTCTACTCTACTCTACTCTACTCTACTCTACTCTACTCTACTCTACTCTACTCTACTCTACTCTACTCTACTCTACTCTACTCTGACAGACACCGGTTTCATCAGTGCAGAGAGGCTGGTCAGACTTCAAGACTCAGCGGAAACAAGATACAAGCCTGAACTGACAGAGAGATTAAGACCCCACCAGAGAGAGAGGCCAGAGAGAGACTAGAGAGAGACCAGAGAGAGAGACTAGAGAGAGACCAGAGAGAGAGACCAGAGAGAGACCAGAGAGAGACCAGAGAGAGACCAGAGAGAGACCAGAGAGAGACCAGAGAGAGAGGCCAGAGAGAGAGGCCAGAGAGAGACCAGAGAGACCAGAGAGAGGCCAGAGAGAGACCAGAGAGAGACCAGAGAGAGAGGCCAGAGAGAGACCAGAGAGAGGCCAGAGAGAGACCAGAGAGAGACCAGAGAGAGACCAGAGAGAGAGGCCAGAGAGAGACCAGAGAGAGACCAGAGAGACCAGAGAGAGGCCAGAGAGAGACCAGAGAGAGAGGCCAGAGAGAGACCAGAGAGAGGCCAGAGAGAGAGGCCAGAGAGAGACCACAGCCTCTCCCTGGGGCATGTGGGAGGGGCCACGTGCTCCTTGAACAAATAGTGCTTACTGTAATTAGAATTTACCTCCACATTTTTCCAATACACTTCACTACTGTACTCTCTCTGTCTCTATTTCTGGTCTCTCTCTGGACCTGGTTTCTCTCTGCTCTCTGGTCTTTGCGGATACTCACAGATCTGAAGTATTCTGGGTCCATGGCTGTATTTCCAACTGTAAATGCAACAGAATAAGAAAATGGTTTATGTCATATGTGTGCAGAGGAGGTTCAAACATCAGTGCCACAGACAGAGCTACACACCAATAATCTACAACTACTACTACCACTACTGCTACTACTATTACTTTACCTTCTGGTACTATCACAGACATGAACTTCTAAGAACCTGTCATTACTGCTACTGCCCCAGAACCAAACATTCAAACTTCAAGAGACAAGCAAAGCATTTCTGTTTTAAAATGTGTCAAAAAGTTGTTTTCTTTGTACAACAATCTTCAGTTACTGACAGAACATATGAAGAGGGGAGAGACTTTGTTTGAATGACTCTAAAATGGAAATGGCTAAATCCTTCAAATATATTTCTAATGCCAGTTTTGGCATTATAACTACTCTTTTATAAGTAATGTTCTCACCGGTGTTGTCTGTGGCCAGCAGCTGTGAGTTCAGTGAAGCCTCTCTCTGGTCTTTTTCGAGTCTTTGCTCTCCCTCTGGGCTCTAGTCAGTCTCCCTCTGGTCTTTCTCTGGGCTCACTCCCTCTAGTCTCTGATTTCCTTCTAGTCTTCCACTGGTCTCCTCTATCTAAGCCCCGCCCCACACCTGCATGCCCCTCACCTGTGACTCACTCTCTTGACCAATCAAATCGCTCAGACTGCTCCTTTATCTCTTTTGCACAATCAGCCCCCATCAAAATATAGTTTCTGACACAAGAGGAATGTGGACCAGCGAGTTCCAGAGGCGTCTGTGGACAGAGCTGCAGCCAATTTGTAAATACAAATATTACTACTGCTTAGTTTAAGGAAGTTCATCTTGTTTTAGTAGTAACACAATTGTCAAATTAGAAGCATAATATTTGGATTACTACTACTACTACTACTACTCACAAATACCAGTCATATCATAAAGGATGCTTTAAAGCTAGGCTACATTTTCAGATTCATGCTGGTAAAATCTAGAACAATCTTCCTGAAGATGTGAGACAGGCCTCCTCTCTGACAGTGTTTAAAAGCAGGTTAAAAACAGTCCTGTTTAGCTGTGCATACAACTGAGGGATTTTATATTTGTATTACTATAACTAATAATGTGGGTAAAGTTACGTCCGACAGCCCTAACATAAACTCAAACATAGGTTTCCATATAAACACTTTTCACTCGTTAAACGATATCACCTCGTATTGTACTGGAATGTACCTGGGAGTCACTATTTGCCGCTTTGGGGCTGCGTGCTGATTGGTTGAGTCAGGGCGGTCCCATGTACAGTCCAGTGTCCCGTTTTCTTGCATCTCTGGTTTAGGACCATTGTCTTCTCCTCATTGTTCCTGTGCTCTCTGTGTCAGACCCGCCCCTGTCTCACTTTCAGAGTTTAAACCAAAAATTGCAACCTTTGCGCCAAAGCTGCTTTATCTCCAGGTTTTATATATGAGCAGTAAAAACACAGACACTCCCACTGGGTCAGAGCACTGGAGGGAGCAGGATAATGCTAACAATGCTAACAAACTGTACACAGATGGACCATGCTAACACAGACTAACATAGCATTGAGAAACATGTAGCAGTAATAGTTAATTAAGACTAGCTTTAACATTGGTTAACTGACACCAAACCAAAGTCGTCCTCTCACCCACAACCTCTGGAAAAAAAAGAAAGACCCCTCCCTCTGGTGGCAGCACAGGGGATTACAGGGAGAATGCCTTTTTTATCCTTCACATTTGATTCATCCTAAATTGGAGAAAACTGGAGAAAATATTCTAAAACAGTCTCATTGTCTGCATTATTATGGTCCACTGAACAGAATGCAGCTTATTTATACTTTAACATAAAACAAAAAAGGCGGGAAACAGATTTCACATTTATTCATATCATTTTATTATCAACGTTAAAACCTTTTCCCGTCAGATGCATCTGAAACATGTATAAAATATATTACATCCTGTACAAACACTAAGATTTGGCTTTTCATATTTCACACAATCAGAATGATAGGAAATTCGTGTTTATTTATGTAGCACATGTCAGACCACACTCACAGGAAGCACAATGGTGATGAGACCAGAGAGAGAGACCAGAGAGATAGACCACAGAGAGACCAGAGAGAGACCAGAAAGACCAGAGAGAGACCAGAGAGAGACCAGAGAGAGACCGGAGAGAGACCAGAGAGAGAGACAAGAGACCAGAGAGAGAGATCAAAGAGATAGACCAGAGAGAGACCAGAGAGACCAGACAGTGACCAGTGAGAGAGGAGAGAGACCAAAGAGATAGACCAGAGAGACCAGACAGTGACAAGTGAGAGAGGAGAGAGACCAGCCAATCAGTGTTCAAAAGTGTGCTCTTTATTTAAAAGCTTTTTTGTAGCCTAACCCTAACCCTGCATATGAGCCCTCCAGGTGCTCCAGTTTCCCCCACCACAAAAAACATGACAAGGCTGCTGTCGCCACCGTGTGGAGAGAAAAGGAATTAAAGCTGCATCAACACTGTCAGCTTGGTCTGTGCCATATAAATAAACAGTACATACGTCTGGATACAAAAGTAACTTGGTCCATTGTAAACAACACAAGTCTAAGTGCGCAATAGAAATACATATACACCTGCTGGGGTCATGTGCACACAGGCAAAACACATACACTTCATCACGTTAAAATACAACAATCTTTTTGCATAATAGTGGGAGTAGCTAAAGAAGCGGAGAGAGAAAGAGAGAGAGACCAAAGAGACAAGCGAGATCAGAGACAAGAGAGACAAGAGAGAGAGAGAGACAGAGAGACAGACCAGAGAGAGAGAAAGACCAGAGAGATCAGAGACGAGAGAGAGAGACAGAGAGACAGAGACCAGAAAGAGAGAAAGACCAGAGAGATCAGAGACAAGAGAGAGAGATCAGAGAAAGAGAGAGAGAGAGAGACCAGAGAGATCAGAGACAAGAGAGAGAGAGCAAGAGAGACGAGAGAGAGAGATCAGAGAAAGAGAGAGAGAGAGACCAGAGAGAAATCCCCTCCCACTCCTCAAAAATAGAAATGGGAGGGGCTACAGTAGAAGTGGGAGGGGCTAAAGGGGAATCAAAGGCACACATGTGGGAGGTTGGCAGTGGTGAGTTCCCTGAATACAATAAAGCTGTGTTTACACACATGTCATAGATTTATATATTTATCTTTTTTTTATATTAGAATATATACAAATTTGTGTCAGATACACAAGTCAAGGCTCCAGAGTGAAGTAGAGAGAGAGAGACCAGCTAGAACTAGAGAGAGACCAGCAAATGGAGTCTCCATTTGCTGGTCTCTCTCTAGTGTCTCTCTAGTGTCTCTCTAGTCTCTCTCTAGTCTCTCTCTAGTCTCTCTCTAGTCTCTCTCTAGTGTCTCTCTAGTGTCTCTCTAGTCTCTCTCTAGTAGTGTCTCTCTAGTCTCTCTCTAGTCTCTCTCTAGTGTCTCTCTAGTGTCTCTCTAGTCTCTCTCTAGTCTCTCTCTAGTCTCTCTCTAGTCTCTCTCTAGTCTCTCTCTAGTGTCTCTCTAGTCTCTCTCTAGTCTCTCTCTAGTCTCTCTCTAGTCTCTCTCTAGTCTCTAGTCTCTCTCTAGTCTCTCTCTAGTCTCTCTCTAGTCTCTCTCTAGTCTCTCTCTAGTCTCTCTCTAGTCTCTCGCTAGTCTCTCGCTAGTCTCTCTCTAGTCTCTGCACAGCTATGATTAGTAGAGGTTATAGTGAGAACACATGTGTTAAAGAGAAACAAAGATTATCTAGAGCAGCTCGATGTCCCACTGCTGCGTCGCTCGCTCCTCGTCCTTGTGCATAATCACCACATGGTCTTTATCGTACGTTTTGCCTCCTGAAAAACACATATTACTATTTTATTCAGATTGTGAATTTATACACACTTTTCACTGTCAGAGGATTACAACACACTGAGCCCAAACTGTGTGTGTGTGTGTGTGTGCCAAGGATGGGAAATTTCAAAGAAATGAAATGCACGCAGATTTCCACCTTTGAGCTTGGATGTTTTTTTTATATAATGCACTAAAAATGGAAACTTTTAACATTGAAAAAGAAGGGAAATCATAATGTTTGAAAGCAATATCTTAATAATTCCCTGCGTTCCTCAGAGACTGACAGCAGAATCAGAATCATTTTTTTTCAGAATCAGAATCATTTTTATTGCCACGTAAGTAACAGGAGGTCACAGACTAGGAAATTGCTTTGGCTCAGTGCAACAGTCAAAAAGAGATAATAAAAATAAGAATAAAAAACACTTCTAAAGAATACATTTAAATTTAAAATAGAGTTACAGTTACTATTTACAATATACAAGTGCACATGGTGCACACAATGTAAGGTGACAGCAGTACAGTGAAGTAAAGTGACGTATGATGGGCAGTAAAGTGACTTTATAAAGGGCGGGGGGACAGGTTAAGAAGTGTTCAAGAGTCCAACAGCAGAGGGGAAGAAACTGTTCTTGTGGCGGGAGGTTCTAGTCCTGATGGACCGCAGCCTCTTGCCTGAGGGGAGTGGTTGGAATAGTCCATGTGCAGGGTGAGAGGGGTCGGCTGTGATACGACCAGCCCGGCCTCGAGCTCGGGCGACGTACAGGTAGGCCTGTCGCGATAGTCAATAAATCAATTAATCGCACGATAAATAAAATTTGCTCAATAACTTTTCTGGCCGCGATAAATCCATTTGCATGCTTGTTTGTTTTCCCCGTCTCTCTCCCCCTCTCTCTCGGGTCAGAGAGCCGCAAAGTGGTCACGGGAACATTAGCGGTCTAGCAAGCAGACGGAAATTACTCAAAAATACAAAATACAGCCAAAACAGGACCTAAACCAGGACTTAACCAGGATTGACAATGGGGGACACAGTAGTTGTGAACATATGCCGGCAGCTGAGTTCTCATTCAGGCTTGATTAGTGACTATACTAGCGCAGCTAGCGTTAGCGTGTTCGCCGATGCAGAAGTACCGTACCATACCAATAAAATAAACTTATGGCGCACCTCCGTGAACACATACTGCTGTTATATAAAGTCTCTAGAAGGTCTCTGAACACAGAGATGCTGCAGACTTGCATTCTTGGAGTAGAACTTTACACAAAAAACCCGCTAGCTTAGCTGTTAGCATCAAAGCCCGCCCCGCTACTTCCGGTGGGCGCTACCGCAGCAGGACTTCTGTACGCCCCATTGGTGAACCCACATGTCAGTCACTTGTCATTTGCCTGGTGTGTGGGGAGGTGGGACTACTCCTGAGAGATCCTGTCTTAAACCACACAAAGTCAACATGTTGGTATTTCTTTCTCGTAATCTGCCATAAAGTCTGAGAAATTATTGACATTTGAGGCATCTGTTTCATATTTTCTTTACAAAGGTCCTGGCAGTTTTATTCCTGGTCATTTTTTGTTAAGAGACTGAGTATTTTATTTATTGTTTTTGGTTGTTTGTAAATTTATTGTGTTCTAGCGTTAAATATTCGTTAAAAATAAAAGTTTATTTCTCTTTGAAAAGGTGTACCTGCATGATCATTGTAATCGATGCAAATGATCTCAGAACGACAATATAATCGCTTATCGCAATAATTTCTGAGACAATTAATCGTCCAGCAAAATTTGTTATCGTGACAGGCCTACGTACAGGTCCTGCAGCGATGGAAGGCTCCGGCCGATCACTTCCTCTGCAGAGCGCACAATGCGCTGTAGTTTCTGCTTGTCCCTGACTGTGGCTCCAGCGAACCACACGGTGACGGAGGAGGTGAGGATGGACTCGATGATGGCCGTGTAGAACTGCACCAACATCTGTGCAGGCAGCTTGGCTTTCCTGAGCTGCCGCAGGAAGTACATCCTCTGCTGGGCCTTCTTGATGATGAGGGAGCTGATGGTCGGCTCCCACTTGAGGTCCTGGGTGATGGTGGTGCCCAGGAAACAGAAGGACTCCACAGAGGTGATGGGGGAGTCCATCACGGAGGGTGGGGGTGGGGGGACAGTGCTCTTCCTGAAGTCCACAATCATCTCCACTGTCTTCTGGGCGTTCAGCTCCAGGTTGTTACCACTGCACCAGGACACCAGCCGGTCCACCTCCCTCCTGTAGGCGGACTCATCGTTGCTGGAGATGAGTCCAATGAGGGTGGTGTCGTCCGCGAACTTGATCAGCTTCACGGAGTCGTGGCTGGAGGTGCAGTGGTTGGTGTACAGGGAGAAGAGCAGGGGAGAAAGAACACAGCCCTGTGGGGCTCCTGTATTTATAATCCGAGAGTCCGAGACATTCTTCCCCAGACGCACTCGCTGCTTCCTGTCCGTCAGGAAGTCAGTGATCCACCTGCAGGTTGAATCGGGCACGTTGAGTTGGGAGAGCTTGTCCTGGAGCAGGGATGGCAGGATCGTGTTGAAGGCAGAGCTGAAGTCCACGAACAGGACCCTGGCGTAGGTCCCCGGGGAGTCCAGGTGCTGTAGGATGTGGTGGAGGGCCAGGTTAATGGCGTCGTCTACAGATCTGTTGGCTCTGTAGGCAAACTGCAGGGGGTCCAGGAGGGGGGAGGTGAAGGACTTGAGATGGGAGAGAACCAGGCGTTCAAATGACTTCATGACGACAGACGTAAGTGCTACAGGTCTGTAGTCATTGAGTCCTGTGATCCTGGGCTTCTTCGGGACGGGGACAATGATGGAGGATTTGAAGCAGGCCGGGACATGGCAGGACTGCAGAGAGGTGTTGAAAATGTCCGTGAACACAGGAGTAAGCTCACTGGCGCAGTGTCTCAGAGTGGCCGGAGACACGTGGTCCGGGCCAGGAGCTTTGCGGGGGTGCAGCCTCAGGAAGAGTTGTTTAATCTCTTTAGCGGCTATTGTTAGGCTGGGGGCAGGGCTGATGGGTGGGTCGTTAGAGTAGTGGGGGGTGGGGGAGGGAGAGGTGTCAGGGGCAGCATCAAAGCGACTGAAAAATAAGTTCAGATCGTCAGCTAGCTTGTGGTCGTCAGCACAGGGGGGGGCTTTGGGTTTGTAGTTGGTGATCTCCCGTAGGCCCCTCCAGACAGAAGCAGTATCGTTGTTACCAAACTGCTCCTGTAGTCGTTCTCTGTGCCGGGACTTGGCTGCTTTCAGTTCTTTCCTGAACTGATATTTAGCTGCTTTGTAGCCGCTGCGGTCCCCCTCCCTGAAAGCAGACTCCTTTGCTTTCCTGAGCTGCCGGAGTTTAGCAGTGAACCAGGGTTTGTCGTTGTTATAGATGACCCTGGTCCTTGTTGGAATGATGCTATCCTCACAGAAGTGAATGTATGACGTCACAGTGTCCGTATATTCATCCAAACTATCTGTGGCAGCTCTGAAAAGGTCCCAGTCTGTAGATTCCATGCATGCGCGCAGCTCTTCCACAGCTTCATCAGACCACACTTTGGAGCTCCTCACTGCAGGTTTCGAGAGCTTTAGTCTCTGTCTGTAAGCAGGAACCAGATGTATCATGGAGTGATCTGAGAAGCCGAGGGCTGGCTTGGGAACAGCGCGAAAAGCTCCGCACACGGTGGTGTAACAGTGATCCAGAGTGTTCTCCTCTCTGGTCGGGCATTTGATAAACTGTCTGTATTTGGGTAATTCCTGGCTCAAGTTTCCCTTATTAAAATCCCCCAGGATAATAATCAGAGAGTCCGGGTATAAGCGTTCCATACACAGTACTTGCTCTGCGAGTGCGCGCTGAGCCTCGCGCGCGTCTGCGCATGGCGGTATGTAAACAGAGGCAAGAATGAATGAAACAATTTTGCGCGGGGAGTAATATGGTTTACAATGAATGAAAAGATATTCCAGAGCAGGAGAGCAGTGCTTGGAGATCACGGTCACATCATTACACCAGTTTGTATTGACGTAGAAACACAGCCCACCGCCTCTGCTCTTCCCTGAGAGCGCACAATGGCGATCCGCGCGGAACAGCCCAAAGCCCTGCAGCTCCAGAGCGCAGTCCGGGATCCGCTCATTTAGCCAGGTCTCAGTGAAGCAGAGGACACAGGATGTGGCGAAGTCCTTGTTTCTTCTCATGAGCAGGCTGAGTTCGTCCATCTTATTGCCCAGTGAGCGTACGTTGGAGAGAAAAATGCCGGGGAGAGCCGTGCGCGCTCCTCTCCTCCTAAGACGCACGAGCAGGCCTCCGCGCCTTCCCCTTTTACGGGCCCACACTTTTTTGGCTAGAACATGAACTAAATCAGCCGCAGATGCCAAGAAAACAGGCAATAGGTCCATGGGAACGGTGGGTCGGATGTTCATAAGTTCCTCACGGGTGTAGGAACAGCCAGATGCGCAGTTAAAAAGTAAAAACAAAAGAAAAAGAGAGCAGCAAAGAGCCATGTCGACCGTACGAGGCGCCATCTTTGTTGATCTTTGTGATCTCTGTGCAAAACCGTTCACATCTCCACACATCTGCGGCGACTCCATTTACATAACAATGCTTCCTGATTCAAACAGTCAGATTCAGAATCATTTATTTGCCATTTGCAGTAAAACCACATAGGAAAAACTGTGCAAGACTACCCCGGTGTGCACCTTTTTTTTTTTTTTTTTTCTTCTTTTATGGATTCTCTCTCTCTATATATTTGATGAGTCTACAATAAAAGGGGACGCAGCCTATTCATATTTACCACCTAGAAGTAAAGTTGAGTTGTTTACAACAGTTGCCTTTAATTAGATAAGATAAGAATTCCTTTATTCGTCCCACAGTGGGGACGAATTTCAATGTTGCAGCGCACATACAGGACAGTAGTAAGAGCACACAGGGAGCACACACAATATATACAAATAAGTAGTAGCTGTGTTTCTTAGCGAACATAACTAGCTGTAGATGCATTCTGAAGTGGCAGTAGCACATTATTTAAGAATTTACTTATTTACAGATGAATGAAATTTACAGCAGTTCTTATTGAACAGTCTGACAGTAAGAACTGCTGAGCCTGTCAATTATCTGATGATGGTAGTAGTCTTACTGAATTTAATTGATTTTTTTATTTATTAAACAGTTTTATATAGCGCTTTTTTTGGACAAGACCCTCGCATGTATATATGACATGTGAAGCGTGTCATGAAAAATGATTTTAATATTTGCCACGAAAGCAACTTTACTCAGAAATGAGCCTCTTTGTGCTCAACAGGAGGGGGCGCTAGTCTGACCAACACAGTTGAAAAGTGTGTGTGTGTGTGTGTGTGTGTTTGTGTGTTTGTGTGTGTGTATTACCTTTGACGTCCAGGACCATGCCAGAGAAGGTGAGGCTCGACACCAGGCCTCGCATCTGTGCCGTCCAGCTCTGCACCGGCTGCCGAGTCTCCGACCACAGAACCACTTTTGCTCCGGGTTCAACGTTCCCCATGACTTGAAGACTCATGCAGGGAGACAGCTGCAGGGGAGAGACAGCCTCAGTCCTGGATCTACAGCCTGGGTCAGTCCTGGATCTATAGCCTGGGTCAGTCCTGGATCTATAGCCTGGGTCAGTCCTGGATCTATAGCCTGGGTCAGTCCTGGATCTACAGCCTGGGTCAGTCCTGGATCTATAGCCTGGGTCAGTCCTGGATCTATAGCCTGGGTCAGTCCTGGATCTACAGCGTGGGTCAGTCCTGGATCTACAGCCTGGGTCAGTCCTGGATCTACAGCCTGGGTCAGTCCTGGATCTATAGCCTGGGTCAGTCCTGGATCTATAGCCTGGGTCAGTCCTGGATCTACAGCCTGGGTCAGTCCTGGATCTACAGCCTGGGTCAGTCCTGGATCTACTGCCTGGGTCAGTCCTGGATCTACAGCCTGGGTCAGTCCTGGATCTACAGCCAGGGTCAGTCCTGGATCTACAGCCTCAGTCCAGGTTCCTCTCTGATGCAGGAGTGGTCCATCTCAGCAGTAGTACCAGTGTCCAGGACCATTACCTTGTTCTTGATGAGTCCGTCCTGGTAGTACCAGATGTCGCTCATGGGCTCTGGCTCTGCTGAGACCACGACTCTCCCAGACTTCAGCTCCTCCACTCCGCCCTGAACCGACAGGAAGTGACCACTATCACGGTTCTTCACACGGAACAGGCTTCGTTTCTGTAAACACAGATACCATGAGATCAGAGAGAGGCACCAGAAAGAGAGACCAGAAAGAGAGACCAGAGAGGGACGAGAGAGAGAAAAAAATAAAAAATGAGAAGGTTTCTCACATGTGTCACTGAGGTGTAAGGGTCTTAGGGGGGTCTCTCACCTGTCTGACTGGATACATGGAGCCGATGGTCTGCATAGAGCTGAACTTGGGCCAGTTTGTGATCTCAATGGTCTCGAGGAGGAACTGGCGCCCCCTGTAGTTACTGTGCTCACAGATCACCCAACTGCAAAACACATGTTTACATTCAGGGGAAATAAAGCTGGGAACCTAAGTTTTCCCCTACGGTCTAAATCAGGTTTGCCCAAAGTTTGATCCCCAGACCATTTAAGTTGGCCCGCCAAACGTTTTCCACTCCAATAGGAAGTCTCTATCTTCGCCCTCAGACTGGCTGGACACACAGACGTATAACCAGGGTCACGGCCTGAACTGCTCATATCCAGTAATTTAGTGTTGTATCGAGATACACGCCTCACTCATGGTTCACATCAACTTGCACTAAAATGCTTTTAAATCAAATACACTTATCAAAACAATTGGGTGCAAGGCACCTTTATGTTAATTTTTTTTAGCCTACTATTATTTTTATTTAAGCAATTTTATGTTTTATCAATTTGAGAGGATCTCCCATGAGCCTTTTGGGCTTGTATAAAACTATGGGAAAGCCAAGCAGAGAAGTGCGCCCCTAGTGTTAGGTTTCTGTTTTGCATATTGAAGTAACTTACGTTTGAGCACGTAGCTATTGCCAGAGCAGCACGCAGCCGCATGCCTTCATTCATTCATTTTGTTGCCTGTGTCAGTGTGCGTTAATGACCAGGAAGTAAGTACCATGTGTGATTTGTTGATATATATGTGCAGCTTTAGCCATATATCTGTGTTTATACTTAACAGACTTTACTCGTGTTTTCTTGAGTCTCAGTTTATCATTTGTGATGTGATGTACCTACTTCAAGTAGTATTCTAATGTCAAATGTTTGGTTTTTCTGCTAATTTATAGTTCAAAGTTCATTCTATTGCTAGTTTATTATTAGTTACGTGACGTCTGTTGTGCATCTGACAATCTGCACTGCGTCTTGTGCCAAAATTAAAGGGCATGTCTGTAACTTTTTAGGAGCAACCAATTAAGTGCTGTAATTTGTAAATATTGAATTAAACACCCAATTTATAGCCGTTATATGATTATATATATTTGATTATAACCTGTAAATTAGCTACAACAGAAATCTCCCTCCTCTGGACCCTGATTCTCTGACCGGATTCTTTCCGTACTGTAGTCTCCTCAAACCAGCATATTTCCCTGGAGCCTCCACTTCACTAAGAGTGTGTTGTTTTCCTTCATTCAGCTGTGATTTGCACTGATAGACAATGATTAATGCATTTAATTATTTAACAGTAATTAAAGGAACTTGATCAAATTTACATTTGTGTTTCACACATAATATTGGTGTATTTGGGCCGCGGCCCTCTGGCAATTTTTAACTTTGGCCCTTGGAGGCAAAATTTTTGGGCACCCCTGGTCTACATCACTCATGTCTCCATCGCTCCGGTCTCAAACACAGAAGTGCCAGGTGTGGGTAAAGCAGAATTCACACACACACAAACACAGGTACTAAGTGGGGTCGTACCAGCCGCTGTTGACGCGCACAGACAGCACATGGTTGTTGTAGCCCTCCTCCACCAGACTGAAGATCTCCGCTTCTGTCGTCAGTTCTCTGCCCTCCAGGCACTCAAGGCCGAAGAGAGAGATCGAGGGGACCGCAAACGTCTGAGAGGAGAGAGGTCAGGGGTGAGAGAGAGATTGGCCAGTCTGTGTTATAGATTGTATACAGAAGGTCTGTGTGTATAAGTATATGTGTGTGTATATGTGCGTGTGCATGTGCGTGTGTGTGCGACTGACCAGAGGAACGACCTTCACAGATTGCAGGTAGCAGCTGGAGGGGACCCCCATACTGCTGAGGTTTGGATAATCTCCCTCTGACAACACAAACATCTGACCCTGGAACTGTTTACTCTCATACAACACCCAGCTACACACATACACAAACACACAGACACACACACACACAGAGACACCCACAACAGACGCACACACACAAACAGACGCCGAGACACACAACACACACAAACACAGAAAACAAAGTAATGAATTACATGTGAACTTGAGTCACTTGAAGTGGACCCTAACCATCAGTGTGACTCAAAACTCTCAGTCAGAGTCTCCGTCCGAGTCTCCGTCCGTCAGGTTAACCCCCAGGCTCAGATCTGTGACTGAGGGTTAAACGCTGCAGTAGTGTCTTGCTCACCTGCTGCCTATCACTCTGCAGGACTTGGGCAGGAGTTTATCAGACAGCGCCTCCTGGTTGCGATCGATGGTATAACACTGTCCCTGGAAATCTGGTTCTGTGTAGAGGAGGATCTGTAGAGACATTCCAAGTCAGGAAACAGAGACCATAAGGTTACAGAGACCATAAGGTTACAGAGACCATAAGGGGACAGCGACCATAAGGTTACAGAGACCATAAGGTTACAGAGACCATAGGAGACAGACTCAGGACTCACCAAAGAGAGAGCAGAGACACAGACAGAGATCGAATCACTAACCCATCAATCAAACAGAGAAATATGACACAGACCTGAGAGCGGTTCTTAGTGTTGTCTCGAGGAACCTGCAGAAACATGACAACATGAATAATTCCTATGTTATACATGGTATATACATAGGTAAATGTATATTTATATACACTGGGCAAAAAAGTATTTAGTTAGCCACAAATTGTGCAAGTTCTCCTACTAAAAAAGACGAGCAAGGCCTGTAATCTTCGTCTAGGTATACCTTAACTATGAGAGAAATTAGTATTTGGTCGATATCAAAAGTTCATCTCAATGCTTGGAAATGACAGAGCTCAAACGTTTTTTGTAAGTCTTCATCAGGTTTTCTCACACCCTTGCTGGTATTTTGGCCCATTCCTCCATGCAGATATCTAGAGCAGTGATATTTTAGGCCTGTCGTTTGGGCAACACACATTCAACTCCCTCCAAAGATTTTTCTATAGGGTTGAGATCTGGAGACTGGCTAGGCCCCTCCAGGACCTTGAAATGCTTCTTTTCCCAGGCGGTGTGTTTGGGATCATTGAAATTCTGAAAGACCCAGCCACATTTAATCTTCGATGCCCTTGCTGATGGGAGGAGGTTTTCATTTAAAATCTCATGATACATGGCCCCATTCATTCTTTCCTTTTACACGGATCAGTCGCCTCTTTTGCAGAAAAACAGCCCCAAAGCATGTTTCCACCCCCATGTTTCACAGTCAGTATGGTGTTCTTTGGATGCAACAAATCATTCTTTCGCCTTCAAACTCAAGTAAAGTTTTTACCAAAAAGTTCTATTTTGGTTTCATCTGACCATATGACATTCTCCCAATCCTCTTCTGGATCATCCAAATGCTCTCTAGCAAACTTCAGACGGGCCTGGACATGTACTGGCTTAAGCAGGACGGCGTAATGTGTTACTGATGGTGACCTTTTTCACTTTGGTCCCAGCTCTCTGCTGGTCATTCACTCGGTCAAGATGTGATTTTCTAAAGTGTTTGTACTCGTCTCTCGTAGTTGAGGTATACCTATGATGAAAATTACAGGCCTCCATCATAAATACTTCATACTGTACATGTGTTTGAGTGAGGTTTGTCTCTCACCGGGAGAATAGGCTGAACAGAGCAGATCTTGTTGTCCAGAGAGCCCCAGTCTGCCGAGTTGTTGTAGAATCCTTTCTCCAGAATGTACTGACTCCCAGAGAAGTCCACATGGGAGTACGCCACCCAGCTGCAGCACATGGTATTACAATTTCATCACACAGAGGAAAGAGAGGAAGAAGAGAAGAGAAGAGGGAGAGGAAAGAGGGAGGAGAGAGTGAGAGGAGAGTGACTCACGCTCCGTTGAGGACGTGGATGGAGCGAGTGGAGGTCTTGTATCCAAACAATTCCACGTCAGCGATGGCTTCCGTCACCTCAAAAGTGTTTTCCTCCTGCTCCTCCTGCTCCTCTTCCGGCAGCTCAAACATCACCATCACAGGGTCACTCAGGTCCTGAGAAAGAGAGGGGGAGGAAGGGGAGAGATTTTTGTATGGAAACTCGAAAAACTATGAGTTAGAGTTCTAGTTGTTTTTAAAAATCAATTCAATTAAATTCAATTGTCAAACACAGTCACTGTTGTTATGGATATTACTGATGTCCATGCTCCCCCTTTCTGAGTGGAGTTCACTGGGTGCTCCGGCTCTTCGCAAACCTCCCTGACCAGTAGGAGGAAAATGACCTCAAAAACAGTAATTTTATATATATATATATATATATATATATATATATATATATATATAAAATATAAATATATATAATATATATAAATATATAAATATATATATAATAATAAAAAATTACACCTTACACCCTCCTTGGGTGGTTATCCCTCTCTAAGCTCGGGTCCTCTACCAGAGGCCTGGGAGCTTGAGGGTTCTGCACAGTATCTTTGCTGCTCCTAGCACTGCACATTTCTGGAACGAGATTTCCGAGGTTGTTCCAGGGATCCGCTGTAACCACTCCTCCAGATTCAGGGTCACTGCCCCGAGTGCACCGTTCACCATGGGCACCATGTCACCTTTACCCTCCAGGTCCTCTCCAGCTCCTCTCTTAGCCCTTGGTATTTCTCAAGCTTTTAGTGTTGTTTTTTCCTGATGTTACCATCGCTTATCTACAGCAAACCTCACACTTACAGCTACCCAGCTTTGGACTTTGGAGGAGTTTCCCACTTAGACCTTGGAGTTTCCAGCCCATACTCTGCACAGATGTTTCTGTACACTATGCCAGCCACTTGGTTATGGCGTTCCATGTAGGCCTTCCCTGCCAGCATCTTGCACCCTGCAGTTATGTGTTGGATCGTCTCAGGTGCCTCTTTGCACAACCGACACCTTGGGTCTTGTCTGGTGTGGTATATCTGGGCCTCTATCGCTCTGGTGCTCAGGGCCTGCTCCTGTGCAGCCATGATGAGTGCCTCTGTGCTGTCCTGTAGGCCAGCCCTTTCTAGCCATTGGTAGGACTTCTTGAGATCAGCCACTTCTGCTGTGCTCCGGTGGTACATGCCGTGTAGGGGCTCTCCTCCAGCACCTCCTCATGTCACCATTATCTGAGACATTCACTGAGTTCGTCATCCGTTTTGGCCTTCTCCATGATGTAGTTATGAAGTTTGGATGTTTTGTCCTGGACACTGGCTCTCACACTCACTAGTCCTCGGCCTCCTTCTTTACGGCTTACGTACAGTCTCAGGGTGCTGGATTTGGGATGGAACCCGCCATGCATGGTGAGGAGCTTTCAAGTTTTAACATCCGTGGTCTGAATCTCTCCCTTTGGCCACCTGATTATATACATATATATATATATTAGGGCCGCCAAGCGATTAAAATGTTTAATCGAGTTAATTACAGCTTAAAAATCCATCCATTTTCTTCCGCTTCATCCGTCTCCTCCTGGTGGGACGTGCCTGAACACCTCCCCAATGAGGCGTCCAGGAGGCATCCTGAACAGATGCCCGAGCCACCTCAACCGGTTCTTCTCGACGTGGAGAAGCAGCGGCTCTACTCCGAGCTCCTCCCGTGTGACTGAGCTCCTCACCCTATCTCTAAGGGAGCGCCCAGCCACTCTCCGGAGGAAGCTCATTTCAACCGTTTGTATCCGTGATCTTGTTCTTTCGGTCATTACCCAAAGCTCATGACCATAGGTGAGGGAGGGAACGAAGATAGACCGGTAAATCAAGAGCTTTGTCTTTCGGCTCAGCTCCCTCTTCACCACAACGGTCCGATACAGCGACCGCATCACTGCGCACGCTGCACCGATCCGCCTGTCAATCTCACGCTCCATCCTTCCCTCACTCGTGAACGAGACCCCGAGATACTTGAACTCCTCCACCCACTTGGAGAGGGCAAGGCACATTTTTCCGGTTGAGCACCATGGCCTTGGATTTAGAGGTGCTGATTCTCCTCCCAGCTGCTTCACACTCCACTAAAAACCGTCCCAGTGCATGCTGCAGGTCCTGGTTCGTTGGAGCCGGCAGGACAACATCGTCCGCAAACAGCAGAGATGGAATCCTGTGGTCTCCGAACCGGACCCCCTCCGGCCACTGGAAATTCTGTCCATAAAGACAGTGAACAGAACCGGTGACAAAGGGCAGCCCTGGCGGAGGCCAACATGCACCGGGAACAGGTCTGCCGACAATGCGAACGCAGCTCTGGCTCTGGTCATACAGGGACCGGACGGCTGGCAGCAGAGGACCCCGTACCCCCGTACCCTCGATATACACATATACAGTATATATATTGAGCTTATAAAGTTGGGATGGATCAAATTGGGTTCTGAGTCGATATTTCAATCATATCTGCCCCGAACCACATGCTGAGGCTCCGATCCAACGATCTACACGATCAGTGTAGATTGTTGGGCTTTCTATCATCCTCCTGAGGATCACATTTCAGTGAAGACAAGGATCTGCGTGATACTCACGGCTCTGATAACCCGCACGGACCTCAGCTCGGCGTCACAGCCGCCCCACACCCTCCAGTCCTGGTAGTCCCCCTCCTCAAGCAGGTACTGGTGCCCCTTGAAGCCTTCCTTCTCAAAGCCCACCCAGCTGAGGAGAGAGAGGGGCGTTAGAGAACCTGAGACCTGGATCTACAGCCTAAGTCCTGCATCTACAGAGAGGAGAGAGCAATTGGCGAGAGAGGAGAGAAAGAGAGGAGAGAGAGGAGGGAAAGAGAGGAGAGTGAGAGGAGAGAGAGCCAGGAGCCTCAGTCCTGGATCTAAAGCCTCAGTCCTGACCCCTGACCCTTAACCCCAGACTCACATCCCTCCTGTGACCTTCAGTGAGCCCACGTTGTGCATGAAGGCCTGCTGCCCTCGGTCGCTCCTCGTCATGAAGTCTCGAGCGTTTGTGGAGATCGTCCTGGATTTACCACAATAATATGGCTTCTCATACACCACCATCTGCACAGAGACCAGCAAGAGTTAGAGACCAGAGAGAGACCAGACAGACCCCACAGAGCCCAGAGAGCAACCAGAGAGACGGACCAGCGAGACGGACCAGCGAGACGGACCAGAGAGACGGACCAGAGAGACGGACCAGAGAGACGGACCAGAGAGACGGACCAGAGAGACGGACCAGAGAGACGGACCAGAGAGACGGACCAGAGAGACGGACCAGAGAGAGAGACCAGAGAGAGACCAGAGAGACAGAGAGAGAGACAGAGAGAGAGACGGAGAGAGAGACCAGAGAGAAATTGGAGAGAAAGAAATCAGAGTGAGAGTTCAGAGAGGGACACTACAAAAAAACCAGCAGGGGGCACTGTTATACAGCTCTGTTTAGTTCTGAGAACTCCATGTTTGTGACAGATGGTTCCTGTACCTTTGCTTCTCCCATGTTCTCCACTCGAGGTTCTCCCTGTGAACCACAACCACAATCAATGCCACAGCATTCCAGGACATTTCTGAGCAGTGGAAACATAGGAGTCATTGGTCACATATGGACTCCCTATGGACAAAGAGCTGAGGATAGGGCTGATAATTTGTAAATATAGATATCGCCCAGCCCTACTCAAGGATCTGTCCAAGTCTACACTGTGTCTTCATCAGTGTGAGGAGGAGAGGTCTCTTACTATTTTCAGAGGATGAAGAGACGCGACATAAGGCTGTTCCACGCCCCATGCCGCAGGGTTCGAGTATCCACCGACCTCTAAGACCCTGGGGACGCCCTGGAAGAACGGCTGGGCATAGACCAACCACCTGCAGAGAGAGAAAGCTGTGAGGCAGGTGATGTGTACAAACATGCTAGCTCAGTGAAGCCAATAGGAAAGTGCTCATAAGATAAGATGTACATTATTAATCTCATACAGGAGAAATTTACATGTCACGTTTGGCATGGATAGAAACACTAAAGATTGTGCAAAAAGTAAGAAATGTGCAAACAGGACAGGACATATGTACAAAAGTGGCAATTAGAAAGTGGCAATGAGAAGTGTCAATTTTTATCAGTCTTAGTGCAGTGACATAAAGTGACTTATTGTACAGTCTGACAGTGGTGGGGATAAAGGCCCTGTGGTAGCGCTCCTTCTTACACTGAGGGTGCCTCAGTCTTCCACTGAAGGAGCTCCTCAGCTCCTCTACAGTCCTGTGCAGTGGGTGGTGTTGTCCATAATGGAGGTGACTTTGGTTAGCACCCTCCTGTCCCTCACCTCCTCCAGAGAGTCCAGGGAGCAGCCCAGAGTGGAGCTGGCCCTCCTGACCAGCTTGTTCAGTCTGTTTCTGTCCCGCTCTGTGCTGCCCGGGGCCCAGCACACGGGACCACAGAGTCATAAAAAGTCCTGAGCAGAGACCTGCTCACTCCGAAGGACCTCAGCCTCCTCAGAAGGAAGAGGCGACTTTGGCCCTTCTTGTACAGGGCGTTGGTGTTAGGGGACCAGTCCAGTTTATTATTAATGTGAACACCCAGGTACTTGAAGCTGTCCACCAGCACAATGTCCTCCCCCTGGATGTTCAGCAGCGTGCGGGAAAGTGGTTTTCTCCTGAAGTCGATTACCAAGGATCTCCTTGGTCTTACTGGTGTTCAAGCACAAGTGGTTGCGCTCACACCAGTCGACAAAGTCTGTGATAACCGACCGATATTCCAGATCGTTCCCCTCAGACACACAGCCCACAATGGCGGAGTCGTCGGAGAACTTCTGCAGGTGACAGCTGTGTGTGTTGCATGTGAAGTCTGAAGTGTAGATGGTGAAGAGAGTACTACAGACTACCACCTCAGACTCACAGCTGCGCAGCCGCACCTACTGTGGTCGGTCTGAGAGGTAGTTGATCAGGTGGGAGGTCAGTGAGACTAGTCTGTAGTGAGCCGGTTCCTTGGCGTGCGCTATTTTAGGAACCGGGATCACACAGGAGGTCTTCCACAGGACAGGGACCTTTTCCAGGCTGAGGCTCAGGTTGTACATGTAGCTGTAGCTCATGGTGAAGTTTGGCTCCTCTCTCTGGCTCCTATTGGGGCGGCACGGTGGCTGAGTGGATAGCACTCTTGCTTCTCAGCAAGAACGTCCTGGGTTTGAATCCCGGTTGGAACAGGGCCTTTCTGAGTGGAGTTCACTGGGTGCTCCGGTTTCCCCTACCACTAAAAACATGTACAATAGGTCTGGCATGCGCCTCCTGTACTGGCGACCCCGCTCCCATCTCTGTGTGTAGTGAGAGACAAATGCCCACAATTGTAAACTGCTTTGTGACTCTGGTCTGTGAAGGGCGGTACATACTGTAAATAAAGATTACTTACTTACTTACTATTGACTTCCATGTAAAAGTAAACTCCTCTGGCTCAGTAACAGTCACACTCACCATTTTGGCCTCTCACTCTGCTCTCTCACTCTGCTCTCTCACTCTGCTCTCTCACTCTGCTCTCTCACTCTGCTCTCTCACTCTGCTCTCTCACTCTGCTCTCTCACTCTGCTCTCTCACTCTGCTCTCTCACTCTGCTCTCTCACTCTGCTCTCTCACTCTGCTCTCTCACTCTGTCCATCTGTGTACAGTCAGTGTTAGCATTATACTATGGTTTCTTACATACTGAATACCCTGTAAGAGTTCCAGTGTCTCTCAGAGTGCCTTACTCACAGTCCTGCGTTGATGATGATGGAGTTCGCTTTGATAGGGAACCCAAAGATCCGAGCGTCTTCTGAGGAGTCTCTGAAGACCACCTTTTTCCCCTCTGCGTTCTCCTCCGGAAACAGGCTGATGTCCGGGACGCTGTAGTCCTGGAAACAACAACACTATCTATATTTAACATTTTATCACTGAAACACTGAAAACAGGAGTTGACCTCAGAACCAGGACCTGGTACTGGTTACACAGGGAACTACTCCCTATCAGGAGAGAGGATAGTAGAGTTCTCCCTCTGCTCTCTCTTTCTCCCTCTGGTCTCTCTCTCTCCCTCCCTCTGGTCTCTCTCCCTCCCTCCCTCTGGTCTCTCTCCCTCCCTCCCACTGGTCTCTCTCTCTCCCTCCCTCCCTCTGGTCTCTCTCTCCTTCCTCCCTCTGGTCTCTCTCTCTCCCTCCCTCCCTCCCTCTGGTCTCTCTCTCTCACTCACCCTCACAGCTCGCCGGATGGAGCCGATCACACACTTCCTCGCAGGTTTCTCCTCAGATGAGTCACTCTGCTCCTTCTCTCCGTTGGTGAGCTCCTCTCCATTTATCTGTCCATTCACCACCTGGTCCTCCTCCTGGTCCTCCACCCAGCCGAAGGGGTTGGTCAGCTCAATCTCCCCTTCATCCAGGGCAATCTTCTCCCCTTTGTACTCAGGCTTTTCATACAGGACCCACCTAAGCAGACAAGAGAGAGAAATAGGCCCTGGGTCTACAACCTCAGTCCTGGATCTGCAGCCTCAGTCCTGGATCTGCGGCCTCAGTCCTGGATCTGCAGCCTCAGTCCTGGATCTGCGGCCTCAGTCCTGGATCTGCGGCCTCAGTCCTGGATCTGCGGCCTCAGTCCTGGATCTGCAGCCTCAGTCCTGGATCTGCAGCCTCAGTCCTGGATCTGCAGCCTCAGTCCTGGATCTGCAGCCTCAGTCCTGGATCTGCAGCCTCAGTCCTGGATCTGCAGCCTCAGCCTACAGTTTTGGGGTTACGGCAGTTGGCAGCCAACTAGTGGAGCATTACCGCCACCTTCTGTTACTGAGTGGGTCAGACAATAAGCTCACAATCTAACACCAAAACCACAGACTGTAAGTCTATGGTCCCAACAAGGGAAGGTGAATACTAAAAATAAAAATAAACCCTTCTATGCTACTAACATAACATATATACTCTCATACACTCATACACTGTAACCTATCCTTCAGGACTTCCTTACATACACTGTAACCCTGACACCTCATAACCAAATGCTCCACAGATTCTTCTTCCTCCTGACACACCTCACACATCCCCGTCCTATGTTTCCCTATACAACACAAATTCTTATTAAGTGCACTGTGACCAATTCTTAACCTTGTGACCACAACTTCATCCCTTCTATGACCCCCATGAAACCTGCCACCTCTCTCTTTATCTGGTACAAATGTCTCCCAGTGACCCCTGTATCCCAGCGTTTCTGCAACTCCAGAGCCACCTGCCTCCACACCACACTCTTTGCTTCAGATTTGCCGCTTTTCACTGTCAGCTCAACACTGTTCTTTCTCAACGCTTCCTTGGCCATTCTATCTGCCTGCTCATTTCCAGGGATCCCACAGTGCGCAGGCACCCATAGCAACTGCACACTACTCCCTTGCTGTTGAATTCTGGTAACTGTCGTTAATATATTACACAAAATGTCCTGACGAGTGCTAGAGTTAATCGACTGGATACTGGAGAGGACTGAGGCTGAATCTGAACAGATCAAGACCCTGTTCTGCTTGGTTAGCTCTACCCATCGTAATGCCACCAATACTGCCACCATCTCCACCGTGTAAACGCTCAAACCATCAGATGTTCGTCTGTTAATATTAATGTTCTTGTCTGGGACTGATACACCAAGACCTGTCACTCCTGTTTCTGGGTCTTTAGCACCATCTGTAAATACATGAACATATTCTGAATACAATTCCTCAATACGATGAAAAAAGGCTTCGACAAGATCAACTTTTCTTTTTTCCTTTTTTCTTCACTTTTAGTAAAAACCAGTGAACACCAGGACAAACTAACTGCCATGGTGGCAGCTACGGGAACACTAAGGCTGCGCTAATCCGCAGGTTGAAGACACTGCACTCTTTAGCCAACTGGTTCCCTATTTTACCAAAATGATTTTTCTGGACTTTCCCATACTCCCAGCATTACCTGAGCACCTGTTTGGTGGGATGGGACCCGCCATGGCTGTCCAGATGCAGCCAGTAATTTACCATGATCTGTTTTCTTCTCAGATCCAGCGGCATTTCTCCCATTTCCACTTGCAAGGCATTTATAGGAGAGGTATTAAATGCACCACAGCACACTCTCAAGGCTTGGGCCTGTATTACGTCCAGCCTCTTTAACACAGATGGAGCTGCTGATCCATAAGCCACACATCCATAGTCCATTATTGACTTTATTAATGCTTGGTAAAGCCTCACATGTGCAGAGCAGCTCGCTCCCCGCCACACATCTCATTACATTTATAACTTTTTTACATTTTTCTTCAACTCTATCAACATGATCTTTCCAAGTCAAATGAGAGTCAAAAATAACTCAAAAACTTAAATGAGCGTACTCTCTCAATTTCCTCTACATGGAAAACATCTTAAAATACGGCTCTAACTCTTTTCCTGTTAAAAAAATACTTTTAGTTTTTTCCACTGAGAATCTAAACCCCCAGTCAAATCCCCACTCCATCACACAATTTACAGCATCTTGTATCTTGCCGACAAGATATTCAATGTTTCGACCTCTGCACCATAACGCCCCATCATCTGCAAACAAAGATCTGCCCACACTGCCGGGCACTGCAGAGAACACATCATTGAACATTATGATTAAAAGCAAAGGACTTCCATTGTCCACTGTATACTGGTTAGAATACGTCGATCCAATTCGCACCTGGATCTCCCGTCCAAAAAGGAAATCTCTGACCCAATTAAAGACCCTGCCACCAATCTTAAGCCCATGCAATTTGATCAATAGCCCGTCTGTCCACATCACGTCATACGCTTTCTCTATATCAAAAGACACAGCTACAACAGACTCTTTATTAACCTGGGCCTTCTAGACCTCATTCTCAAGTCTGACAATCGCATCATTGGTATTCCTTGCCCTTCGAAAACCACTCTGAAAACTAGCCAATGCTCCTCTTTTTTCCAGCTCATAGGATAACCTCTCTACAATCACACGTTCCATACTTTTACATATGTTCGACGTAAGGACAATTGGCCGATAGCTGCTCGGCTTCGATGGGTCCTTCCCAGGCTTTTTTATAGGCACAATGACAGCCTCATTCCAGGAGCTGGGGAGCTTCCCCTCGATCCAAACTTTATTGTACAGGAGTAATAACTTCAGCATCAGTCCTGGATCTGCAGCCTCAGTCCTGGGTCTACAGCCTCAGTCCTGGATCTGCAGCCTCAGTCCTGGGTCTACAGCCTCAGTCCTGGGTCTACAGCCTCAGTCCTGGGTCTACAGCCTCAGTCCTGGGTCTACAGCCTCAGTCCTGGGTCTACAGCCTCAGTCCTGGGTCTACAGCCTCAGTCCTAGGTCTACAGCCTCAGTCCTGGCTCTACAGCCTCAGTCCTGGCTCTACAGCCTCAGTCCTGGCTCTACAGCCTCAGTCCTGGCTCTACAGCCTCAGTCCTGGCTCTACAGCCTCAGTCCTGGCTCTACAGCCTCAGTCCTGGGTCTACAGCCTCAGTCCTGGATCTACAGCCTCAGTCCTGGATCTACAGCCTCAGTCCTAGGTCTACAGCCTCAAGGGTCTACAGCCTCAGTCCTGGGTCTACAGCCTCAGTCCTGGGTCTACAGCCTCAGTCCTGGGTCTACAGCCTCAGTCCTGGGTCTACAGCCTCAGTCCTGGGTCTACAGCCTCAGTCCTGGGTCTACATCCTCAGTCCTGGGTCTGCAGCCTCAGTCCTGGGTCTGCAGCCTCAGTCCTGGGTCTACAACCTCTACTCCTACTCTACCTGGTTGCATCATAAATACTTGAGAAACCAAACAGGAGTTGCTTGGAAGCATTGTGGGTGTGTAGAGTATTCCAAACATGCAACATCAATGGTTTGTTTTCAGAGACGGAAACAAACAGGCCTAATTATGAAAGGACTCAGATTTCGGAAGAAACCAGGTGAGAGCGGAGAAACCAGAACTGCAGCGTCTGATTGACAGGTGAAGTGTGAACAGAAGCAAGGACATTACTGAAGACAGCAAGCCATAACCCCCTCTGGTGTCGCTCTCCCCCTTGCTCTCCCCCTCTGGTCTCGCTCTCCCCCCCTCTGGTCTCGCTCTCCCCCCCTCTGGTCTCGCTCTCCCCCCCTCTGGTCTCTCTCTCTCCCCCTCTGGTCTCTCTCTCTCCCCCTCTGGTCTCTCTCTCTCCCCCTCTGGTCTCTCTCTCTCCCCCTCTGGTCTCTCTCTCTCCCCCTCTGGTCTCTCTCTCTCCCCCTCTGGTCTCTCACCCTCCTCTCAGGACTCTGATAGAGATAGTTTCTCCCAGTTCCCATGACGTTGCGTCTGTCACGTCGCTCCGGATCTCGATCCTCTGTCCGCACATTCCTGGTCTGTCGAATATGTACATCTGCAGAAAAACACATCAGGAAAAACAGCAAAACCATTAACAACAGATCAGACCATGAAGCACAGAGGGAGGGTTGGATCCCAGTTACTGACAGATGAATGTGTCTCAAAGGTAATACCACATCTGTTAAACTACATTTCAACATCATTATCATTCAGAGAGACTTGTAATTGTGCGATGTCAATGTGACAATTACCAAGGTTAGAGAGGCCAGAGAGAGAGATCAGAGAGAGACCAGAGAGACCAAAGAGAGAGACAAAAGAGAGCGGGACCAGAGAGAGACCAGAGAAAGAGTGACTAGAGAGAGACCAGAGAGAGGCTAAAGACCAGAGGGGAGGCTAGAGACCAGAGAGAGACCAGAAAGAGAGACCAGAGAGATAGAGCATAGAGAGGCTAGGGAGAGACTAGCGAGAGACCCCAGAAAGAGAGACCAGAGAGATAGCGCATAGAGAGGCTAGGGAGAGACTGGAGAGAGAGACTAGAGAGACCGACCAGAGAGATAGACCAGAGAGAGACCAGAGAGAGAAACCAAAGAGAGAGAGACAAAAGAGAGAGACCAAAGAGAGACCAAAGAGAGAGAGACTAAAGAGACCATGGAGAGACCAGACAAAAACCAAAGAGAGACCAGAGAGAGGCTAGAGAGAGACTAGAGAGAAACCAGAAAGATTTGATGGAGAAAGACCAGAAAGAGAGACCAGAAAGAGAGACCAGAGAGGGATTAGAAACCAGAGAGAAACCAGAGAGAGACCAGAGAGAGACTGTGCCCCGAGCAAATACTTTTAAAAGTCAGACAAGCTCCCAAACATCCCCTGACAGAGTTCTCGTAATCGCAGAACTTTGAGGAGGATTATAAACGTGAACAAGGTCTGGATAAAGCAACGCAGAGACATGTCTGAGAGGAAAGAGGAGAGAGGAGTGAAAGAGGAGAGAGAAAGAGGAGAGTGAAGAGAAGAAAGAAGAGAGGAGAGGACAGAGGGGAGGAGTAATGAGTGAGAGAGGAATAATTTTTAACAAAAACAAAAATGTAAACAAAATTCTCCAAAAAACCAGGATAATCATTTAACTTTATATCTTGTAATAGAAACAGTTTAACATTTTTGACGGTTTAAAAACAGAACATCAACTTCAGACCACAAACTGATGTGCATTAACATTTATTGTGTATTAAACACTGCCCCCAGTGAACTGAAGAGGCTCCAAAGAGAGAGGGGAGAGAGGAGAGAGAGAGGAGAGAGAGAGAGGAGAAAGAGAGGAGAAAGGGGAGAGAGACCAGAGCCAGAGGTAAATGTCAGCTACTCCTCTGAGCAGGAACAGGCTGCAGCAGGTTTGACATTAACAGAATGAAAGGATCCGACAGTTATTACAGGACCAGGTACAGACAGGACTGAGACCTGAAGTTAGTCCAAGAGAGAGAGACCAGAGAGAGAGACCTTAGAGAGTGTGTGGAGAACACATGGACTATCCGACTGCACTTGACTCCCACCTTGACTCCCACCTTGACTCCCACCTTGACTCCCACCTTGACTCCCACCTTGACTCCCACCTTGACTCCCACCTTGACTCCCACCTTGACTCCCACCTTGACTCCCACCTTGACTCCCACCTTGACTCCCACCTTGACTGCACTGCTAACGTCTATGTGCCACTTGTATGTAGTATTTTTGATGAAGACCTTTGTCCACAGTCCGTTTACGCTAATCACTTGTTTGCACCATGAGCCAAAGCAGATTCCAAGTTACTGACTTCCTGTTACTTACACTGGTAATGAAAACAATTCTGGTTCCATGTAGTTCTTCATTAAGAAATCATTCTGAACCATGAGGACTAGAACAGTCTTAGGACCATGAGGACTAGAACAGTCTCAGGACCATGAGGACAACTAAAGTCTTAGCTCACACCATGAGGACCAGAATGGACACAGTCACTGATGGTAGAGGTCTCTCCCTCTGAGGTTTCTCTGCTTTTACAGCAGTAGAACAATGTGACGCCTCTAAACAAACAAATTCTGCTTCTTTCACTTGTTAGTTTTTCTTGTCTTTTGTCTCAGACTTAAGTTACTCAACAAGTCTGCGTCTGACTCAGGGTTTGGGTTCTGTTTGTTTTGTGATGTTTCAGCTGAATTCCAGAGTTTGGAGAGAGAGACCAGAGACAAGAGGGGACCAAAGAGTGAGAGAGCGAGAGAGGGAGAGAGGGAGAGAGCAAAAGAGGAGAGAGAGAGAGCACTCATGGCACCTCATGTTTATGGTTTGACTTTATATTGATAAAGTATTTTTATATTTCCTCTGAATTCAAGAGAGGTCTTAAGGAAGAACTGGACTGACCACATGTCTGCAAGCTTCACTCACACTGGATCCAAATACACAAGAATCAGAGAGAGAGAGAGACCTGGAAGAAGCAGGCACAGTTTTTGGGTCAGGGGAAAATATATTTGTGTTCACCTTTCCGGGTCGAGGGTTGAGTTTTCCGTGTTCCTTCTCCTTCGTGAGCTGTAGAACAAACACATACACAAACACAATGTGAGGATGGAAACAATACTTTTATCTACATATTATGAACATAACAAGTAAAACTGGACCGAGAACCAGACCTGGTCCTTGACCAAGGTCTGGTCTCCACAGAAGACCACTGTAGTCCTCTGAAGTAATCACTGCGGTGCAGAGGACAGAAAGAGACCAAAGAGAGCCCCGACAGAGACACCAGAGAGAGAGACCAGAGAGACTGGAGACTAGAGCGACACAAGAAAGAGAAAAGAGAGAGAACAGAGACCTGAGAGGGACCTTTGAAAGAGAGGCTATAGAGACCTGAGAGAGACCAGAAAGAGTGACAAGAGAGAGTGACAAGAGGAAAAACAGAGAACAGAGAGAACAGAAGGAGAGTTGTGACAGCTACATCTCAGATTCTCAAACTGTGGCCCCTCTTCCCCACAGACCAAAGTCAACGGGGAAAAAAATTTATATAAAATTCCTCGGCCTAGTTTTACAGCCATGATATTTATAGTCTACATCTGGTCACTAGAACCAGATTTGATGTGTTTTTATGCAAACGTGTGAACGCTGGAACTTGAATACTACTTATTATTTCAGACTTTACTCTCTCTGTATTCTGACAGTGGCTTCAGCATCACCTCACCAGTCAGACTCTCTCTCTGGCCTCCCCCTCTCTCTCTGTCTCTGGCCTCCCTCTCTCTCTCTGTCTCTGGCCTCCCTCTCTCTCTCTGTCTCTGGCCTCCCTATCTCTCTCTCTCTCTCTCTGGCCTCCCTCTCTCTCTCTCTCTGGCCTCCCTCTCTCTCTCTCTCTCTCTCTCTCTCTCTGGCCTCCCTCTCTCTCTCTCTCTGGCCTCCCTCTCTGAAGTCTGGATCACGTGTCTGAAACATGCCTGACATATGTGAGTGACTCAGAGACAGAGGAACAAAGGACAGAGACCTGAACCAGCAGACTGATAGCTCCTGTCAGCATCAGAGGAAACAGTTCAGTTCTACATTTTTCCAAAGAGAACAATGTGTCCTCTGCCTTTAACCCATTCTACACCAGGGACTCTGTCAGGGAGAAGGGGAGGGGGGAGAGGGAGAGAGTTCATTCAGAGAAATCCATTCTTCCATGCAGATCTCATCTAGAGCGATGTTTTGGGGTTGTCGCTGGGAAACACAGACTTTCAACTCCCTCCAAAGATTTTCTATGGGGTTGAGATCTGGACACTGGCTTGGCCACTCCAGGACCTTGAAATGATTCCAACAAAGCCACGCCTTCAATACCTGTTGTTTCATCTACCATCAGCAAGGGCTTTGAAGATGAAACGTGGCTGGAAAGGAAGCTTTCATTCAAAATCTCACAATAAATGGTCCCATTCCTTTTTTTGTTTACATGGCTCAGTCATCCTGGTCTCTTTGCAGAAAAACCCCAAAGCCTGATGTTTCCATCCCCATGCTTCACAGTATGTATGTGTTCTTGGATGCATCTAAGCTTTCTGTCTACTCAAAACACGAGGAGTTGAGTTTAGGTTTCATCTGACCAATCCTCTTCTGCAACATTCAAATGCTCTCGAGCAAAACTCCAGACTTAATGTGTTACTGATGGTAACTTTTGTTACTCTGGCCCCAGCTCTCTGCAACTCATTCACTAAGTCCACGTGTGGTTCTGGGATTTTTGATCAGCGTTTAACTATTGCAGATTCAGTCCTCCCAGCCTGGTGCAGGTTTACAATTTTGTTTCTGGTGTAGTTAGGGTTAGAGTCTCTTTGGTCTTGGCCATAGAGGAGTTTTTGAGTGTGACTGAGGCTGTGGACAGGTGTCTTTCATACTGATGAAGAGTTCAAACAGGTGCCATTAATACAGGTAACAAGAGGAGGATAGAGGAGCTTCTAAATGAAGGAGTTACAGTCTGAGAGAACCAGAAATCTTTGTTTGTAGGTGACCAAATACTTATTTGCCACCCTCATTTACAAATACATTTCTTAAAAATCAAACAATGTGATTTTCTGCATTTTTCTCATTCTGTCTCTCAGAAATGTACAAGCCTCCCTCATCTTTTTAAGTGGGAAAACATGCACAATTGATGGCTGACTAAATACTTTTTTGCCCCACTGTATGTTAGCTTTGTCCATCTGTATACAGTCTGTGGTTTCCATGTTCCCACAGCTCAGGTTTATGGTCAGTTGTGTCGTGTTACAGTCAGAACAAGCGACTACTGTTACACACACAGGGACTACACGCACACAAGACTGAAGACACTCATGGACCAAAAGGAGCCATTTCAGCGGGATGACCTTTGTTCAGAAATATCCGGAAATGTCCCTGATCATCAGCGTTCTCTGCATCAGAGAGAAGCCGCTCATCAGGGCGGAGCTGCAGTCAGAGAGGATTTTGCATATTATGCAGTGACATTCTGATCACGGACAGCAGCCAAAGGAACCACAGGCTCCGACCACAACATCTGATTAAACTGTGGTTCATTGTGCAGCCCTTCTGTACATAAACACTCTATCAATTATCTACAATAACGTCAATCCGCTCAGTAGCAGCTGTACGTTACAGGCTGTAAAACCATCAGAGAGACCAGACACCAGAGAGACCAAAAGGTTTTCTTCTGACTTTAAATAAAGATAACTTCTGTTTTACAAACGGTTAGAGGAGAAGCACCCTTTAAAAAAAAGTACAGCCTCAGTTCTGCGTCTACAGCCTCAGTCCTGGGTCTACAGCCTCAGTCCTGGGTCTACAACCTCAATCCTGAGGGTGAACAGACGCATTAGCTGTAAATGAGTGAATGTGAAGGCTGTAATTATTGGTGTGGTTCCAGGTCTCTGGGATGTCAGAGTGAGGTGTGTCTGAGGAGGATAGCTGCGCAGGGCGTGGAGCAGAGACAGGACTGAGGCTTCGAGCTCAGAGAAGAAACGTGACAAGTTCTAACACAGTGGTCTCTGCAGATTGTGAAATAGAACAAATAAGTGTGAGCAGCTCATGTAGCAGGAGGCCAGTCCCTGTGCTCCTCAAGAGTTGGTTCATATGACACTAACATGTCACAGATGTGCTTTGGTGCAAGGCCATGGAGAGACTTGTAACAAGCAGAGACCTGAGTCCAGGACTTAAGTGAGAGGACTTCAGGACAGAGACCTGGGACCAGGACAAATGTGGGAGGACTTCAGAACAGAGACCTGGACAAGTCTCCTCAAACTAGTGACCAGTCCTCTAGTCTCTGTAAGAGGACGTCATGGTCAACAGTGTTGACAACAGCAGTCTCAGTCTGTGGTGGGGTCTAAAGCCAGACTGGAACATATCAAATGAGTTGAAGATTTGAGATGGACTATAGTTGTTGAGTATCGAGGCATCCAGACTGCATGTGGAGGAGCAAATGTGCAAAGTAAGTTTCTACAGGTGCAAAGTAAGTTTCTACAGGTGCAAAGTTAGTTTTATCATCTAGAGGTGCAAAGTTAGTTTTATCATCTACAGGTGCAAAGTGAGTGTGCTCAAACAGCCTTACAGCTGTTGGATTGTTATGTATGGATTAGAGCCAATTATGTTTTTGGTCCTAGAACCTTGTCATTGAAAAACTGGGCAAACCCGTTACATTTAGATTTGGAAGATGGCTCAAATGGAAGTTATCCATAATGGAGCTGAACATGTTACTGCTGCCTTCAGGCTCTTCTCTCCTCAGGACTGTGTTTATCTGTAAATGTATACCGCTATATTCTTCTTGTCTTTCCTATTTGGAAGATCTGAACTCCAAGGGAACAGAGGGAGCAGATACCAGGACCAGGACAGAAACCAGGACGAACCCCGCGACCAAGGACCAGGACCGAGACCAGGACTTGACAGAAAATACATGTGAAAACTAATGGACCCAAACTGGACCCAATGGACTCAGTAGTTACTGCAGAGTTCTGATGTTTGAGGCTTGAAATCCTCAGCTTTAAACGATCTGCGGCGTGTGGCGTTTGTAATGATCATGTTAACAGTGAAAGTGTCAGACACGAGTCTGCACCCGTCTGATCACAGAGGATCAGAACGAGTCTCAAACTGCAGATCACACCCCTATGCAAAACCATTACACTGAGAGAGACCAGAGAAAGACACCAGAGAAAGACCAGAAAGAGGTCAAAAAGAGGCAGAGAGAGACCATAGAGGGACAGAGAGAGACCACAGAGAGACAACAGAGAGACCAGAGGGACCAGAGAGACCAGGGAGAGAGGAGAGAGAGAGCAGAGAGACACAACAGAGACACACCAGAGAGAGACAAAATCATTTCCTATTCCCGGAGTCATTAGCGGTATGTGATCTGTGTTTGTTAGAATCTGCAATTTCGTGCCCACACTCCGGAGTCTGTCTGAACTTGTCCTGATCACACCTCATTAACATCTGAAGGTGAAGAGCCCTGAGCCATGATGGCACCAGGACAAGACAGCTGCAGAGACCACGGAGAGACCAGGGAGAGAACAGAGAGAGACCAGAGAGAGACCAGAGAGAGACCAGAGAGAGACCAGAGAGAGACACCAAACCCATAAGAAGCATATCTCTCTCTCTCTCTCTCTCTCTCTTCCCCTCCAGGCGCTTGTATGCATGTGTCGAGCTGAAACCTGATCCAAAAACATACGTTCCCACATTATAGAAACAGTGGTGTTGTTGCAGAGAAGCACGTGTGGTCACACCCTCAGCTTCAGTTTGTACAGAAAGTCACGCTCCAAAGCTTTAGCATTATAAACACAACATCATCTAACTAAAACATGACAGTTATAAGTCAGAAATAAACTTTTACGGCTTGTGTTCAGAGGACTCTGCCTCTGGCCTGCCTCTGGCCTGCCTCTGGCCTGCCTCTGGCCTGCCTCTGGCCTGCCTCTGGCCTGCCTCTGGCCTGCCTCTGGCCTGCCTCTGGCCTGCCTCTGGCCTGCCTCTCTCTCTCTGGCCTGCCTCTCTCTCTCTGGCCTGCCTCTCTCTCTCTGGCCTGCCTCTCTCTCTCTCTGGCCTGCCTCTCTCTCTCTGGCCTGCCTCTCTCTCTGGCCTGCCTCTCTCTCTCTGGCCTGCCTCTCTCTCTCTGGCCTGCCTCTCTCTCTCTGGCCTGCCTCTCTCTCTCCTGGCCTGCCTCTCTCTCTCTGGCCTGCCTCTCTCTCTCTGGCCTGCCTCTCTCTCTCTCTGGCCTGCCTCTCTCTCTCTGGCCTGCCTCTCTCTCTCTGGCCTGCCTCTCTCTCTCTGGCCTGCCTCTCTCTCTCTGGCCTGCCTCTCTCTCTCTGGCCTGCCTCTCTCTCTCTGGCCTGCCTCTCTCTCTCTGGCCTGCCTCTCTCTCTCTGGCCTGCCTCTCTCTCTCTGGCCTGCCTCTCTCTCTCTGGCCTGCCTCTCTCTCTCTGGCCTGCCTCTCTCTCTCTGGCCTGCCTCTCTCTCTCTGGCCTGCCTCTCTCTCTCTGGCCTGCCTCTCTCTCTCTGGCCTGCCTCTCTCTCTCTGGCCTGCCTCTCTCTCTCTGGCCTGCCTCTCTCTCTCTGGCCTGCCTCTCTCTCTCTGGCCTGCCTCTCTCTCTCTCTGGCCTGCCTCTCTCTCTTTGGCCTGCCTCTCTCTCTCTGGCCTTCCTCTCTCTCTCTGGCCTGCCTCTCTCTCTCTGGCCTGCCTCTCTCTATCTGGCCTGCCTCTCTCTATCTGGCCTGCCTCTCTCTCTCTGGCCTGCCTCTCTCTCTCTGGCCTGCCTCTCTCTCTCTGGCCTGCCTCTCTCTCTCTCTGGCCTGCCTCTCTCTCTCTCTCTGGCCTGCCTCTTTCTTTGCCCTCGCTCTTTCTCTGGCCTCGCTCCTTCTCCCCTCTTTTTTTCTCTCTTCTCTTTCCTTCCCCCCCTCTCTCTCACACACAAAGATAGTACTCACATAAGCGTCTGGGAAGGCCCTGTACTTGTTGAGCAGGTTGCGGTCCGGCTCGGGCTCTGTGTTCTGGAAGCTGGTGTGGTTGTTGAAGAGGGAGACGCCGCCGTCGCTGCTGTAACTCCTCTGCAGTCTGAGGGGTGGCTCTAAGGGGGGCCTCATCTCCACAGACCCTGTCGGGCTCAGCATCAGTGTGGGACTGTTCCCAGACGGAGGAGAGCTGATGTTCAGCTTCAGTGCGCGGCTAATCCTGGAGGCGTAGTCCTCTGCCCCGGTGAGAGACCCCGAGGAGTTCAGCAGGAAGGAGAAGCGATCTGACCGGGAGGAGACTGGGTCTGAGGCCTCTGTGGGGGTCTCTCTGCTCTCTTTGATCTCTCTGCTCTCTCTGGGCGACAGACTGATGCGATCACTGCTGTGTCCGAGCTCGGGCAGCGACGGTGTGCGTGTTAGCAGTCTATGAGCTCGCATGCCGCTGTCCGGGCCCTGGTCCAGGGAGGAGGAGGAGGAAGAGGAAGAGGAGCGGAAGTTGGAGAAGATGATGCTGTGATCAAGGCGGGAGCCGGAGGAGCCGTTGAGGTGCACAGGGGAGAGCAGCTCGTCAGGAGAGGAGGAGTCAGAGCCACGACGAGGACGAGAGAGAATTTTCTGGTCCTGGAACCAGAGACAACAGGAATGAAGAGAGACTGCAACTGTGTGTGTGGTGAGAGAAAGGAGACTAGAGGGAGAACAGAGAGAAAGAGCAGAGAGAAAGAGCAGAGAGAGATGTGTGTGCGTGTGTGTACAGAGAAAACAGAAACAAAACTTCCACTAAGGTATAAATGTGAAGCCAAGATAAGTTGTGGTTCTCAATTTGTCCTAAAATATTAGTCTCCAAGTTCTTGGACCAATGAACAGACAAACGACAATGAAATGTCTTTATGTCAACAATAATATCAAACATCCACAACATTCTCTTGTGTGGGAGAGAGTCACACACAGCTGGTAGTTTTAACATCTTATTTGGAGATTTTACATTTCCAATTCAATCCATCCATTTTCTACATCTAAATCCATTTCTGGGTCAGGGGGGTGGCCAGAGATACCACCCAATTTACAGAGCACCAGCCTATCACTGATCCTTCTGCAGGTGGTGAGTCCACAGGAGGATGGCTGCTCTATGGAGTCAGTGGAGAATGTCTCGTGGTGAAACCGAACCCACGACCTTCAGGCTCAAAAGCAAATGCTCTACCAACTGAGCCACTGTCGCCCCAGAATTTACATTTATGGACCATAAATATGTTCTCAGTCTAGTGTGAGAACTGGCAGAGTCTGAAAGGCCAGACCAGAAAGACCATAAAGAGCAGAAATACTAGAGAGATATCAGAGGGAGGGCCAGAGAGATCAGAGAGAGACCAGAGAGAGAGAAAGAGACTCGGGAGAGAGCACAGAGCGAATGAGACCAGAAAGACCAGAGAGAGGGACCAGAGAGACCAAAAAATACCAGGGAGAGAGCACAGAGAGACCGTCACCAGAAAGAAAAATACGTGAGAGCAAGACTATCAAAGTAAAAAGAGAGGACCACCCTTACTCAGCCAATCAGCCCAGAGAGTCAGATAGTGAATCATAGGGCTCTTTTTTCACTAAAGAACATGTTCTCTAATGAGACAAAATATATTATTTATGGAGAAACACAGCAAGTTACCCGAGCTTTAGGTCATTCTATGCTTGGCCCAATGCATAGAATGAGAGAGACCAGATACAAGAGAGAGACAAGAGACCAGAAGACTAAGAAAAAGACGAGAGAAAGGAAGGCTAGAGAGACCAGAGAGAGAGACCAGTGAAAGAAAGAGACCCTTGTCCCTGTAGTACAGATGTGTAACAGTGTTGGCTTCACCTGCTGTGCCTGCATCTTGAGCAGTTCCAGAGGTGACTTCATGTCTCTGAAGCTATTTTTCTTGAGCCCGATGTCCGGAGGGAGCGTGTAAAGACCCCCAGTCACGCCGTCCACCTCTGATTGGCTGTGACCGTTACCGTGGTGCAGTGCAGGGGCCGCGGCGGTCACCGGACTTGGAGCGTCCTCCACGATGGGGGGCAGAGACAGGGACGACAGCAGGCTGGACTGGGCTCCTCGGGCAGACAGACTCCTGAGCCTCAATGAGGGGCCCATGTTCTTCAGCGTGTCAACCAGGTTCGCCATGTCTGAGAGGCTAGGAGAGTCCTGGGCGTCCTGCTGGGGGTCCTGCTGCGGGTCCGGCTGGAGGTACTCTGGGGAACTGGGGTGCACTGGCTCAGACACCAAGTCCACCAGAGTGGCCTTGAACACCCCACTGTATGCACTGTCGTCTGGCTGAGCAGAGTAGAAGCTATAGTCTGCTCTCTCTCCCTCTGTCTCTCTCTGTGTCTCTGTCTCTCTCTGTGTCTCTGTCTCTCTCTGTGTCTCTGTCTCTCTCCGTGTCTCTGAGTGTCGGATTGAGGCAGGTGCAGAGTAGAAGCTAACGTCTGCTCTCTCTCCCTGTCTCTCTGTCTCTGTCTCTCTCTCTGCCTCTACTAGGGTTGAGGCAGGTGCAGAGTAGAAGCCCCGCCTCCTCCCCCAGTCCCTCCCCCAGTCTGGCTCGTCCGGCTCTTGTGTCAACTCTCGTCTCTCTCTCTCGGAGGAAATACTTGAACTGTAATCTGTAGCCGCTGGGAAAGTGGTGGATTGGACTAGATAAGGTTTCTCAGCCTGACTCTCTCTCTCTTGTCTGCTCCTCCAGCTGTAGTCCACCTTAGAGTCTATGCCGTTAGATAAAGCAGCGGGGGGGATTTTTTCCCGTTCCTCCTGCTTCTCAGAGACCAAAGAGACCTTCCGGACACGGTACCGCTCCTCGCTCTGGGGACTGAGGCTGGGTCTGAGGGACAGGGTGGTGCTGAGGCTGCTGTAGGAGCTCATGGTGTCTGTGAGAGACGGGGAGAACCTGCAACACAAGAGATTTTACACTGTTAAAGAGAGACCAGAGAGAGACCAAAGAGTGACAAGAAAGAGAGACCAGAGACAGAAAGACTGTGAAAGATGAAACTCTGCAACACAAGAGACATTAAACTGTTAAATGCATAAACAAAACAATGACCAAAGCAAGTTTATCTGTATGGCATGGTTCATACACAAGGCAGCTCAAACAACAAAACAAGACAGAAACAATCTTTAAAATCATAAATAATTAAGATTAAGAGATCCTTTATTTGTCCCACAGTGGGGAAATTTCAGTGTTACATCACAAGTTATAGAACAGTAGGAAAGAGGAGCACACGGCACAAGTGAACAATAGCTATACTAATAAAAATAAAACAAAATCTCTTACTCTAGCATCAATAAAAGTATAAAATCTCCATCTTGAAAATAATAATAAAAGAGGTGTAAAGGGCAATAAGAGGCAAGTTTAAAGTACTGTGTATTCTAGTGCAAGCAAAGTGTAGTTATATGTTAGCATCTGTACATTAGCAGCAGTATGTTTATATCTGTAGATTAGCAGCAGTATGTTTACATCTGTACATTAGCAGCAGTATGTTTACATCTGTACATTAGCAGCAGTATGTTTACATCTGTACATTAGCAGCATGAGGCTCTGGGACACAGTGACTCAGTAAAGTGACAGTGACTTGTGGTTATTGCACATTCTGATATAAGTTAAGTATATTGCAACGATGCATGACACCTGAGATCAGGTTGGCAGTGTTCATTAGTCCTTATTGTTTGTTGTACAGTAGTAGTAGTAGTAGTAGTAATCTTTATTTATATACTGCCTTTTCACTGCAGATCTGAGTCTCAAAGCGGTTTACAATTGTTAATTATGGGCATTTGTCATTTTGCGGGGTCGCCAGTACAGTAGGCGCATGCTAGAACTATTGGACATATTTTTTTGTGGTAGGGGAAACCGGAGTACCCGGAGGAAACCTACGCAGACACAGAGAGAACATGCAAACTCCACTCAGAAAGGGCCTGGTCCGACCGGGATTTGAACCCAGGACCTTCTTGCTGAGAGGCGAGAGTGCTATCCACTCAGCCACCGTGCCGACAGTCTGACAGCAGTAGGAAGGAGAGACCTGCGGAACCTCTCCTTCACACATCGAGGATGAATAAGTCTGTTTGTGCACACAGAGTACCTTTTTTGCGAATGTATTCCAATGTGGTTTTCATAGTGCACATGGCAAAAAAATGAATCTAAAAATGAATCTGAATCTGAAGCTGCTCTCCAGAGCAGAGAGAGTGTCCTCAAGGGGGTGACAGTCATGGTCATAGAAGGTCTTCAGGAGTGACTTCTGGACTCCAAAAGACCTAAGCCTCCTCAACAGATTGAGTCGGCTCTGGCCCTTCTTGAAGAGGGCGTCTGTGTTATGAGTCCAGTCCAGTTTGTGGTTCAGATGAACACCCAGGTACTTGTAAGAGTCCACTCTCTCAATGTCCTTTCCCTGGATGTTCACTGGAGCTGGAGCGGCAGAGTGACGTCTGTGGAAATCCACCACCATCTCCTTGGTCTTCCCCGCGTTGATGAGGAGGTGGTTCCGCTGACACCAGTCCACAAAGTCTTGTATAACTCCTCTGTACCCTAATCCCAAGTTGTGGACCATGGCTTTTGTTTTCATATTAAAGTTTGTGTAACAGAAATAATTAAAAGTTAAATCAGACACAACCCGCTGTTGTCGACTCAATAGGAAACGTGATCTGTACACACTGGCTGAGAGAGGGTGGTCCTCTCCTTTTCACTTATCTTTCTGAAAAAGCTGATCTAAAACTGCGGTGACGACCACTGCTGCTGCTACTACTACGGTTACAACTGCTGCTGATGCTGCAGTTACTATGACTAGTTTTGTGCTTTAACACTTGCATAACCCAGCTTTATGTTTCTATCAATCTGTCATGTTTCTGAGGATCACAACTGTCGCCGCAGGAACTGGGCACTGGTCCAATATGCAAATGTTCCACACACACCAGCCTCAAGGGGCGAAGGGCCAGGTCTAGACTCACAAATGAAAATCCAGAACCTACAGCATAGCTCTGGTTTCTGGCTCTAAAACAGTTTATATAACTGGTTTGGATATGCATGAAGAGAGACCAGAGAGAAACCAAGGAGAGAGAGACTAGACAGAGACCAAGGAGAGAGAGGCCAGAGAGAGACCAGACAGAGAGATCAGAGAGAGACCAAGGAGAGAGAGATCAGAGAGACCAAGGAGAGAGACCAGAGAGAGACCAAGGAGAAAGACTAGACAGAGGCCAGAGAGAGACCAGAGAAAAGGGACCAGAGGTTGTTTATTTCTGTGCTTTTGAGTATTATCCTTTGCCTGCTGTATCTCTAAGGCCCAGTTCAGGAACTGACTCTTTGATTGGTGTATGATGCATCTTTCCTCCTCCTCTCCGTCCTGAACGTGTGTGTGCAGGGGAGTGTTCCGATGTCCAAATCTGGCAAAATTAAACAGACCGACCACCCCCATGAGAGGGCAGTAGGAGCAGAAACAAAGTCACATTACCAGACATCAGCAGCATCACAGAACCATCCAAGGAGCCATGAGGCAATACAACATCGTACTATCAAACCTTAAAATAAGCTATGACAACAGTTAGTACAGTTAGGACCCTATACCAGATCAAAAGTACAATTTATGAAATCCAATGCAAGTCAAAATCACACATGTGGAAATGGGGTCGGAAACCATAAAAAGCAGTAGCAGTTATTGTAACTTGTCAACATTGTTTTCCAGAATACATAATCTTTGCGCTTTGGGGAAAATAGTTGAAATGTTTTCTTGAGGTGGATTTCAGTAGAAACAACAGCAGTAGTAGCAGCAGCAGCACTAATACTGGGACAACACACTGAGCAGAGACTTCAGAAACCAAATGTATAAAGTTTTATGTTTAAGGCTCAGACAAAAGTCTAAAAATGCTAATTAAGCAGTGATTAAGCTAGTAGCTTCTGTCTGAACCTTCGAAACCTTAAACATCAGAAACCGGTTTATTACCTGCTGTCAACATTTACAAGACATGAAAAGTCAGTCAACCACGAAACACACTGTCATTAACACTCATCAGTATTTAAACAATGCTTTCATGTCTGAGGGAGGGGCGGACAATAACCAGGCTTACCAGGAAATTAAAGAGAGGCCAGAGAAAGGCCAGAGAGATGAGAGAAACATAGAGAGGCAAGAAAGAGACCAGAGAGAGGCAGGAGAGACCGACCAGAGAGAGGCAACCAGACAGACAGAAGTGAGGAACCCTGAGGCGAAAACACATTTCGGTTAAATAGTTCCATTTCAGCAGTGAATTTCGGTCCAAGTCTAAATCATTATCTACTATGACTATCTGCACAATACTTCCACCAGAGAGAAACTAGAGACAGAGAGACCAGAGAGAGAGAAACCAGAGAGAGAGAAACCAGAGAGGGGGAGACCAGTAAGAGTAGAAACAGTAGAAACAGGAGCAGTGCCACACAGTTGCTAACAAACTGCTGTAACTCCTTAGTCCTGGATCTACAGCCTCAGTCCTGAGTTTCGGAGTGATTCCCCCGTCTCTCTCCCGCCTCTCCCACTCGTCTCTCCCTTGTTTCTATTTCCCATCTCTCTCCCACTTGTCTCCCCCTCCTCTCTGCCTCGTCTCTCGCCTGTCTGTCGCCTGTCTCTCGCCTGCCTCCCTCTCTCTCGTTTCTCTCTGCGTAGTAGTAGTGATTCATGGTGAGGCCCCAAAAAACAGATGTGAAATGTTAAGTCTCAGATACTCTCTCTCTGATTGACAGCTCACGTTCATGTTCTTCTGGTTCTGTGTCTTTAAAACAACATCTCTGCTCTACAGCTGCAGTTATCACATTCACGTTATGGTTTTAAACAAACAGAGTCAGGAGTGTAGGGTTCACAAGAAAAGGTGATTTGAAGTCTTTCAGAGCCCTCTAATAGTTCTCTTTTTCCTCCTCTTAACAGCAGAATTACTGATTGTGGTCTCTGTCCCGGTCTCTGTCCCGGTCTCTGTCCCGGTCTCTGTCCCGGTCTCTGTCCCGGTCTCTGTCCCGGTCTCTGTCCCGGTCTCTGTCCCGGTCTCTGTCCCGGTCTCTGTCCCGGTCTCTGTCCCGGTCTCTGTCCCGGTCTCTGTCCCGGTCTCTGTCCCGGTCTCTGTACTCACAATGATTGAGATTGAAATGTTACGTTATTATAGACCATAATATAACATTGTTGTTGTTTTTGTACAATTTTAAACCATGTACATATTACTGGTATGAACTTGTACTAAGTATAATTGTATAAATGATATACAAACACATTTCTAATCCAATATTTCTCAGATAATCTGTGGATAATTGTGTTGACTATAAAACCTTGTGAAGCAGCGACTCGTGTCTTTTGCTGCGTTTTGCTGCCACTTGGTGGTGACAAGTGGAACTGAACGAAAACCAGGACGAACGGAAAAAGGGCTTTTTCTCCACGCTTCAAATATGTTTGTGTTTTGTACAATAATAATATTTGTAAACAGATCGAAGCAATAACAGTTAAATCAATTAATCATACAAAAAAGAATAACGAAATTGAAAAAATAACAATAAAAAACAAATTGAAGTGGCACAACAAGCCTCATTGCATTCAAGAAACAGTATAAACTTATTCTATTACAGAAATATGAACAAAGTTAAGATTCAACTTAATATTCTGGTGTGTGTGGATGTCCATTAACAACATATTAACAACTTTTACAAATACCATAATAACAGTTTTATTGACACATTATATGTGTTTTATTATTGTAAATGTATACATGTGAGTGTATGTGCTTGCATACAGTGCCTTGCGAAAGTATTCGCCCCCCTTGGACCTTTCAACAATTCGCCACATTTCAGGCTTCAAACATAAAGATATAAAAATTAATTAATTAATTAATTTTTGTCATGAATCAACAACAAGTGGGACACAATCGTGAAGTGGAACAACATTTATTGGATAA